CCAGATTGACTTTTATAAAAAAGAAGGCCTCACTCCATTTTCCTCCGCTAAATTTCCTATCACAAGTGGTAAGATCAGGTTTCCTTTTTTTCTTGCTTTGTAGGATGTGAGACTTTGATAGAATTGTTATTTTTGTTATGTGATATTTTGGGGTGTGCAGATGTTCCGGAGGGATGTGTGATTATTCGCGAGCATGTTCCAATATCTAATCTCTTCACCTGCCTTTGGTTCAATGAAGTTGACCGTTTCACCCCTAGAGACCAGATTAGCTTTTCAACTGTACGGGACAAGATCAGGTCCAAGACGGGTTGGACTGTAAATATGTTCCTTGACTGTGAAAGGCGCAACTTTGTTGTTCAGGTAACCTTTACCATTTTCAATAGAGTTAGGCCTGTTTGATTTGGATGAAATTCGACTGAATTGATTGATAAGACTCATAGATGAAAACTTCTTCCACCAAATGGACACTTAAACTTATATCAAAATTCTTATTTCCATTCGCTCAGTCAGTTATAAACTATGGGGCTTGCATTGTTTTTACTTTTAAAAATCAACACAAATCTGCAAGCCCGAAACTCCGAAAGTAGACACGTTGTTGACTATAAAGTCCGAGTGATAATAAGCATCAAATTTTGCCAGTATTCTTAAGGTCTCGTAAATTTGCCCGTCCATTAATCTGTTCATACAACAACCAATCCAGTAAATCGCATGGTGTATGGGCCGTGGGGTGTGTGTACACAAACCTTACCCCTACTTAGAAGTAGAGCTATTGATCTGTTTATATAAGCTGATACATAACATCGGTTCTTCTGTTAGACTTTGGGCCCTTTTCGTAGGGCATTATCAAGCTGATTTTTTTTTTCTTATAGGCATGATTGTGAGACTTTGGGCCGTTTAAATGTACAATCTTGGAGTAGTATTATTGTAAAATCTCAAATTTCTTATTTTTCATGTATTTTTCCTATGAAATAAAACAATTTGCAATAATAATAATAATAATTATAACAGGGTTACCATAGAGATATTCTAGAGCAACGAGCCCCGCCGCCTCCACACACACATCCTCCACCTCCACCTTCAATTCTCGGGGAGGCGCTCGTCAAGACTTCTTCAAACAATGTGCCGGCAGCTAGAAAAAGTCCTCAAAAGCGCGGGAGAGAGAGAAGACCGAGGCGGCATCGCAAGGTGTTGCCGGACTTGAGGAGCTTGGCCGCCTAAAGAAAAGTCAGGACCATTGTTTTTAACCAAATCCAAAGACGTTTGTTTCCTCACTCACTGCCTTATTATTCTCTCCTGATTCCCTTTCATCCATGCAGGGCTCGCTCTATGGTGTGTGCAATGTTGTTTTTCCCACAATGCAGTATCACTTTATTTTTTTATTTTCTTTTTCTTTTATAGATTTACTATTATTATTATAATTATTATTGTTATTAGAAGATTTGTTATATTTTTGTTGTATATATATACCCATCTGAGATTTTAGTACGGAGTAATAATTTTGATACGAGGTTGCCACCCAGACAGGGGGGGTGTCCTCTTCTTGAATCATTCTCGTACTCAAACTGGGATTATATTCTGTTTTCATGCAATAATTAATGGTTTCTCGAGTATCATGGTGTGCATTTTTCCCCCCAAAAATTGCAAAGTGAGGAATGAATAAATTTATTCCGTAAAGAAATGGAGGAAAAATGAAGTGGGAGAAGAATATATATCAGAAATAAAGAATGATTTGAAGTTGGATGAAGTGCTATAGNATAATTTTGATACGAGGTTGCCACCCAGACAGGGGGGGTGTCCTCTTCTTGAATCATTCTCGTACTCAAACTGGGATTATATTCTGTTTTCATGCAATAATTAATGGTTTCTCGAGTATCATGGTGTGCATTTTTCCCCCCAAAAATTGCAAAGTGAGGAATGAATAAATTTATTCCGTAAAGAAATGGAGGAAAAATGAAGTGGGAGAAGAATATATATCAGAAATAAAGAATGATTTGAAGTTGGATGAAGTGCTATAGGATTCCTTGTACAATATGAAAATCTTTAAATTAGTGTCTGTACATTAAATTAAAAGTTTTTGTTCCTGAATTATTCATTTTTGTTCAATTAAGTTCTCCACTTTTTTTTCTTGCGTCGAACTTTTATCAATGAGTGTTAATTTTACTATAGATAATATCAAAATGTTATTTTGGCACGCAGATTTAGACATTATTATTAAAAAGAACTCTTCTCATCAAGTACAATATGGAGTATTTATATTTACTTTAATGAAAAAATTATAGGGATACAATTGTTTATTGTATAAAAATTAAAATTATACTCCATATAGAAAAAGTATGAATCGTTATACAAAGACAACCTATCTATGTTTTTATAGTACAAATATATGTTATCACTAATGGCACAGGTTAAGAACAATAGATAAAAGAAAAATGAAGAAAATGACTCGATTGAACAAAAAATAGCACAAAGACTATGTTGCTTCAATTTTAAGTAAAAGGCCTAGTCCCTTCAAAAAAAAAAAAGAGTAAACAGCCTAATTTCAACATTTTCATATAATACAGTGGCTTCTATGGTACTTTATCAATTTGATGTTTTAAACTTCAAAAAAATTGAGATAAACTCTAAAATTTTACACCCCTAATAACGCTATATTTTGCACCCGCACAAACAATAATCATTGGTGATGCATCAACAATTATTGTCCGTTCGTATTTGTGTAAAAGAAAAGATCTGGTCAAGGATGATATCAAAATTTGGGGTTACCCTTGCACAACTCTTTATACTTTGGTTGTGAAGTGCAATACAGAGTACTCTGTAATATACTCCGTATTAGACCATCTCTAACCAATTACAATAAACTCAAACTTAAAATGCACTAAATATATATTGAAATAGTAAGTCATCTTCAACACCTTACCTACCCCACACTCAAACTCAAAAGCATATTTGGCTTCTCACTACTTTTATATTTTTATCAAACATTACCCATCTATCCATTGTAACAAGTTAGATAGTATTATACTTATCCGGGCCAATAGTTAAAATTTGATGGGTCGATCCATACAAGTGAAGGGAATGGGCTAGGGAGAGTCTAGTCCAAGTAGGCCAGATAGAGAGTTTGGGTCCATACAAAAAAAGGGATAGGGGCCCATACGAAAAGCATTCAAGTTGTCCCGAAATGAAAGTCAGTCGGAGGGTCCTCCGGGAGAGAGTAGGCCCGGTGGAAAGGCGGTTCGGCGACGGAACGAGGGAGTGCGCGGCGGCGGCGACGGCGGCGGAACGGGGGTGCGGCGACGGAACGGCGGCTTCTTCACGCTCCAGTGCCGACTCCGTTTCTAGCGACTGAAAGCAGATTCCATTTTTTTTTATCTTAGATAAGAAAAGGGTTAGGCGGATTAGGTTAAAATCGTTAAATGGTAAATGCGGGGTAATTAACAAAAGCAGCGGGAAAAAAAGAGTTTTAGCCTGTTAGGTTTTTTAAAATTACTCCGTAAAACAGAATCAGATTCACACTGACATTGTTTAGCCTCATAGATCTTCCTAGAATGATTATTTGTAATTTTCAAGGATAGTCTAAAACAAGGGAATGTTTATTAAAATATCTTTAAATAGTACTCCCTCCATCCTAAAACTTTCTTCCCACTTCCCCTTTTTCCTCGTCCTAAAACTACTTCCCATTAGAAAAAAAATGACAAATGACATTAATACCTTCATGTATTTACACCAATTATCTTCTAACTCTATATTTTGAATGATTGCAAAAAAAAATTTCAAAAAATCTTATTTAAGAAGGGTAAAATTTGAAGTCAAAGCCAAAAATTAAAAATGAGGAAAAGTCAAACTGGGAAGAAAGAATTAGGACGGAGGGAGTACTTAGGAAAAAATATTTCATTTCTATTACTACATTTCAATTCTAAAATTTAAAATTTTAAATTTCAAATGACAATGGTAGACATATAGGTTTAGAATTGAGATTTGTGAGAAATTTGTCTCAAATCTAAATCTCGATTTTTAAAATTTCTCAAACATTGAATATGAGCTAAGTCCTGATTTGAAATCCAAATTCCATATCCCAAACATGGTGTTAATGAAATTAGATGGAATATATTAAATGATGTAAGTGAAAATGTGAGGTGCAATAAATAAATTAAGTATAATTAATACTATTTTAAATGTTACTCCCTCCGTCCCATTTTATATCGTCTATTTTGACTTTGAGGCATATTTAAGGAAGGAAAAAATGGTATTGACTTTTCAAAAAATGCCTTGTTTTTTTTACAGGGGTGACGATGAATAAGAAGATAAGGTGAAGAAGAGTGACTTATTTTAGATGTAGTTTAGATATTTTATCTTTAAAAGTTTATTATTATACGAAACATATACTACCTCCGTCCCACTCTTTTTGTCCACTTTTGACTTTTGGAACTGTTCATCTAAGCACTTTGACTCATCAAATTCTCTCAATGTGTAAGTCTAAAAATAGTCATGTGTGATCTTGTTTGATTTGTCTTAACATATAGATTATTAATATATAATTTTTATAATTTTTTAATATATAAATTACAAGATAAAATGGATTAAAAAAAGTGCATTGGATGGTGTGCAAAAATGAAAGTGGACAAAAAGAGTGGGACGAAGGGAGTATTTTATTTTGAGACAGACAAAAGAGGAAAATATACGGAGTATTATGCACAGAGAGTGCGTAATACTACGAGTATTACTCTTTCTATTTGTGTAAAATAAATAAAATGCGAACTTTTAAAGAAACTCACAGTTCTTTTAACTCAATAAAAATGACCCAAACAACGAATTTTATTTGTGTTTTTACATTTGTATCAAGAATCTCTTGAAAACAGTTATCTTACTTCTAAATATGCACACCNNNNCCCCCCCCCCCCCCCCCCCTTCCCTACTTATGTAGAATTTTGCTCGAGATCTCCGCTTGGTCGTACCAACCAAAGGCGGTGCTTCTCGAGCAAATGTGAAAGAACAAAACAAACAAAACAAAACATCAGAGGAATGAGAGGAAAAAATATTGGGATTCTAAAATTCCCCAGGCTACTAATATACTCCGTACTAATACTACCACTCACTACATTTTTACAAATGCTGCTCTCTAAGATCATCATCATCTTAAACAATAAATAAATATTTATTAAAAAAATAATCTGGATTCAGAACTTGGGATTCATGCACGGGCAAAAATGGAGTAGAAAGTGCATCATCATCATCATCATCTTGAAGAGATCATCAATCATCCATGCCATCCCACACAAAGTAAGATTCACCTTCATCATCATCATCATCATCATCATCAGAAGCATCATCATCTACCCCTCATAACCTGTGAACCTGTGATGATCATGATGATAATACTTCTTCAGTTCTCAGTTGTAATTTGCAGGGCAGTATATATAATTATATATATATATATATACTCCCACCGGTTCTAAACATAAGGCATTTTGAGAAGTACTAAAAGCTTGCACATGTTTACCAATTTTGCCCTCGGAAAGGACAAAAAGGTAATCCTACATATTACTAATTATTAAAAGGGGCGGACTATTCTTGCAAGAATACTTGTATCAACAACGGCAATCCATAATAGCCACACATTTGGAGGGGTAAGAGTGGGGTCTAGGGTCGGGTCAGATGGGGTGCGGTGGGGGGGAGGGGGGTAAGAACCATCACTTTTTCATTTGGAGCACCGGAGGAGCTCCAAATGAACGAGTGTTATCAGTTGACGCTGAATACCAGTGTCAACGGAACCTTGCCGATATCAACAATTTGATCGGGGTACCTATGGTGCTCTGTTCGTGAAACTGATGGTTCCTATCCCCCCTAACACCCCTACCCAGCCCCTCCCCCCAATCAATGTTTTGGCAGTTTAGGGTGGGGTGGGGTGCAGTGGGGCTGGGGTGGGCGCAGAAGGTGGGGGCTGAGGGTTTAGGGGGGGGAGTGTTAGGAGGGAAAAGAACCATCAATTTTACGAACAATATCCAATCGAATTTCTGTATTTTTTTTATTGTTGTAAGTTTATCCTTTCTCTTATTAAAATAGCAGTAAAAGGTTTTTTGAAAATAAACAATTTCCAAGCCAACCCTCTGCATAAATATTACTCCAAGGGAGTAAAAAGGTAAATCCTTCACAAGTAAAGTGGCAACAGGTACTCTGAAAAACATATTTACAGAATCTCTTAAGGCTCATTTGGTGAGCTTTGGATAAAATCCCAAAGAAATGATATGAGTTGAACTGAAATAAAAGTGATGAAATGGTGGTTGTTTATAATATCAAAACACCCACAAAAGGATTGATATCCGGAAATATCAAAACTCATGCCCTTATAATAGGGACCAAACTCCAGAGCCCGGAGTATAGCATAAACAAAAATACCTTTTCGCGGTATTCTGGCAGTGAGATTCAGGACACAGGACAACATGGAGCTCGTCCTACACAAGAAAAAAAAATGACTAATACATATCTATGATGACATTCCCAGAACAAACTTACTGCAGCATGCTTGTATATACTCCATATTTTTTTTATTACCTGAGAGACTCTAGAAAGATTTGCCGGTGAGAATCCTGGAGATCTGAAGGCCCCTGCTGAAGGCCTCATTGAACAGAATCCTTGTCTGCATGGCTTGAAATCCAGGCATCCATGACAGGAATGCCAGAGGAGCCATGACAATCAATCCAAATATCATGTCGTAGAGACGGGCCAAGGACACAACGGTCTTCCAAACCACACTGGTCTCCAGAAACGGCCTGAGAACGAGGGCGATCTGGATGATTCCCCAACCCGTGGGTATGAACGCCAGCAAGCTGCTTATGAAGTCGAGAGCCTCAAACGGCGTGAACTTTAGCAGCAAAACAATGAGCAGTAGAGTGAGCATGATGACCAGCAATTGCACCAACCGGTAGTAAATGTGCTGGTTCATGGCATATTTTTCCTTTGCATATGCAATGGAGACATAAATCACGAGAGCTGCGAACATGAAGATCCAAGACAGCAAGTAAACAGAAATGCTGGTCCTACCGCCAGTGATCTTGAGTTGGTACACCACCCCATACTGGAAGAAGAAGAAGCGAAGGTCTAAGATGATTTCCAGCAGCTTTCCCCAGAGCCCAGTTGTTCTCAAGTGGTCTTGCTCCTCGTACCACCATGTCTCCCAGCTCTGGTCTGCCTTTGCAAACACTCCGCGGTTATACCAAATCCAGTTCATGAAATCTTCAAAGTCATACACGGTGTTCAGCCAGTCGAACCCTGTGGGGTTGAAGACAAAGGGGGCCATGATCCACGACACCACAAGGAACCAGCTTGAGATGGTCATGGCTATATAGACGAAAGTGTCCCTGGCCAAGGGACTGTTTGAAGCATAATACACTACGAGAATGACGCCGAGTTCAATCCCCTTCACAAAGTGGCTGCGCGCGTACAATCTGTAGTTTTCGGCGAAGTTTTTGTGCTGGACGACGAATCCGCGGCCGGTGGCTCGGTACTTTGCGCCGCCGTGCAGAATGGTGCGGCCGAAGAAGTGGGCGCGAGTTCCCATTGAGAAAGTGTAGAAAAGGGATGAGAGCTGCAACTGCATTGTCAGGAAATCCCAGACGGCCGAGAGGAATCCGTGTTCTAGAGAGTTCTCCACGATCATGGGAAGGGCAGTGAACGCGCCGATTTGGACCACAAACTGTTGGTTCACAATTGTCCCAAGGGCTTTGTTGTTGGTGGCATGGCTCCTCGCGGCGCTATCTTCGACGCCGCTCAGGGCAAGATAGAGACGGCCCCACAGGAACGCGTACACCATAATCACCACCATCATGTTGTTGAAGAAGAAGCCCACCGTTGTGTAGAAGAAAGAAAGCATGCGAAAGAAATCGAGTCTGTGCCCTAACCGGTACACATCTCTGCTAAGAACTTGTTCGCCATTGCCACTAGCAACTTTAGCCTCAAACATGGAAATCTGATTCAGCCCAACATCCCTCCCTTTACCAACCTGTATGTACTCATGGTGAGTCACATTCCCACCTCTGAGGGTGCAATTGAACCCCGCGAATATATCCTCGCTAATATTGATTACCCTTGAAGCCTTGCTGATGCCACCGCGCGTCAAGAACCAAAACCTGTCAAAGACGTCTGGATGGCCATAGTGCATGCGTACCTTAAGAGGGTTAGCCAGGACCCGCTGCCCAAGAGTCACAAAACTGGTTTCCTGAGCAGACATGAACCAAGCAAGGGATGAGACTGAGCCGGTGAAGATGTTTTCGCGGACCCCAAGAATGGTGGGTTTCCTGATCCCGTGGTGGACTTTGAACTCCTCCAATAGATTTCTCATCTTGAGTGCCTCCTCAAAGTAGCTATCTTGATTCATATCAATCGTCTGAACGGCATCACCTCTGGTGAAGATAATGGCATGGTTTTGATTCTCCGGCTTGCCCTCCCCAAGTTTCAATGGACCGGGCAACTTAATGCGGTAGATCTCAACTTCTTTCTTCAACATCTGATCATACTTCACCAAGACAGAATAATACTCCACCCCATCTCTCCCCAAGTGGACCTCATCCACATAAGCAACGCGAAGTGCCTCGTTATTCCTCATCAAGTAAGATATCTCCTCGGCACGCGGGTCCCCCTTGCACTTCTGAATCCCATAGACTTGACAGGTCAGCACATAAGTGAACTTCATCAGCGCGTCCCCTAACTCGCGCCCTTTAAAGAGAAGCGTCACACTGCTACTACTTGCTCTGGGGAGATTCTGAGGAGCACCCGGACTTCCGGAAGCTTCCAGAGACCCATTACGTCTCACATCCACCTCAGAAGCAGAGTCAAGGAAAGAAAGCATCTTTAGAGCCCTGTAATAATACATCATTCCTCTAACCGTACGGGACAATGTCTGGCCCCTGTATGATGCCCAGAGGCGAAGTTCCCTTACTTTGGTACTCCATATCTCACTCTCATCCTTCATTCCTTCCCCACGCATCCGTTCTAAAAAGTTCATCCACTCATCTTCATAAATCTTCTGAAGATAGAATATGGTAGAGATGCCGTCTTCGTTTTGGCTCCGGAGGCTTTCTTTTCCATATATCACTTCTTCATCATAGTAAGGAGTCAAGACACTAAAGGCCATCATCTTCTCAATTTGGATGGCGCGCGGTATGTTCATGAAGAGTGAGTTACAGAAGAAAGCAATGCGCCGTCTGGCTTCCATGTTTCTTGGGACATTATGCATTGAGTCTCTGGAGGTGAAAATCGTACGCAATCGCCGTAGTTGCTTGAAAAAGAAAACATCTCTAGTGTCTGGGAGACTGATGGCATTTTCAAACAGAAGCCCAGTGGTGGTGGGGTCCGGATTTCGAGGTGCGAGGCCTTCTTGTATCAACTGTGCTATGGGCTTCTTTACTCTTGGAAATTCTCGGACCGAAAGTTCATATATTGCTTGTAGTTCATTCACAACCTTACACATGTCCTGGTTTGGCAAGAGCAGTAGCTCAATTAGAGATGCCAACTTTTCATGAATCTGAGGCAGAACGGTTGTCTTGTATACCTGTTTTTCATTATATATAATAACATTAGACTTATTCCAATCAGATCAGAACCAATCAGATCAGGTGAAGAGAACAAGTCATAAATGTATTTTAAAAAATGTGAAAAGTTGTGTTGTGTATATACCTTTGTGAACCGTTCAGAGATGATGGAATCATCAATGTCCTTGAACAGCTTTGTGACTATGGAGTGCTCTTCTGTTCCATACTTGATGAGCACCAGAAGAACGAATTTGATGCTATCATAAGCCTCTACCACAGCACACCGTCTGTATTCATACTTGCACAGCCTGAACCAGACCCACTGATCGGGCGCATCCCCCAACTCTTTTGCATGGCTGAGAGCAAGAAGCAGTTCGTTGCAGAGGAGAAAACACGGCCAACGGATAACCTTAATATCCCAGCAGTTTTGTGGCAGCTCAAGCAGCTCCATCTCTTGATCACTGAGGATGTCTTCTTCCCTCATGGATATCACAATCTCATTCCATATCAAGGCAAACTTTGTGGCTTCGACCTCGCTCGACTCAATCTTCTTGAACGGCTGTCCTAGGCCATACCTAAGTTTCAGTCTATGGACAGCATCCCTCAACTTGTGGACAAGTGACACCTTGGCGTTAATCATCTGGTCCTCAGCCATCAAATTGAACTGCAATGCACTTGCAAAGAATTGGAACCTGAGCCTAAGCTGTTTTATGTTGCGAATCTCACCAATGTGGGAGAACAGTCCTATCGTTCCCCCAACAATGGAAGCAAAGACCGTGTACCAAATCTGCAAATCCACAAGATATATCAAAACGACCGGGGCCCACAACATCACGACCGCGATTTCGTTCGTGCTGCCGAAGAACTCGTGCCACTTGTACGTTATGGGTTGGTTGTTGAGACTCAAGAGAGCCCTAGTTGGTGCGACTAGTGGCTTGATCTGAAAGACATAACTGAAGGAGAACTTTGAAGCCAGCACTGCAATCCAGAACAGTGTGTACTTAAAGTTGTTGATGATCCCTTCCCTGAGTCCACGGCCAACATATATGTGGCTGTAAAACCACCACGTTATCAAGTACATAAACCGAAAGTTTGCTTCTTCTAGAAGGTTCCGGACCCACGGAAGAACAAAAAGAACAAGGGCAAGAACCTCCGGAGTGATAAACACAAGCGCAGTCTTTAGAAAGAAAACAATTCTTTCGTTGGCCTCATCGGACCATCTCCCATCAGAATTCTTCTGGCTCCATATTCTTCCATAGAGCACCCCAAACATAACGGTCCAAGTAACGGAAACAAGACTCTTCAACACCATCCTCACACAAATCCACACAGTCTCCTTGGAAACCAAACTATACTGAGTTCCAGCATCAAGAATCGACTGTATGAACCTCAAGCCAGCCCATGTTATGAACACAGAAAGCAACTTCACCTGCGTGTCCCTTCTTTCCAGAACTTGCCACGGGTAATCTGTTCCTTCCCAAGCGACAATACAAGCAGCCTGGAAAAACAATATCAACAGAGCCCAGAGCCTGTCAAAGCTCCTAAACAGACTCCAAAATGTCCTTTGCTCCACAAACCCTGTCTTCCCCACTCTATGCTCATCGCCATGACCGAAAAAACTGCACGACGGATCAAGAGGCCATTTCAGCCTCTTGAAGCATCGTCTGCTCCAAAAATACTCATTTATGTCGTCATAGTTTCGCCACGCTGAATGTGGGGCAGTCCCATTTCTACTCCTCTCAACCTCACCCTTAATTGCACTATATATAGGTGTGACCACACCATCTAAGAACCCAAATTGCTTACAAGTCCAAGGAATATAAGGTTGTCTTGTGTTCTCATCAATGTGGCCATCAAGAATGTAATTAAGTTCCATAGACATGTGATGGTATATATAGCATAAACATTCAGGGGCGAAACGGAGATTTGCGGCTTCGCCCCAAATCAAGAAATAGAGAATCACATACAACAGCTCGCGGCGGAGCATCTCAATACCTTGCTTCTTTGTCCTAGGGAGTCGGATTTGGGACTTTTGGCGGTGGAAGGAGCACCAGGAGGTGTAGTTTTTGAGGAGCTTCTGGCGGAAGGTGCGGAGAACGTGGGGGTCAAGGCGGTCCAGGGCGGTGGGCGGCGGGTGGAGGCGCATTTGGGAGTTGGCCAAGTGCAGAACCAGGTGCTCCCTCTGGTTCTTCACGTTGTCGTCTTGGAAGCCGAAGAACAGCCCCAGCCAGTCCATTAGGTCATGAGACTCCCGCCACTGCACGAACGGCGGCTTCCGGAGGTCTCCGACGAAGCGCAGGGCGCCGGCGGCCGCACGCACCTCCGGGTACCGGAGCGACGGGTGTTCCGCCAGAAGGTTGTGAATCGGAATGATGTTGAACGGCTCATAAGGCGGCTGCGGCTGCGGCTGCGGCGGAGCGTGCTCCTGCTCGCGGCCGCGGCTCACCTGCGGACGCTGCCGTAGACTCATCGCATTCTCTTCCCGGCCGGACCCGAGAACCTTATCTCAACAAAAATTCAAACAAACTGTTGACCTCGTGAACAGTGAAGAAGCAAGAATCTATATCTATACGTTGACGTATAGATACACAACCAAGAAAGGCGGTATCTATCTCTTTGTTCCAGCGTGAAAAGTGGGTATATACGGGCTTAAAGCGACGGGAAAATAGGGAAAGAGTGGGAAAAAGGCGAGGCCTTTCCGGCCTAGTTTTAGAGCTGAACGAAGAAGATGAAAGGAGTTACAGTTTCACCAAAGGCCACGCGCCAGACGAGAGCGTGATGGAATGTGGGTGGACTATGTGCTTGTTGTAGAGAGAGTTGTGGATAGTGAGCTGTGGCTGTACGCATGTACCCTCCACAACGTAAAAGTAAAAAAAACATTTACTCTCTTTTTAAATTACTCTTGAGTTTATTTACTTATTACTCCTTATAAACTTAAAAATTCTTTAAGTTAGGATAAAGTTTTAATAAATCAAATTTTTATAATATTTATTTCTTTAAATTATGTTTAGGGAAAAAAACAAAAGTATGAGTAAAATATTGAAATTTGAAAATATATCAAAATATGATTTTTATATTTTTATTCTCAAAATAAGAGTTAAAATGCAATTACATTGCCAAATATGGTCATGTACATTACTAAAAAATATAGTAATGTGCACAAGTACATTGCCACATTACCATCACATTACCACAGTGCGAACTCATATTTCGAGAATAATAATATGAAACTTTTCTTTGGATACTTTTTCTATGTTTTAGTCCTGTTTACAGTGATTTCTCGTATGTTTAATTTAAGATCAAAAAGTATCACTGTTTAACTAAAAGAAAGTCCAAACCAAAAGAGTTTTATGAACAAAAAGAGTATAAAGTACTCGTAGTATCGTGTATATGTTTGTATATATTCTCAGTTTATTGATGTAGAATATGTTTTATTCTCTTCAACTTATTTTTATTTCATGTTACTTTTCTTATTCAACTTAGATCAAAATTTATTCTAATCAGATCAGAATTAGTCATATTAAATAAAGAGAACATCACCTAAGTCAATTGGCTTACCAATGAATTTTGAGAAATTAATTTTCTATCAATCAAGTCATAGAAAAAACTCTAAAAATAAAAAAAAATGTTGTCGACATTCTCATAAAAAATAAATTGCCCATTTTTCATACGAGTACTCCGTATTTGAAAAAAAATATACGGATTACGAAATACGTAATAAATTATTTCAAATACTCTAAAAAATAGGTATGTATGTAGTATGTTGTTAAAATGAATGAGCCACAAATATTTTTTATTACGGAGTATTTAAAAGTCATTTTCTAAGAACAAATTATAAAAAAGATAGACAACTAAATGGAGATATAAAAAGAGAATATACTGAATTTTAAAAAGATGCATGCCACAAACATACAAAAAAAAGTACACTATAATTTAAGGTGTGTCATGTCTGGGGGCTGATAGTCCCACTTTTCTTTTGTGAATTGTGCCTGTCAGCATGTGCTACCACGGGTGGAATCCTGAAATTTTTCGTTGAGTAATGCTAGGGTGTACCCCATTTGTCCATCACCCTCTTCTCTATCACACATATTTATTTGATTTTTAATTATTTATTTATTTTTAAATTTTTTGCTCATTTATGTGGTGAAAAAGGGGTGGGGGACAAATGGGGCACACCTTTTGGTGTACCCCTAGCATTTTTCTTTTCTTGAATCAAACTACTTCAATTTCAAAAGTTAGTATTTTAAGTTGTACAGTGCCGGTTAGGGATGGACACGGTACCAATACTCTTACCGGCGTCGATACCGCCAGCACCGCAGGCGACGGATCCGTTTTTCCAGTTTCAGGAACTGGTAGCGAGACCGTCTCACACAGTACTGGTTCTGGTGCCAATATTTCGGTCGTGGCACCGCCAATACCAGTACCGGTTCCGATACCAATTTAATTTTTTTCCTTTTGTTGCTTTGCAGAGCAGAAGACAAAAGTGGGCCACATGTTGGAAGCAGAACGAACACATGATGGAACCGCGGAAGTTGGAAGCGGAACGACGTGGACTTTGACGTCCTCGAATGGTGAGCGAAACGAACACATGTTCCCATCTCTCAGAATGCTAGCCAGACAAATTATATCCGTCCCGGTTTCAACTGTAGCTGTGGAAAGAATTCAGTTCTAGTTGCAATATTCTAACCGACTACCAAAGTTGACTTAGCGCTGAATTGCTTGAAACACTTGTTTGCAACTGAGATATGCCGAACATTACATTAATGCAACCACAGATGGAAGTCATAGTTCCGAGAAATAAGTTATTAATTATTTTTTATATTAATGACAGTAGTTTTTTTAGGTGAGCGATATATATACTTCTTCGAGGGTTTCTTTACGGTTCTTTACTTCGTCGCTTTTTTTGAACTGTCGAGATATTAAATGTAGTTGTTCGTGTATTACTCATTTGTCAATATTTAAATAACAACTACATTTTTAGATATTTTATTTTATCATTTCCTTTAAGTGAAATTTGCACTAAATGGGACTAAAACATAATGACTTTCTCAATGTAGGACTTAAACTTTTTTATTCCATAAATAAGACTTAATAATGACATAGTGAGAGAAATAATGTCCAATAATGATGGACATGTAGTTGAATAATGACTTTGATAATGACCAAAGGTCCTACATTGAGAAATAAAAACATATAGTCCTATTTTGGGAAAGTCATTATGTTTTAGTCCTATTTAAGTAAATATCTCTTCCTTTAATACTTACACTTTTATAATTTTTTTAAATATAAGGTGGCGAAAAAATATTTTTTTACATATATTAGTTCACACCTTCTATATTTTATTCTATGATTTTTCTTATTATTAAAACTAATAATGAATGTCTAATAAATACTTAAATAATAAAGCGATACTCATATTTTTTAAAAAGTAAAGACTAAATAGTGTATTCTTGTATACAATAGACATTCTAAACTTTATATTTATTAGAATAAAATGATTGAAAAAATAAAAAAATGTAGCATATTAAATTATAATTAGTAAATATTACTTGTTTTTTTAAATATAGCAATATTTTTTCAAGTATAGATTAAATTTAAATAATTCTCAATTTTTTTGAACTATGTTTGTAGTGCACAATGCACACAAAACAACTTACGGGCTACGTTTGTAGCTTGTTCATTTTATATGTGACATATGTAAAACAATAAATACTCCGTATATAACATTGATGCCTAGAGCCCACGAACTGAATCGAAGCGAATATCGATATATTTGAATTTGTATTTGCTTAATTTTTTTGAATACGAATCCAAATCTGAATATGAGACGAATTAAAAATAAGATTTGAATTTGTATTAGATTAATATTCGAATACTTAACGAATCCTAAACGAATATTTTAATAATCATACTGCATAATTTATATGATAGACCAACATAGATTTTGAATAATTTAACTTACAATGCTTCTTATACTATATCTAAAAATATTAATACATTTTCACCTCACACAAATTATATTTTATAAAATATAACTATTAAAAATCATATGATTTAGATTTTGGTGTTACATTAATTTGTTGAATTCTTAATAATTTAAATACATTTATACTATATTACGTAGTAGTTTGCTTGACTATATTGATGTTGAAACATGATTTGTGTGTATATACATATATTCAAATTTTCGAATATCACCCGAATCGTATATACTCATATTTGAATTTGTATTTGTTTAATATTTGAATCAAAATTGATATTTGAATTTGAATTTGTATCTGAATAATGCAAATTCGAATCATTGTATTCGAATACAAATCACGAATCAAATTAAAATTATTTGATTTGTTTACATCACTAAATTGATAAATTGATGCCTATACATTACCTTAAAAAGTGGTTGGCTCACTTAGCTTACCACTATTGAGGTAGGTACAATGAAGTTGGGTTCAAACCCCACAGGCGTCTTGAATTTTTCAACATTAAAATTTCATAAAAAAATTAGATTGTTGCCCAAACCATTGAATCGATCAGATCGACCCGGGTCACACGGTTCTCTGAGTCTAGCGAGTTTGGGCAAATCAATCGGATCATGTTCGGGTCACGGTCTAACCGATTGGACCAACCAGTTTCCAAAACATTACTTTTCGGGACATTGTGATATGATGTAATTTGGTCAAACAATACAAATGCTACTAATTTAACAATGTTTGTGACAAAATATTTTCAAGAGTCCACAATTGTTTTTGCTGAAAACATTTCCCTTTCGTGGTAATGAAAAACTACAAAGAGGACTTTTGGACTTTTCCTATTTTGACCATTTTCCCTACAAAAAAGTTACTCTCTTCTCCAAAAAAAAAATATTTTCATTTTGACTTTTAAAAAATTTAAGGAAGAGATATATTGGTATTGACTTTCGAAAATATCCTTGATGTGATAAGTAAAAGTAGGATTTGATACATAAATTATTAGTGAAAAAGTACGATATGATAGATAGATTAAAAATTATTAGTTGTAAAAGTGATTTTTTAATTAAAATATGAGAAATTTTGTGGGACAAATAAAAAAAAGATAAGAAACTTTTGGGACGGGCTAAGTACATTTCTATTGAGCGAGGTCATCATCATTATTACCTTTGTCTGGACATATTTTCTCATTTTCTTTCTGTATTCAACGAAGACTTATGTCCTCATCAATTCTTTTATTACGGAATTGTTTATTATAATTTTCTTAATACATTGAAATATTGTATCGAATATTAAGCTCATGTTTTATTCACCGAAGTGGATTTGTTAGCATAAAATCAGACCCAAATTTGACTCACTGTAATGTACGTAGTGTGTAGTGCATCATAAACAAATCCAAAAATATAAATCTTTAAAAATGTATTGAAAAAAAAAAACAGAAGAGTAAGTCCAAGACAAGGGGGGTGGCTAATTAATCAAGATTTAAGAGTGTAAAAAGTATTAAGGAGAGTGTGGAAAGAGTAAAGAAGAATGAGAAAATAAAGAAGAGAAGCAATAAAGGAAGCAAAGATGGCTCCTGCAACATGACCACAAAACTTTGAAACTTGTCCACAAATGGGGAGCCAACCAGCTGCATTGTTCCCTTTCTTTCCCACTTCACCCACTCCTATACATGCTGATATGCTTGAATCCATCAACATTGTCACAACCTTAATTAGAAAAAAAACCGAAAAAATGTGAATTTTATGAATGAAAGTAGCTAGGAAGTGTGTCGGGGTCGTTAACAACAACATAATATAGTACTCCATATGCTTACCATATCCGAGATGAGCAAAACGCGTCGCGCGCCCAAATTATCGGAATGAAAAAAGAGGACAATGATGCTATATCCGCTAGCAAGTGCATTCACAGCAACAAAGTATCTGCACATCATAACAATGAGCACTGACCAAATTATGCGCGGTATAAAAAAGGTGACACTGTAAATGACATCGTTAGCGTTTCGCAGCGAATGATTTTTCACAAACAGTAACTATTTGTGTGTAATTGCGTCAGTGCTGGTGCAATAATCTCGAGGGTTAAAATAGTGTTGTTGGACAAAAAATTACTTGAAAGTTGGTGAGTTGGTGAAGTTGGCTATAAAGGTGAAGCCCAAGAAATGAAAGGAGTCATGGCTAGTGACCATCACAATAGTTGCAGCCAAAGTGCCTCCCAATGCCAAAACCCTTAAAAGAGAAACAATAATGTGTTGTGACAAAGCCATCATGCAACTATAGATCTATATTTCTATACCTATGATGAGGCAATTCCAATAAAAACCATTCTCTCATGGTGGTGATTATATTGTAGGGATTATCATAGGACTTGAGTACATGGTAATTAATTAAAGAAACTAAGTTGGAATCAAGAGAGGAAGGTTTAATTTACTAATAAAGGGGGGCTGGAAGTGGCAGATGAGGGTGGTAAAAAAACAATCTTTGTCATCAAGAGTCTTAGAGTTTTGCTTGGTTACCTAATCCTTGTTTGTGCCCAAGTTATTGGCAAATTATATTACTCCTATTTAATTTATTTTTTGTGGTTTTTATAGAACACTTGATGAATGATTAATACACCGTAAATATATACTTTGTATTTATATTTATATTTATATATATAAATAAATATTACTCCTTATAACATTACTCCACTCCGTATTTTGAAATGAACTTTTTTTCATCGTATATAAACCAAAGTTTAAAATTGTTGTTTTAAAAAGTCAAATTAGAAAAAAAGCATATTTTTTTCGGGGCTGCAAGTTCATGTGACATTGCCCCGTAATGTCATGAGATGATCCAAGAGCGCTACGATGCCCATCATGTTAAATTTATTTATTCGTCCAAAATTTTAACCAACTTAGCATTAAGAATTACTCCATACTAATCCAACAAGTTAAATACTACCTCCGTCCCACTCTTTTTGTCCAGTTTTGACTTTTGAAACTGTTCATCTCAATACTTTGACTCATCAAATTCTCTCAATGTGTAAGTCTAAAAATAGTCATGTGTGATCTTGTTTGATTTGTCTTAACATATAGATTATTAATATATAATTTTTATAATTTTTTAATATATAAATTACAAGATAAAATGTGTTAAGAGTATCCCACATCGGAAAAGTGCGAGGAAATAATCGGTATATAAGCTCTTGAGTTGAACTAACTAATCGATTGGATTCAATCTTTTAATGTGGTTCAGCTCAAGTGTCTTATTACCCAATCCAGTTGTCCATACCCTTCCTAAATTCTATCATGGTATCAGAGCAGGTTTTGGCCCACCTCGTTTGTCAAGGTGTCCGTCTAGACGTTCATTCCTAGCGGCCCGTTAGTCTTTAGCCCAGTTGTCCGTATGGAGTATGTACCCAACGGCCTGTGGCCTGTTTAACACGATAGCTCGTCTGGAAAACCATACCCAATGGCTCGTGATCCTTTAGGTGTTGGCGCTCAAAAAATCAAGGGGATGAGAGTCTATTTGCAAGTGGTTAACCGGTTAGATTCAAAATGGCCCGGTTGTCCACTTGAGGGGGAGTGTTAAGAGTATCCCACATCGGAAAAGTGTGAGGAAATAATCGGTATATAAGCTCTTGAGTTGAACTAACTAATCGATTGGATTCAATCTTTTAATGTGGTTCAGCTCAAGTGTCTTATTACCCAATCCAGTTGTCCATACCCTTCCTAAATTCTATCAAAATGGATTAAAGAAGTGCATTGGATGGTGTGCAAAAATGGAAGTGGACAAAAAGAGTGGGACGAAGGGAGTATGTTCTAATTTCCAAATAGTATGACAAAATCTGAAACTTTATATCATAATGATTAATGAATATATGGATGCTACAAAAATTTCAAAAAAAAGATTGTTACATTAAAAAAACATTTTAATAAAATAAAAAAAGTGGGATTTATGACGTCACGCAGTTGTGCGTCATCATCATCGCTGCTCTGCCCCTGTTTTTGACGAAGAAGGAGACGAAGAAGACGACAATGGCGGTTTGGCGGGAGAGCAGAACCGATAGTTCCCGCGCTCTTGTTTCGGCACCCAGAAATGCCCCAAACTCCGCACGGCATTTACCAGATTGCCACGGCAGAGGAACCTGTCGCTGCTGACTCTCTCGACCTCCCGGTAAATCTCGTGCACGAACACGTGAGTCGCCGGCGCGCCGCCCGTCTTGCTCCGGGAGAGAACGCCGGCGGTGAAAATCACCGACGCCCTCCCGGGGGCCGTCGCCGGCCAGCCGCGCGGTCCGTCGACCAGGATGACATCCCAGGGGACGTCGTAGATGTGGTTGGGGAGGTCGTTGAGGGCCAATTTGCAGTCGGAGTAGAGAAGGTTCTGCACCGGCCGGCATTCTTTCCTGCCCTCCTCCTTTGTTCTCCAACCCACACCGGAAAATTTTAAAAACAAATGATGGGTTAGCAAAATAGTGCATTGAACACAAATTTTGGTTGTCAATTATTTTATATTTTATTGTCAAAATAAGCACACTTAAATTCAAATATCTTGCAATACATGAACAAGTACCATATTCTAAAAGTTATTAGTATTAAAAAATATTTTTCAAAAAAGTAATGTTAAAGTCACAAATAAATAGTTCACAAAAGTCACAAATTTGTCTCTTGTAGATTTTAAATTAAAACATCATTTATTATTTGAGTGCATCTTATTTCTAAAAAAATATAAACAGTTAAGCTTATGAATTTTTAAGCTGTTTGTTTGTGACTCTGGCATTACTCTTTTTTAAAAGTGCCCAGTAATGAATCACACATAAACACTGTACCCTTTTAATGATTTTTCTTCATGATAACTTTTGATTATTTTTATATTTTTTTAAATATTTAATAAAATAAAATATATTTGTGTTTCGTTTGAAATTTTTTACACAATTTTGATTTATATAAATTTCATTTTTTATTTGTATAGTATTTTTTAAGTAAAATGAAATGTAAAAACCTAAAACTTTGTCTCGTTTTGAGTTTTATGCAATCCTCGAAAACGGAGGGGGTTTGATGATTTTTTTAATATAAAGTAATAAATTTATTTTTTTTCAAAAAAAATAATAATACTCCATTTGTACGGTATGTCTAACCCCTTTTTTCCTACTAATCTAAAAAAAAATATTAACACATAAAATAATTTAATTAAATTTATCTTGTAAAATATTTTTAAAAAATAACACGTACTTTATTTTATTGAAGATTACTTGTAATTCATAATTAAAATTTGTAGAAACTAAATATTCCATTAAATTAAAGGTCAAATTTGTGATCCAACCAAACCTTAGCGTGCTCCAATAAATGGTACAATTCGCTGGCTTTGGTTGAGTAGTGAACATCGTACGCCTCAACCCCCTTGTGCTTCTCCTCGTACTTCGCCGCCCAGTACGCGCTCTCGTCCACGAACACCGTCCGCCCGCCGCCGTTCAGCGTCTTCCACAGCAGCGTCTCGTGGTTCAGCCCGAACACCAGGAAATTGCACGCGTTCCCGCACTGCCCGAGCGCGGCCGCCACGGCGCTCACCTCCGCCGCCGACATCCGCGCGTACGCCGGCAGCGTGACGTTCGCCGTGGCGTAGTGCACCAGCGCTTCCATCACCGGGTCCGGCGCCGGCGACTTCCCCGCCGCATCCCCGCCGGGCCCGGCGTGTCCGCCGCCGGAAATCAAAGAAAGGGCGATTGCGAAGGCGAAGAACGAGGTGAAAATCAGTGCCAGGGTACGGGGAAACGCCGCCGCGGATTTTTGAATTGACGGGTGGAGAAGTATGGGATTTGCTCCGGCCTTCATCTTCTCCACTGATAATCAAGATTAGTGAATGATTATTAATGGGTTTTGCTTAAAGATTGGATCTTTGATCTTTAATTTCATTGTTGTTTAACTTTAGGCACTTATATTTATGATGAAATGTGAATTCTGCAGTGCTTTGGGCTGTTGAAGTGAAGTGAACATGAATGATCAGTTCATTGTATGGGAAGAGATGCATAATGGTATGCTTGATTAATGAATTGAGTGATTTCTATGTGAATGTGGACATGAATATCAATTAGTCACATACGGAGTATTTAAGGTTTTAGCATTTGAACCTTTCTCTTTCATTCTAGATTTCTAGATATAATTTTTATAATTGATGAACAACTATTTATAATTAACTTTGGGCTGTCTTTATAACTAATTCATTTTTCCTAATAAATTAATTCAGATAGGTCGCATTTTAGGGCGTTACAGACTTACAAGAGTAGATGACTACCACCAGGGCCGGTCCCGAAAAATGAAAAAATTAAATTAGCCCGGTCCAAAAATTACATTTTGTGCCCTATTTTATATTTTTAGAATACTTTTACTTTAAAATTATTAACAAATTTAAAAATATGGTGCCCTAAATTTTAAGGGCCCTGTGCGGTTGGCAACTTTGCACACCCTCCGGGCCACCCATGACTACCACTATCAAGGACCTTGCATCAGCTTTACTTAGTCTACAACGAAATCAAGATCTAGCACCTCATCAAATGAAGACTTAATAATGCTTTGAATGTAGCATGGAGGTTGGTAGATTTAGAAGCGATGGAGGAACTAGAGAAACATTTGAGGGGACGGGATAGGTTGTTGCTGCTACCGGAGCTAGTGCCGCCGCATTGTCATCGTCACAATGTCTTATTAATTGTTCATTGTGTGAAATAAGGTCATAATGTCAAAACTGACTATAGATAAATTAAAGCCACATAAAATGACACCGATGTCTTGACATATTCAAAAAGATAAAAAAATATTTAGACAAGAAACAAAAATATTTAATTTGACAAATGAAGTATATCTTATTTTTTTTATTTTATTTTTATTTCCAACATAAACATTTTTTTTAATTTTTATTTTTTTTTAAAACTAGGTTTGGAAAAAACAATTTTTCTTTATTTCACAAACAAATATTTTTCTTCTCTTATGAAAAAAATGAAAAAGGTGAAGGAGCGCGGACGCCCATAACCAAAACCATAGGGAGTGGTGGAGTTATTCATCTAATATTTGAAAGATTTTTTTGTCAAAAGGTGTAATAATATCAAAACAGTGAGAGACAACAACGTAAATTTTGAAGCCATAAGGTACACATTTCCAAAGGAGCTGGAGTTGTGTAATACTACCTCCGTTCCATTGTATTTGTCCAGTTTTGACTTTTGAAACTGTTCATCTAAACACTTTGACTCATCAAATTCTCTCAATGTGTAAGCCTAAAAATAGTTATGTGTGATCTTGTTTGATTCGTCTTAACATATAGATTATTAATATATAATTTTTTAATATACAAATTACAAGATAAAATGAATTAAAGAAGTGTATTGAATGGTGTGCCAAAAGGTAAGTGGACAAAGACAGTGGGAGTGGGAGGGAGGGAGAGAGTAAACTGCAAATACACACGGTTCAACGGCAGGCACCACCGAGCATTTCCGAGGCACCGCTTCATACTTCATCATTAAATTAGCTCTCGGTTATTTCACTTTTCCGGTAATCGAAGCGGTGGGACGGGGAGAGCTTTGGATCCCAAAATTAGGCACTGAGTCTTATATAAATGAACACAGCATTTCATTTCAATCCAAATCACAGAGATGAACAGATTGAAGCTAATGGAGAAGTCACAATCGCCTCCCACCATGGACCGCCGTTGACCGATCTTCTTCATATCGCTCTCACTTTGATGATTTTCAATGGATTGCACCAATACCTATCTGATCAAAGGTATGATGAAATTTGGTTTTCTGCTTTAATGTTACCATCTACACTTCAGTCTAAACCTAGCCACTTTAATTTTCTCATACTTCTCCATCACGATGAAATGAATTTAATTACATTGATTTCGAGCTTCTGAAGAATAGGGTTTGATAAAGTAAATTGCTGTGAAAATGAGTTCGAACTCGACAATGCCGAAATTTGGGCTGGGAAGTAATAAAAATATCACTCCCAGATCCTAAAAAATGGATTCTTCCATGTAATTTTCTTCCCAATAAAGACCTTCCGAAACTATAGATATATTCTCAGAAATTGTATAAAAAAGAGTAATGTTATAGTCACAAACAATTTGGATACAAACTATACAAACTTAACATTTGTGTATTTAAATTTTTATTTTTTAATTACTTAAAATCATTTTACTGACCTGGAGAAGTGAAAAAATAGTAAGTTTGTGTCTAAATTGTTTGTGTGCTGTGGGCTTCATACTATTCTTCTCTTAGCCAAACTTTCTACCGCTGCATTTGTTTGGAAAGATTTTTAGTGTGGCAGCATTGTTAAATAGTGTATTCTTTTTATCTCCACTAGTTTTTTCTCTATTTGGGTTTTCCTAATATAAAAGTTTTTAATGGGGTATGCATAATGGAACATCCCAGAGAGGGTTTTGTAGATAAAATGATATTGTAAATGTCAATGACATGCTGAAGGTTTTCTTCCTATAGGATAAATGCTGCCCCTTCATTTTTGTAACAATATGAACCCTATATACAGTGATTAGAAACCAAGCATTTCCTTGTAACCAAAAACTGCAGAGACAAGTGGAGGCTCAGAAGATCAAGAATCTGGAAACAGTCTGAATCGCTTCCTTGAACTTCCTGAAGATGTAATTGCTAACATCCTTCATCGATTGGGCGCTTATGAAATTCTGAAAAATGCACAAAGAGTATGTTCTTTGTGGAGAAAAATCTGCAAAGATCCGTCCATGTGGCGTTTCATTGATATGAAACATCTGGGTCGCTATGGGTACTTTGGTGATGTGCGCAACAAATACCTTGAAACCATGTGTCGTCAGGCAGTCGATATGAGCCAAGGGCAATTGACTGAACTTCACATTGATCATTTTGCTACAGATCAACTGCTCCATTACATCTCTGAGAGGTATGATGAATTTGTTGTTTGCTTCAGATTCATCTCACAACTAAAAGGAACTAATTCAAAACCTCAATCACACTTGAGAATGGTTCATTTGTTTATAGTTTGCGTGTTTCAAAAATGACTAATTGTTCGAATAAACTCTTCTACCAGTAATATTCAGAACTTGCTTGCTCATTTCTACAGATCAAGTATGCTAAAGTCCCTTCAACTCAGGGGTTGTGATGAAGTAGGGATTGGTTTCATTGAAGCGGCTAAAACTTTTCCTCTACTCGAAGAACTTCACTTTGTGTACGTCTTAGGTGTTCGCAACTACATCGAAGCTATTGGCCAGTCCTGCCCGAAGTTGAAGTCATTCACATTGAGCTCGTCAGACTACATAGGTGGTCCTCTGTATGGATATGGTGAATGCAACGACAATCTTGAAGCACTAGCAATTGCAAAAACCATGCCTGGTTTGCACCACCTGGAAATAATATGACAAATGAGGGCCTGCAAGCCATTCTTGATGGGGGTGTCCTAATCTAGTGTCTTTGGACATACGGAGATGCTACAATGTGAATCTGCGCGGAGAGATTGGTGAGAGAATCGCTGCAAAAATAAAAGATTTCAAATGCCCGAATGATCCAGTGGAAGGTGGTTCTAATTGGGATGCTGATCCTTTTTATTATGAAGATTATAGTGATGAGTGTGACGAAACCCCATACATGGACTGCTCTTCTGATTATGACTACTTATTTGGTGACTCCATTTATGAATTTGATTATTAATTTCTCTACTGGTTGGGGGTCAGATTTTTTTTTTAAATTTTAATATTAGCCGATTAAGTTGTAACTCTTCTTTGCAAGGTTTAGACGCTTTTTGATGATGAGTTTTGAAGCATGCAATGTAACTCTTCTCCGCTTTTTGTTTTTTAAGCTGAGGACTTATTTTCCATCTTTAAACCTTTCTATGAGGTCACACTTTGAGTGTTCCATTTTAAAATTTACAAAAAGCAAGTCTGTGAACGATTTGTTTGTAACTCTAGAATTATCGTGAATGAATGAATGGTTGTCTTTGGCTATCTTGGGAAATGAATCAAACTTGCTTCATAATATGGATGAAGCTATTTGTATCCCAAGAATTTATACCCTATTTTGTACACCATAGGGATGTACTAACATTTTGTGTTAGTGTAATGTTAAGTTTTGTTAACGCACTAATACTTTGTGTAAATACTTTGTTAATTTGTTAATTTTAATTTTAATGTTAACGCACTAATACTTTGTTAATTTTAATGTTAATGTTAAGTATTAGTGTAAATTTTTGTTAAAGCACCAATACTCTGTGCATACCCAGGGCACAGCCCAGCCGGTTTGCACATCCCTTATCATCATCATCATCATCAAACAAAAAAAGAAAAAGAAGAATGCATAATGGAGGGAGCACTGAGCTTTGCGAAATTAGTGGCGACAAATAATGGGGGTGATTAGGACTTGTTCAAACAACTTTATGGAGGGAGCCTATATGTTAACACCCAATCTGGCCCAATTTCAGATGATACCAGTAAGTAAAAAAAACAAAGGAATTGAAGTGCTGTGACAATAATCTGAAGGAATTTCCTTACTATATATATATATATATTCATCCATCACTTTGCTTGCTTTATGCCAATGGATTGCTCCAATACACATATGATGAAAGGTATTTATGTATGATCGATGATATTTCGTGCTCTCTCTATATATTTGTGCTATATATGTCCTTCCCAATACAGAGACTATTTATCAGTAGTGACGAGCAAAAAAAAAAAAAAGTTGCAGGTACAACAAGTGGAGGCTCAGAAGAAGGAGAATCATCAAACAGCTGCAGTCGTCCCAACCGCTTCCTCGAACTTCCCGAGGATGTGATTCGCGACATCCTTCGTCGATTGGGTGTTGAAGACGTTCTGGAAAATGCACAACGAGTGTGTTCTTCCTGGCGAAAAATGTGCAGAGACGACCCTTCCATGTGGCGTGTCATTGACATGAAACGTCTGGGTGGGGAGGACGAATGCCTCGAAGTCATGTGTGCTGAGGCAGTAGATCGCAGCCAAGGACAACTCACTGAAATCCACATTGATCATTTCGCTACTGACGAATTGCTCCTCTACATCTCCGAAAGGTAAATATATACATGATGAATTCGTTATTCCAAACTTTTCAAAAATTGGATGGAGTGTGTGTGTGTGTGTGTATGATTTGCTGCTTAATTATTTGTACAGATCAAGGCAGCTAAGATGTGTTCGAATTAGGAATTGCTCTGGAGTTGGAGATGGTGGGTTGATTGCACTGGCCAAAAAATGTCCTCTCCTGGAAGAGATGCACCTTGCCGAACTCTCAGACGTTCACAACTGCATTGAACCTATCGGCCACTCCTGCCCCAACTTGACTTGGTTCACGTTGAGTTACTGCCACAGTTTTCGAGACCGTGACTACAGGGGCGAGGATTTCGAAGCGCTGGCGATTGCGAAGAGCATGCCCGGTTTGCGCCACCTTGGAGTCGTGGGAAATGGCATGACAAATGAGGGCCTGGAAGCCATTCTTGACGGGTGCCCGAGTCTCGAGTCCCTCGATATTCGGAAATGTAACAACGTGGACCTGCTGCTTGGAGAGATGGGTGATAGAATTGCTCGGAAAATGAAGTGTTTCAAACGCCCGGATGATCGAATGGAACGGTGTGAATGGGAAGCTGGTTTGTGTATTTATCATTTTGATTCTGAGGATTATGATGAGGAAGATCAGTACGATGAGCAGGGCCAGGGAGGAGCCTACTTCGACAGCTTCGGCTACTCCAGTGATGGGTGGTAATTCAAATTATTCAAATTACCACTAAATATTTGATGGATTAGAGATTTTACCTTATCCAATATTATTTGAACAGTACAAGTAAGCTCACTTTTATCTAATCCAAGATATAAAGCAGATAAATTGTTCAAGACGGAACCAGAGACATGAATACGAAGAATATATAATTTGATGAGATGTATAAATATTTATAGGGGCCCAAAGATATATACATAATACCCCACACATGGGATATGTTTCACCCCTTCCCATTATCAAAGGGAAGCTACGGAGAGGAGAGAGGAGGGAGCCCAATTCCTACAAGCTCCTATTACTATTCTTCCTTCTTCTTCTTTAAAGTTGGAGTTCCATTAATGACTTGAGGCTCCTACAATGATGTATATGTAAATTCTCCCGAGATTAATAAAAGTTTCTCCCCTTGGCATATCACCGCCTAAAAAGGCCTTGGTTTTCTCCCGACTTGGGTTTCCATGTATAAATACTTTTTCTCCGCTTTATTTATTTATTTATTTATTTATTTATTTGTTGAATTTTGCTATTCGGTGTGGTGCGACCAAATACTGAGTTCGTCGGATCGACACCCCAAAAAACGGTTTCCATCACTGGCGCCACCCGTGGGAACTCGGTTACGAAAAGTCTACCCGCTCTGAGTCCTTAAAAAAAGAGAAAGAAAAGTGGGAGAGAAAGTTATAAAAAAAGAGATAACAAAGAAAAAGTGGAGAGGGACTTCCAAAAAAAGAACGGAAGTAGTAAGTAAAAAATAGAGAATAGATTTGAGATTGGCCAGGAAAGAGGGAACCATAGAAAGAGAGGAGGAGGATGAAAGAGTCAACCCTTATCTGTCCCACGAGTTCCCTCACTACAGCGTCCATGATGGCCTCTAATGGTCCGTTTTGGACTCCAAGAAACGGCGCCAGCGTCAAGTGGACCGTTCCAACATCTAGGATCCATCCAAGGGATGAAATATATTCCAAATTTAACTTTGTAATTTGATTTTTCAAATATATCTTGAGCGTCAAGAAAAAATATAAATAACTTATTATATTGATGAAAAATGGACGAAGTATATTGCAAACCAAACTGAGTTAATTTAAATATATTAGTCATTCTATACATAAATAACTTGTCATATTAATAAAAAAAATGGACGAAGTACATTGTAAACCAAACTGAGTTAATTTAAATATATTAGTCATTCTATTCAAAAGTAAAAATATTTTATCGGAAACAAATAAAATAAAACCGGAAGAATTCTAAAAAACGGAGAGAGTAACAACAACAACAACCACAATAACGAATTAACAATAATAATAATAATAATAATAATAATAATAATAATAATAATAATAATAATAAATATGTTAATTATGTTATGTACATAGATTTTCTAACCTAGGCGGCTACTTATTTCAACCCTACCCTACTTTGGATTATTACTTACACCTTCGTCGCAGAGTATTTGTCCACTTTCATTTTTATACACCATCCAATGCACTTCTTTTATCTTGTAATTTGTATATTAAAAAATTATAGAAATTATATATTAATAATCTACTCCCTCCGTCCCAGAGTATTTGTCCACTTTCATTTTTGCACATCATCCAATACACTTCTTTAATCCATTTTATCTTGTAATTTGTATATTAAAAAATTATAGAAATTATATATTAATAATCTATATGTTAAGACAAATCAAACAAGATCACACATGATTATATTTAGGCTTACACATTTAGAGAATTTGATGAGTCAAAGTGCTTAGATGAACAGTTCTAAAAGTCAAAAGTGGACGAATATAGCGAGACGGAGGTAGTATATGTTAAGAAAAATCAAACAAAACCACACATGACTATATTTAGGCTTACACATGAATTTGATGAGTCAAATTGCTGATTAACAGTTCAAAAAGTCAAAATTGGACTAATACGAGAGAGTGAAGAAATTGCCGCCTGCGCCTCCCGCCATGGCCATTGCTAGCTAGAACATCTAGAAGAAACCGAGACACTTGGTATTTCATGTGCGCCGTGACGCAGTAGATCGCAGCTATTGAATTCCATATTATTTATTCATCGATTACTTCTTTGCTTAATTGCTCCCAATGGATTATCTCAAAGGTATGTTGAATTCTCGTGTTCTCCTTTTATATTATGTACTCCGTATGTACTTTTGTCATTAAGGGTGCTTTCTGTTGGCCTGATTTGATCTGATCCTATTTTTTGAAAATCTGGTCTGATATGATTTGATTGTAATTATAATTAAAGTTATTTCTGATTTGGTCTGGTGTGATCTTCTTATAATGAGAATAACTAATAAGCAGAAAAAATAAGTTGAATGAAACACTGGCTTATTAATTAACCATGACCTTTCCTTACAAGTTGTAAGGTTAAGGACATTATTGTACAGTTTTAGCCTTGTTGGTTTCATGGGAGCAAATATGCAGGGTGCTCTTAGCCAAACTTTTTCCAACAGTTTTTCTTGCCAAGACTTTGAATGAGGCACCATTGTTAAACAGTGTACTATTTATCTCTCCACCAGTTTTCTTTTTCTGTTGGGTTTTCATGACAAAAGGTTTTAATGTGGGATGTTATAATTTGTTATAATGTTCCTCGGATGAATGCTGCCATTCAATCTTGTAACTATGTGAATCCTACTATAAACCAAGCATTTAGTTTCAATATCCTAAAAATGAGATGTCCTAAAATTCCAGAAACAAGTGGAGGCTCAAAAGATAAGAAAACAAGAAGCAGTCTCAATGGCTTCCTAGATCTTCCTGAAGATGTGATTGGTAACATCCTTCATCGATTGGGTGGGCAAGAGATTCTGGGAAATGCCCAAAGAGTTTGTTCTTCGTGGAGAAACCTATGCAAAGATCCATCCATGTGGCATTTTATTGATATGAAACATCGAAGCGGTGACAATTCTTGCATTGGTCCCATTGGCCGCGGATACCTTGTCGCGATTTGCCGTAAGGCGGTTGTTTGGAGCCTAGGACAATTGACTCAACTCCACATTGATTATTTCGCGACAGATGGATTGCTTGATTTCATCTCTGCAACGTATAATGAATTTGTTGTTTGCTTTATATTCACCTCTGCAAGGTATAATGAATTTGTTGTAGAAATACTAGTAATTTTTTGACATCATTCTTCTTAAAGACATGTCATTCATTCGTCATTGTTCCGTGTCTGCACCTTTGCTGTATGTCTCAAACAAAGATGGTGTCAAAAGTCTCTAACCCTAATGTATTTCCCCCCTTTTTAACCATAATTTGCTCATTTGTACAGATCAAGTAAGTTAAAATGTCTTCAAATTAGGGGTTCTTCTGAAGTAGAAGATGGATTGATTGAAGCAGCAAAAAAATTTTCTCTACTTGAAGAACTTCACTTTGTGTATGTCTTAGGTGTTCATGAGTACATCGAACCTATTGGTCAGTCCTGCCCAAAGCTGAATTCGTTCACGTTGAGCTCATCAGACCATAGACATAGGCCCTCGGCCTATGCGTCTGATGATGACTGCAACAATGACTATGAAGCTCTAGCAATTGCCAAAAGCATGCCTGGTTTGCGCCACCTTCGGCTTGTGGGAAATAATATGACAAATGAGGGCTTGCAAGCCATTCTGGATGGGTGTCCTTATCTTGAATCACTAGATATCCGGAGATGTTTCAACGTTGATCTGTATGGAGGGATTGGCGATAGAATTGCTCAAAAAATAAAAGACTTCAAATGCCCGAATGATCCATTGGAAAAAGGTTGCGTTTGGGATGCTGATGTTTTTTATTGCCCGAGGGACTACTCGTATGAACGCTCTTGAGGAGTTTGATTTATTTCTCTGTAAGTAGTGCAAGTATTTGAATTTTTGGATGATTTGATGAACATGTAAGATTCTATGTTGCAAGGTGTAGACCCTCTTTGGGATGATGAGTTTTGGAAGCATGTAATGGCACATATATGAGATCCCAAAACTTTATATTTTGGATGTCTTTATAACCAAGAGAACTTGTTTTTCTTGTCTATAAATTTTGGAGGAATAGTGAAGTAAAATTTTGCTGATGTGCTGATGAATGGCACATTACATACTCCGTATATGCTTGCAGTGTACTTTATATTTTTTTGGTCCTATACACGGAGTATTTCTTTCTATTGGAGTGTTCTAATTTCATACAAACTTTCATTTATTTGTAATTTTTATAGTGTATATGATAAAATTAAATATTTTTATTATTTGTTTTGTTGAACTTTTGATATCGTTTTTAAATATATAAGTTTTTATTTTTATTTTTATACCAATAATTAAATAATATAAATTGAAAATAATTGAGATTTCACTTCGTTTTGCAGAACGAGAAAAAAGATATAAGTCATCAGGAATATGGGAATGTGACCTTCCCCTCCTTAAAAAATTTATTTCGTTAACTTGCATTTTTAAAAAAAATCATTTTCCAAAACTTCTGCTGAGTATAGGGTGGGCACGGATCGGGAGGGTCCAGTTTTAGGTTGTCCCATGTCTTGTCCCGTTATATATAAACGGCGCGGAACGGTTTGGATTACAACCTTATCCCGGTTTGTCCCATAAAATTCGGGATCGGAATAAAACGGGACGGACTCAGGTCGTCCTATTTGGTCCTAAATTGCAAATATAAGAAGTGGGAGAGAGTGATATTTCATTCAAAAAAAGAAATATGTAGCCATCCAACAAAAAACAATGACTAGAATGGATCCAAATCAATTTCAAGCCTATGAAGTTAACTTAATTAAATAACTAATTAATTAAAGAATGAGTGTATTTAAATTTTGGACTAGAATTAGTATTATATATTAGTAGTTGTCCTGCTCATGTCCCATTTGATATTGGGACGGAACGGGTTCGGGATAAAAAAAAATGTGTCCCAATATATCGGTACAATTACAAAACGGAACTGAGATTTTTCGGAACGGTCCAACGGGAACAGATTTCATGCCCACCCCTAGCTAAGTAAACGTTAGAATTATAATGGCGAGCCAAAACTCGCACACATGAGAAATTATGAGATTATTTTCCGTGATAACGAAAAGTGATAATTTTTGAAAGAGTGCTAAAGATAAAATTATTTGGGACAGTTCCATTTATACAGGATTCCAGTGTCAACGGATGACACTCTAATTTGAAGTTCTTCTAGTGCTCTAATGAAAAATTGATGGTTCTTATCCCTCTAACCATCAACCACAACCTGACCCCTGCACCCCCACCTAGACCCCCCCTTTAGGCTTTTACTCTTCCAATGGGTTGTTGTTGTTGTTGTTGTTGTATACAAAAACTCTCTAGCACTATGTTTGGTTCATTGAATTTGAGAAGGGAAGGAATAAAATTGAGAAGGAAAAAACATTTTTCTTGTTTGGTTAGAAAAGAAAAGTGGAAAGAAAGAAAGATACTTTCTCCGTTCCATAAAACCATTCTCTTTTCGTTTTTTTCCAATTTACTAAAACACTTCTATTTTCTATTAAAAAATCACTTTTACTTCTACTTTTTCATACCTTACCTATCACATCATACTTTTTCACTAATAACCAAACTAGCATATCTTATTTTTACTCGAGTAAAATTGGAAAATCAACTAAAATTATACTTTTTTATTTTTGCCCAAAGTTAAAATAGAAAGGATTTAAAGAAAGGGAGAGAGTTGAAAAGGTAAAATGTACACGGATGAGAAAACTTAGAAAAAATCATGAGCAATGCTAGGGGTAGGTGTACCCCATTTGTCCCCATCTCTTTCTCCACCACTCAATATTATTTTATTTTTATTTATTTAATTTTTTTTAGTCTCTTGTCTTTTTTTGTGGTTATGGAGGGAGTGTGGGACAAATAGAGTACACTTTTGGTATACCCGTAGCATTTTTTCAAAAATCATTCCTTTAACCAAACAGTCAAACACAGCTACTATCAACCTAGAAGAAAACGCGTAGTAGTCAAGAAGGTCGTAATTGTGGTTCAAACTTCATACTCTTCTCCGACTCTCCGTCCGCCGGGTCATTAATACCTCCCGGTAATGGAAGCCGTGTGGGGGCGGCGGGGACGGATTAGAATCCCTAATTATGGCAGTGAGCATATTATTTATACATAAACAGAGCATTTTTCATCTCAAACCTGAACTAAAACTGAGACGATCTGACAGGCCACAATCGCCTCCCTCGAGCTGAATGAACTCCATATTCATCACTTTGCTTGGCACCAATGAATTTCCTTCGTTTTCTGCTCAGAGGTATGATGCATTTTCTTCGTTTTCTGCTTTTTATGTGTACTAATCATTAACTGTATGATTTTCCCTGTACGCCTCTATGGAGTTGCCAGTCAAGTATTTATGCATTTTTTTATTTTTGTAAATTCTGATTTTGAGCTTTTTGAAGAACACCTTTTGATGAAGTAAAGTGCTGTTATCATAAACACGCCAGCTGAGTATACATAATGGGCCGATACCATACGTACATTAATAAATTTCAGTTCTAGTTAGTTTGAATTTGATCTTGTTTGTTAGTTATAAATGGAATGATTTGGATTTGAATTTGTGATGTTCCAAATTATATTGATTGTTTAAACAACCGCTCTATGTTTTAAACATACAGTTAGTTTTCCAATTACAAGCGTTGGAATACAGTAATGCTTGTAATGAGATATATTTGTGGAACCCTTGATAAGATCTTATTTAAATTAGGAACCAAATATTTGGGCATATGGTGGTAGAGTTTACTATGATTTGTATAACACAATATTTCACACATGTGATTTGTATAAGAATTTGCATAATCACAATGTGAATCCTATATATGGTTATTAGAAACCAAGCATTTAATCTTTTGTATGTATGTGACACCTATGTACAGTGATTAGAAACCAAGAATTTAATTCCTAACCTAAAAAAATTGCAGGAAGAAATGGAGCCTCAAAAAAAGATCAAGAATCGAGAAGCGGTCCCAATTGCTTCCTCAAACTTCCTGAGGATGTAATTTGTAACATCCTTTGTCGATTGGGAGCTTACGAAATTCTGAAAAATGCTCAAAGAGTCTGCTCTTCATGGAGGAACATCTGCAAAGACCCTTCCATGTGGCGTTTCGTTGATATGAAACATCTGGGTGATGACGACAAATACCTCAAAGCCATGTGCCGTCTGGCAGTAGACAAGAGCAAAGGACAACTGACTGAACTCCACATTGATCGGTTCGCTACAGATGAATTGCTCCATTACATCTCTGAAAGGTATGATGAAATTGTTATTGTTTGCTTCTGACTCATTTCACACTGGAGTATAGTTCATAACTTCAAGGGAATTGAAATTGAAATTTGTGATTCACATGTTCCAAAATACGAGTTATCTTTTATATAATCTGCTCATGTCTGCAGATCAAGTAAGCTCAGATGTCTGCTAATTAGGAATTGCCAAGGAGTTGGAAATGATGGATTGATTGCAGTAGCCAAGAAATGTCATCTACTTGAAGATCTGCACCTTGTCCACATCATAAATGCTCACAACTCCATCCAAGCTATTGGTCAATCCTGCCCGAATCTGAAGTCTTTCACGTTCACTGACTGCATGAACATTTATGATACTTGCAATGTGAATTATGTTCCGCTAGCAATTGCAGAAAGCATGACTGGCTTACGCCACCTTAGACTAGTGGGAGATTTTATGACAAAGAAGGGCATGGAAGCCATTCTTGATGGCTGTCCTAATCTGGAGTCACTGGATATCCGGAGATGTATATTCGTACAAGGAGAGATTGTGGATATGATTGCGAAAAAAATAAAAGATTTCAAACGTCCCAATGATCGCGTGGAACGTTGCGATTATGAGGCTGGCATTGTGAATTGCGTTGATACTTTGGTGGATCACAGTCGGGAAGACTACAGTGAAGACTATGGACAAGACTACTCAAGTGAAGAATCTGACTAATTTCTCCTCAGGTTGCGAGCATTTGGAACTTCGTACTAGCGTCTTTTGCCATTGTAATATTCGGAATCCTTAAAAATATTACTTTGTACAATAACCTCATTGCCAGCAACATTTGCTGTATGTGAACTTTTTTTCTTGACTGATCAGTCATTAGAATTGCTGTCGTTTTGTAATATCACTTGATCCTCAAAAAACATAATTTTTCATGTCATCTAATAAGTTTGGATAAGTGTATTTTACTATACTCAAGATGTGAGCTTGGATTAAGAATCAATGTCATGACGAATTTGAATATTAGCAAATCTATCATCATCTATACCAATACTTCCATCTCTTTGGAATGGAAATGCTAAAGCCTAGTTATTTAAGTGTGTGCTTTGCATCAAAATGTACCCCTTTTTGAAAGGAGAAGAATTGCTTGGGCGAGCTTCCCAGGAGAGAAAGGAGAAGAGCTGCTCGGCGGAGAAGAAGAAGAAGAAAAAGATTTATATAATTTGTAACCACAGGACAAGTGGCTAACATTTTCCAATTTAAAAATAAATATTTTTTAATTATTATTTATTATTATTATTATATGATATTTATAAAAGGTTTTTATTTTGTAATAATGTGGGGAAGAAGAATCAATTTTTTTAATCATTGGTTATTGTCAATGATTTTTTATTTTTTTACACTTTTCAATTTGTTAACGCACCAATACTTTGCGTTAGTGAAATTTTTTGTTAACACACCAACACTTTGTGTGAACCATCAAAATGTTGGTGTATACCATTGGTTTATGTTTTCGGTACAATTTTTGGTGTAGTGTAGCATGGTTGATTGATTTTTGTTTCATGTAAATTAAACAATAAAGCCTTTTTTTTATAAAAAAAAATAAAAGTGTTTAATTGGAGACAAATATAGTGTACATTTATTCTTATAATTTCATTGATTTTTTTGTATCAGCACATGAAAAAATTGCTTTTTGAAAAATTATAAGAAATAGTTTTAAAAAAATACTTAAAAATTATTTATGAAATAAAGAGAAGAAAAAAGAAAAATAATAAACAAGAAAAAAAGGTAGAGGTGTGAGTGTCTATTTCTAAAACCACAAGGAGCGGCTGAGTTTTTCATCTAAAATTTGAAGGATATTTTAATGTAAAAAGACATTGACATAAGAATATAAAACCATGACGGTCAAACATGTTCTCTCTCCTTCTCAGTACATTTGTGTAGTTTGATTTTTTTAATCAAACGGATTGAATTTTAAACTTTAATTAAAGAAAAAACATACTTCTTCCATCCACAAATAAATTTCTCATTCACTATTCACATGGTGAAACTTTATTTACTTTCTAGGTCTATTTTCATTACTTATTTAATAAAATAATGTAGTCATGTCACCTCTAGTTTTGTAGCTCTTTTGATATAGTTTTTTAATATATAATTTTTATTTTAAAATTTTATACTATTATTCATATAAAATGAATTAAAAATAATTTCAAACAAATATTGTAACACACAACGAAAAGTTTATTTGTGGGCGGAGGGAATACTGTATTTTAGCATAAAAATACTTTTAATTAGATACGGAGTATTAGTACAAGAAACTAGTTTAAAAACTAAACTTATTTTTGCACTTTACTATTTACAAGTTACAAATTACACCGTGGCTCTAATAGAAATCGAAACAGAACATTTTATGCCAAACCTAAAAACGGAGATGAGCAGATAGAGGAAATCGCAATCTCCTCCGCCGCCTCCCGCCATGGCTACAACTCCATGGGAACCCGCCAATCCGCCGATATCATGTACCGTAACGCAGAAGGTCGCAGCAAAGGACGACTGAACTCCATTTATATATATACATCACTTTGCTACCAATGGATTGCTGGAATACACATGTGAAAGGTATATAAATGGTGAATATCGGTTTCTGCTTTTATGTGTAAATAGTCATTAATTTATTAATTACTATTTACTATATTTGATGGAAGTTTTTCGTAGTTCATGTTTGATTGAAGTAATTTTTAATTTATGTTATATGAAAATTGGTGTGAAAATTAAAAAATAAAAACTGTATATTAAAGAATTAATCAAAATATCTACAAAACAAGATAAGTGGTGATAAGACTATTTTATTTTATCTAATCGAAGAAAATAGATAAAGAAATTGAATAAAGTTTGACTTGTGAATGGTAATTTGGAAGAACCTAGAGGGACGTAGGGATTATATGACTTTCCTTGATGCCTCAACGGAGTTGTTTTTATGCATAATTTTTAGGGACATTTACCTAACCAAACTTTTATACACTGTTTTTGTGAAAAAACATTTTTAATGAGGCAACATTGTTGAAACAGTGAATTGTTTTTCTTCACTAGTTTTTTGTTTTTGTTTTTAATGAGGTGTAGATATAATTTGTTAATGAACATCCAAGCGAGCGTTTTATAGATAATAATAACATAAAATGTCCATGACCTGCAAAAAGGTATCCTTCCTAGGATAAATGTTGCCTTTCAGCTTTATAACTATGTGAATCTAATACATATTGATTTAGAAACCATGCATTTAGTAATTTCTAACCTTAAAAAATGAGATGACCAAAAATTGCAGAAACATGTGGAGGCTCAAAAGATGGAGAATCTGGGAGCAGTCTCAATCGCTTCCTTGAACTTCCCGAGGACGTAATTGCCAACATCCTTCACCGTTTGGGTGCTTATGAAATCCTGGAAAATGCACAAAGAGTTTGTTCTTCATGGAGAAACATCTGCAAAGACCCTTCCATGTGGCGCGTTATTGATATGAAACATCTGGGCGATGAAGACGAATACCTTGAAGCCATGTGCCGTGAGGCAGTAGATCGGAGCCAAGGGCAATTGACTGAACTCCACATTGATCATTTCGCTACTGACCAATTGCTCCTTTACATATCTGAAAGGTAATACGATGAATTTATTGTTCGCTTCAGATTCATTTCACAACTAACAAGAAATCATCCCACACCTCAATCACGTTTGAGTATAGTTCAAGGAAATTTAAATTTATGTATACTTTGTAGTTCACATGTTTCAAAATACGATTAATGTTTTTGAGCAATTTAGCAGTGGCATTGTATGTATTTTTTTTCCTTTTTAATTTTGCTCATTTCTACAGATCGAGTAAGCTAAGATGTCTTCAAATAAGGGACTGTTATGAAGTAGGAGACGATGGATTGATTGAAGCAGCCAAGAAATTTCCTCTACTGGAAGAACTGCACTTTGTCTCTATCTTAGGTGTTGTCGACTCCATTGAACCTGTTGGTCAGTCCTGCCCAAAGTTGAAGTCATTCACATTGAGCTCATCGGACTACAAACATGGTGTGATGTTTGAAAATGATGACTCCTGCATCAACTTTCAAGCAGTAGCAATTGCGCGAAGCATGCCTGGTTTGCGCCACCTTCGGCTTTTGGGAAGTGCTATGACAAATAAGGGCCTGGAAGCCATTCTTGATGGGTGTCCGAATCTTGAGTCGCTAGATATCCGGAGATGTTTCAGAGTTGATCTATGTGGAGAGATTGGTGATAGAATTGCCCAAAAAATAAAAGATTTCAAATGCCCGAATGATCCAATGGAAGAAGGTTGTGATTGGGATGCTGATATTTTTTATTATGGAGATTATAGTGATGGATGGTCTTCGCCTCGTTCTTACTCATGCATAGACTCTCCTGGTGACTCAACCGATGACTACGCATTGCGCGACTCCATTGAAGAATTCGATTTCAGCGACTCCATTGAAGAACTAGATTTCTTTTGTAGAGGTAGCGACTGTTTGGATTAGCGGATTAAGTTTGAACTTTTCTATGTTGAAATTTTATATTAGCATTTTTAGCGATTGCAATATTCGGAATTCTTAAAAATGTCATTACCAAATGCATTCGAGGTATGTGAACTTTGTTCCGAATCATCGTGTCACTACAATTGTTGTTTCGTAATATTGCTTGATTCTCAAAAAAACATAAATTTTCATAGTATCAAAACCTGAGTTGATGTGGCTTGTGAATAGCTACAGGTGCAAGATGCTTGAAATGAAGAGATATTTAATCCAATACCCATTGTGCAGACTTTTGAGACATAAATCTGATGGTAAATTAATTTCAATTTAATTTAACTTTACAAATTTAAATATGGGTGTTAGCTAAATTCACCCCAATTTTGGCTATATCCATCCAATTTGTTACAAATGTACAAATTTACTCCTAAAAATGTAAAAAGAGAAAAATGACATGTAAACTTAGCCTAAGGATGAACTTGTCCAATTCTCTTATGTGGGGGGAATTATTTCTGTGTCTTATTTGTTAAAATAATATAATCATGACACATCTAATTTTCTAAATCTTTTCATAAATTTTACTCCGTAAATAGCTTTATCCAAACATCGTAACATGCAATGAGAAACACTAAAAAAGAAAATGAAAACCGAAATGTTGAGAGTGGGATTTGAACCCACGCCCTTTCGGACCAGAACCTTAATCTGGCGCCTTAGACCAACTCGGCCATCTCAACTTGTGTGCTGAGGATTTGGGAGATATATTATAAATATTGTAGTATTCTATAGAATAGGTATACACTTAAATAACTTTTATTAAGTCTATTTTTAAAATGTAAACGTCCCCCTTAAAATGAAACTCGGCTCTAGTTCCATGTTTTGACATGAATTACTTACAATGTTTCATTCGTAATATGGATGGTTCTACCTCTTCTATTACTGATTTACTACAGATTTACTGCTAATATGTGATCGAAAAGAGTGTGACGAAGGGGTTTTGGGAGACTAATTAAAGAATAAAAACATCAATTAATAATGGAGATTGGAGAAACATAGGGAATAGGGGGGGGGTCAATAACATACTCCCTGTGCAAAAACATCACAATTCAAAAATAACGATATCTATTGTTTATTTATGTGTTTCATTTATTATTTTATGAAGTAATAAAATAAAATATTCTTGTCACTTTTTTTTGTGTATAGTTTTTGATATAATCTATAAATATGTAAGTTTATTTTGTACTTTATATCATTCTTTAAATGAAACAAATTTTAAAAATTGAAATTTTGTTTTGTTTTTGCGCAAAGTGGAAAATATTTTAGAATAAAGAGAGTAATTTTTTGACACTTATAACTATGGAGCATATTACAATGTAGAATTTTTCACTCACTATTGGCCCGTTTGGCATCAGCGTTAGCTATTAGCGTTAGCATTTTGAAAAGGCTATCCGACGGTAGCCTTTAGAGATAGCGTTTTCGTAATTAATCTACACTATTAAAATTTTATCCAAAACGCTAACGTTAATCGAAAACGCTGTTCCCAAACAAAGCCATTGTGTCATTGGGGTTTAATTTCTCATTTGAAAGAGTTAAGAGTATGTAGCCAAACCAAGCAAGAATAGAGGGCATTTGCATGGGAAAATCAGGTGATTTCCCACTATGTGTAAATAGGGTGTAACTTATTCCTTTATATGCTCTTTTATTTTATACTTTCCCAAATAAAACCAACCAGAGTAGGCTATTCCGTTACATCTTTTATTATTTATTGAAACGGAATAGCCTAATCAGTTACTTTGAATTAATTACATAACGGAGTAGGGAACTCCGTATGACTATTTACTCTGTTTTTGTTTTGATAATTTTCTTTATTATTTCCTCACCTTCCCTTTTTTGTTCCCATGGGCCATGACATTTGTTTAAATTTTTTTTTTGTTTAAATAGTTTTTGTGACTTATAAATAAATTATAAAACTTAAAAAAAATTTATTTATCATTAAAATATTTTTGTTCATAAAATATATTTTTGATAATTTTCTTTATCATTAAATAAAATATACTCCATACTATAATTAAATTTATACAATTTTGATATTATTCAGCTCTTATCAACATATTTTATTGAATTCCTGATTTATTTCGATAAATCATTTCAAAATTCATATCATAACATAAATGTGTTGAAAAAGTTAAAGTGAAAAAAGAAAGTAAAAAAAAATTCAATTTTTTTAAAAACTAAAAAACATAAAGAGCACTAAAAAACATAAAGTAAAGAAAACTAAAAACAAGAACTAAGAGAGCAAACGGATTACTTTACTCCGTAATCTTTGTTTTTAATTGGGACGGACTAACTAGCTCCGTCTATACATTTAATTAAAAAAAAGAATTGGAACGGAGTAGGGAACTCCGGATCGCACTGGGAGGAAATAATTTCTTGACTTACCCTGCCAGGAAGGGAATTATTTTTTTTACATATATAGGGCATTTACTTGGGAAAATCCCATCAGGAAAAAGCTAAAAACCGTGATAATAAGAGGGTGTTTGGCAGTGCGCTGCTTTTAGTAATTTAGCTTCTGCTTTGAGTGGAAGTGATTTTATTCTGTTTGGCATGTCAGCTTCTGCTTTTCACCACCACTATTTTATACACAGAACATCGTTTTGGAGAAGCAGGTATGAGGTGCTTTTGCTTTCAGCTTTTGTGGAAATCACTTTATCCAGAAGTTAATCACTCTCAAACAAGCTCTAAGTAGTTAGTGTCGGCTTTGCGGCGGAAGGTGATCCGCAAGTGAAATGGAAAATGAGATTCAATGCATAAAAGAGAATGAGAATTTAAGACAAGAAAAAAATATTTCTCCCGTCTCAAAAAGATTTACACGTTTTAAAAATATTGCGTCCCACAATCTCTTACCCATTTATATTAAAAAACCACTTTTACTCCTTACTTTTTCAAACCCTACCTATTACAGCATACTTTTTTCCTAATAATCTACACATCACATCATACTTTTACCAATCAGTATTTTTGGAAAATCAACACAAAATTATCTCTCCCTTAATTTCTACTTTAGTCAAAATGTACCCATCTTTATGGGACGGAGGAAGTAATAGAATAAGGAAACATTATAAAAACATTATTTTTATAGAAAATATAAAATGAATTCATGAAGAAAATCTGCTAGGTTTCGATCCAAAAAGCCCTCCATATTGTTTGCCCAATAGATTCAAAAAAAATAATGATTTTTTATAGACTTAAACACATGAAGTATACATGATTTTTTATTATTATTTATTTTTTATGTCAAACACGCAAAAAATAAAATCTTTAAAATATTATACTCCTATCCCACAAAATATTTCTAGTTTTGAATTTTAAGGGATGTAAGTGGAATGTATTTTGGTATTGACTTTTTAAAAATACTCTTAGATGTGATAGGTAAAATTAGATGTGATTGGTAGATTAGTAGTATAAAAATGTGATGTGATATGTAAGTTAAGAATAAGTAGAAGTAAAAGTAATTTTTCAATATCACTCGTTGTCTGCTTACGTAAATACTTTTTATGATAATTTGAACAATAGATTTAGAAAATTTATAAACAGATGATTTGATGCTCCGAGCTGACATCTTCAAGTATTCGTCGAACATATGAGATGACGTCCCGTACGCCATATGGAAAAAATATTTAATTATAAAGGAATATTTCAAGAACATATTTTAAGTTTAGATCACATAAAATACCATAATATTTTCTATTTGATTTACATTTAATAAACATTTTTGGTAATAAGATCATTTAGAAAATAAATCTAAATTATAAAGAATCACGTAATAAAAGAGTAATTTGAGAAAATATCTTTTTTATAAAGGATCTTTTTTATAAATAAAGATTTAAAAAAGAGTAGATAAATGATTGAAATTTGTGTTTAGAACAAAAAAAAAGTCATAAAATCCCCATTTTATTAGCTTGGGGACAAAGGGAAGGGCAAAAGACTCAACGGCAGCCGGCAGGAACCGAAGGAGCTCCCGCACAGCTTTTGAAAATCTTACTACGGCGCATCATTAACAGGTCTCCGGGAATCGAAGCGATGGGGGCGGGATGGCATTTATCAATCCCGAATTTCAGCACTATAAACAGAGCGTTTCATTTCCAGGGATGAGCAGATAGAAGAAGTAATCGCCTCTCGCCATGGCCACAACTTCCTGGAAACCGACGGAACCCTAGATGTCCTTTTGTACCGCGAAGCAGTAGCTCGCCACCGATGGATCGCTCCAATAAATTTCAGATGAAAGGTATGAAGAATTTATCGACTAACCAGTCATTAATTACTGTATGTCCTTACTTCCTTGTATGCCTGTATGGAGTTGAAGTTGCTTGGCTTTTTTTTCTGGATTTTGAAATCATGTGTTTATGCATATTTTTGAAGAAGACGGTTTGAGGATTAAATTGCTGGATTTTGTTCTCAACTGTTTATGATTTGCATTTAAATTTCTGAATTCTGATGTTCCAAATGTTTTACAAGTTAAATTTCTGGTTTTAATAGTATTGTTTTTGTTGAGTAGATCGAATTTATTTTGTGTGTTTTTGTTATCAATGGAGTGTATTTGCTCATTTTATTTTTCTTGTTTATCCTCATCACTGGTTTCTAACTAAAGATTCTATTCACATTTTTCATTCTATTTGGTTTTCCTAATCAATCTATTTAGTGAAGCCAATGCATAGTCATTAGAACCAATCATTTAATCTCTAACCTAAGAAAATGATGTGTCAAAAATTACAGAAACAATTGGATTCTCGAAGGGCAGAGGATCAAGAAGCAGTCCCAATCGCTTCCTAGAACTTCATGAAGATGTAATTGCTAACATCCTTCGTCGATTGGGTGCTTACGAGATTCTGAAAAATGCTCAAAGAGTCTGTTTGTTGTGGAGAAAAATCTGCAAAAATCCCTCAATGTGGTGTTCTATTGATATGAGACATTTGGGTTTTCATGGACACCTTGAGGCCATGTGCCGTCAGGCAGTAGATTGGAGCCAAGGGCAACTGATTGAGCTCTACATTGATCATTTTGCCACAGATCAATTGCTTCTTTACATCTCTGAAAGGTGCGATGAGTCTGGTGTTTGCTTCTATATCTACACCTCAATCACACTCGAGGATTGTTCTTAACTTCTAGGGACCTGAGATTTATATAATGTTCAAGTTTTTGAAAAATTTTGCGGACTTGGTTTATTTTTTTTCCTTTTTAATCATGACTTGCTCATTTCTGCAGATCGAGCAAACTCAAATGTCTTCAAATTAGGTATTGCAATAACGTTGGAGATGAGGGATTGATTCAGGCATCCAAAAATTTTCCTCTACTGGAAGAACTTCACCTGTTCCATGTCAAGAATGTTTACAAGTCCATTGAACACATAGGTCGGATGTGCCCGTTGTTGAAGTCGTTCACTTTGTTCTCATTTGACAGCAGGTTTATGAGTTTCTTGTGTGAACAAGAGGAAGATGATGACTTTGAATTTGATTTCGTATCACTGGCTATTGCAAGAAACATGACTGGCTTGTGCAACCTTCGACTTTTGGGAAATAGTATGACAAATTATGGCCTGGAAGCAATTCTTGATGGGTGTCCTAATCTTGAGTCCCTCGATGTCCGGGGATGCTTTGGCGTTTTGCTACATGAAAGAATTTCTGGAAGAATTGCTCAAAAAGTAAAGGATTTCAAACACCCGTTTGATATGTCGGATGCCCGGTACTTGGAAGCTGTTAATTCGGGGTCTTGCAGTTCCAGAGATGTGTTTGATTTGCACTATGGTTAGGGGGCAATTGGGATTTTTGGATTTAATGATTAAGTTTAAGCTCTTCTATGTAGAAGGTTTAGACACTTTTTGGGATGTTTTGAAGTATGCAGTAGCGCATAGATGTAAGAATCCAAAACTTAATGTTTTTGGTGTTTTGTATGACTGGTGACTTATGTTGGTTTGATTCTTATTGGCTTATATTTCTCTCATGTTTTAGTGTTTTCTTTTCTTCTCTAATAACCTAACAAAGTTTTTCATATCACCTTCTTTATTCATCCCTTTCTAAATTTTTCTAAACAAAACAGTGCATTTTAATGATTCTTTTAAATACGATCGTTATGGAAATTAAATGCCTTTGGTGCCATCTTTTTTCTTTTTGTTTGAAATAGAAGTGTCTTAAATCCTTCTAATATATTTATGATTTCTTGTTTGTTATTCGTTAATGTTATTTATGTTTAAGAGTACTTACCATTTCGATTTTTCCAAATCAATTCATCAAGGGTACCTTTAATTAAGGGTTCCTTTGGTAAGTTGGCAAATGACTTTGGAAAAAAAAAAAGAACGAGAGAGAACAAGTTTTTTTATTTGGTTTAAGAGAAAAGAAAAGAGAAATGAAACAAAAACAAGATGAGGAACATTGATCCAAGAAGGAAAACAAATAAATATTATGGAGTAGGGAGTAATATTTATGTTCAAATAAATTACCAAATGATTACTGGAGAATTTTCTTAACTAAATTACCAAGCAATTTTTTTCTTAACAACTAGGATAACTAGTCGGTCTAAATAGCCAATTTAATCAATTATTCAAATCAGTCAACAACTAATATTCAAATGTTCAAAGCCACTTTACATGTATTAGAGAGTATTTAAACATGATAAATCTTAAATGGAGTAGAACAAGTTAAACTATACCCGATCCTTTATTTTACATAAATACGGAGTACTCGTAATAGTTACTGGTAGACAAAAAATTTAATAGATCCAATCCGCTGGAAAGATTTGGGTTTTATTTGTGTCACACATAACTATTAATCTTCCATTTCTCTGCCAATAAGGTTCTCATTAAAATTATGTAACACCATGAAATGTACCTTAGAATTTTATAATGAACTCTAGTAAAATGTAATTCTAATTTTGGATCCACCATAATAATAAAATTGGAACTAATCGGGTGGGTTAGTAGCCGACCGGAGGTGACTTGGATCCACTAAGCAATGATGTACGTACATTGAGACCCAAACTAAACTATGGCTCAGAGTTTGCTTTAGAATGAACATGAAAAAGAATGGTTGGCTAATGTTGCTATGTTTTACCTTGTATAATCATCTGAATATTTGTGTATATTTATATCTGTAAGTCATTTTGTGTTCTAGCGTAGATATCCCCACACTCGTTGAATTATGCGTGCAGATAGGGTCAAGGATTGGATGAGCATCCTGGAGGATAGTGAGACGTAAAGTCGGTGGATGACGCAAGGTTGTTGAAATCGAATCAAATGTTTTGTTGACTTCATATTGTTTAAAATACAAGAATGTTTTGATGATGTTGTTTTAATGACTTCTGCAACGTTTGTTTTATTTAAAATATATATGAGAGAATGTTTTATTTTAAATATCTTTTTTTAAAACATGGTGCATTTGAATACTAAATTTGTAACAATCCATTTTGCTAACTAGTTGATTTAAATTTTGCAGATTGATTTGGATTTTGACCCAAACCAGTCATATGTATACACCTTGAGACTGTTTCTATATGTCTCAAGAAGAACATCGAAAATTTCATTAACTAATTGTTATTTTGTTACTAAAAGAAACCCATAATGTAAATGAAATCAAGCCTTTAGTTTCTATGACTTTACTAGGTGCACACCAAGGCGTGTATCCCAAGTCATACATCGTATATATGTACCGATACTTTGTTGCTTTACATTAACACAAAATACTAGTGTGATCAAAAAATTTTGAATTACTCTGTAGCATTTTTGTGTGTCAATGTGAACAATAATTAAAGTTTCACTGCAGAGATGTGACGTATTACTTGATGTATAATGTTGGTGATGTTAGTGTCATCAGCTAATTTGTGTAATTGGATTAACTTAAGATTAGATAGAAATTTTAATAGACGTTGTTAGCGAGTTAGGAGGTGCAGAGTGCACGCTCGTTCCACGATATTAGAAATTTCATGACGAGGATCCGGGGGCGGAAGCCCCCGGTAGCCGGGTCCAAGGGGCGGCAGCCCATGGCGGGGTCCAAGGGGCAGAGCTGTGGCTGGGGCTGATTTTTTTATTTTGGACATTATCGTTTTATGAAAATCCTTTGGATATTCATAATCAGAGTCTACAATATATAAGTTTTGAACGTGTGAAAAACGTACTCAAATAGGCTTAAAACAGTTAACTATTCGAACAAATGCACATTTATTCGAATAGGTCAGCACATGCCTGGTTTTGGAGAACCCCAACTATTCGAATAAATGTCCATAATTCAGCACATGCTTGGTTTTTTGGAAGACCCCAACTATTCAAATAAGTTGCCACTTATTCGAATAGTTCGAATTGAATAACAGCCCAAAAGATAAGTTTTTCTCTACAGGTTGCGTTTATTCGGCCAACGGTCACGTTCGATCGCCCAAATACCTTTATTATGGGCTTGCGTTGTATGTTTGAGGTAAAAAAGTATCAGATTGAAGTATTTTAGTATATCACGAAATAACTTTAATCTGAAAACGTGATTTCACGCGATTCATTAAGTCTATCAAGTCAATATTTCGCTACAAGATACCAAGTAACACTGTTACGCAGCTTTGTTCCTCATTTCTAACATACGGAGTACAATTTTTTTTTTCTTTTTCAGTTCTTTTTGAATCTACGTACAAGTCAAATCCAAAAATTTATCTTGGGACGGAGTATTAAAAGGCTTAACCCAAGATTCAATTAACCTAAGATGCAAATGGTCAACATTTTATTTTCATCTAATTAAATTCCAGACGAACCCAACGAAGAAACTAGAAAGGGCTTACAAATTCTTGAATTACGCAGAAATTTCACACCAGGGCAATGAAGAGGAACAGAAAAACATATGTACTTACGTCAGCAACAACACCGACCAATATTGTTACGTCACCTCGCCGGTCGTGAAAATATCTCATCCCCCTATATATATAATTCCGCGAAAAAGAGTAATCCGGTGAAAAGAAGTTAGAAACAATGGCGGTTCATCGCCGGAACGCCGGCGGAATGAAAGGCACCTCCGCCGCAGAGAAGGCGGCCGCCTTCGACTGCAACATATGCCTGGACGCCGCCTGTGATCCGTTGGTCACATTTTGCGGCCACCTCTACTGCTGGCCTTGCCTCTACAAGTGGTCCCGGGCCCGCCCAGACGGCCCTCTCCGCTGCCCGGTGTGCAAGGCCGGGCTGCCCGACATGTCCGTCGTCCCGCTCTACGGCAGCGGCAAGGCGCCGACCAAAGCCAGGCCGGTTTCCTCCTTTAAGGTACCCCCGAGGCCACCCGCGGGCCCCACTCCTTGCCCCCAGGGCCGCCACCGTGTTGACTCTTGGGACAATAATGGCGGGCCCAGCAGGCGGGAGGTTCGGGAAAATGGTGTGGGCCATGGTGTTCGGGAGTAGGGAAAGTGGGTACGCCGCCGCGGCCCACTGGGGTGGGGAGAACGGAGGTCGGAGGAGGCGAGAGGAGATTGTGGCGGACGTGTCACTGAACATAATTTCAATCTTCCTTTTCTGGTGCCTCTTTGTGTGTTTCTTGTTCATGTAGTAAAAGAAAAAATTACATCTAATGTTGTCAATGCCGGTATATATTAGTGAAAGAAATTAGGAAAGTGCTAGGGTACACCAAAAGTATAACCCAACCATCTCCCACCCCCTCCATCACCACAAAAAAAGACAAGAAATATTCAAAAAAATTAAAAATAAAAACAAAATAAAATGATTAGTAGAAATGGGAGTGTTGTACATTTGGGATACACTATTTATTCAAAACAAATAAGATTTGAATTGCAATTATTTTCAATTTGTATTGTATTTAAGTATAATAATTCGCTGTATTTATTCAGTTTTACTTTTTTAATTAAAAACAAATAAAATTTGAATTGCAGTTACTCTCAATTTGTATTGTATTTAAGTATAATAACTCGCTATATTTATTCAGTTTGATTTTTTCAATTTAAAATAAATAAATTTGCATTTTAGTTACCCACAATTTGTATTGTATATAAGTATATTAAAATAAAAATCAGGAGTCTCAACAAGATAAATTTAAGAAAATTATTTTTTTAATATATACATTACCATTTTTATTTAGTTAAAATTCAAAATGAAAAAGTCAAACTAGATAAATATATTTAGAGGGATGAAATAATAAATCTGGAGAAATTAAAAAACAAAAGTAAAATTATGAAATAATAAATCTGGAGAAATTAAAAAACAAAAGTAAAATTGTTGAGAGTGGGATTTGAACCCACGCCCTTTCGGACCAGAACCTTAATCTGGCGCCTTAGACCAACTCGGCCATCTCAACTTCTGTTTGTTATTTAGGCTACAGGTTTATTAGACTAAAGTAGCCATCTCAATTTGTGTGGGTTCTTGAGGCTACGGTGTATTTATTACTATTATGTACTACATAAATATGCAAGAGATGATATATGGTCATTGTTGATATGTATAAGTGTCAATTTAATTTGATGTAGTAAATGCTGCTACACCACCACGAGGTCTTTGGTAGGACATAAGGACTTAAGGAGTAGATTTTGTATTATTTCTAAAACATTTTTTTCTCTTATGATTAAATAGCCCCTCCCACTATTTTATTTTTAATATCAAGTTAATTTTGAAAATATTTTTCTTCTCCATAACAGAAAATCACTCATTTTACAAAGATCAAAAACATATGAGGCAGCGACATGAACCTCCCATTTCATCTCATGACATGGGCTCCGATTAAGGCATCTACGATGTTCCGTTCGAAAAATCGATGATTCTTACCCCCTATAACCCTTACGGTAAATCCCTCACCTCCGGCTCGGCCCGAACAAACCCCTGCACCCCCGTCAATTGCATGCCACAAGATTAAGTTGACTTTGGAATTAAATTAGCTAAATCTTATGGTATGCAATTGAGGGGGAGCAGGATACGCTCGGGCCGGGCCGGGGTGAGGTTTATCGAGAGTTAGGGGGTAGGAACCATTAATTTTTCAAAGGAACATCGTATGAACTTCAGGTCATCTCATGACACTGAATCTCAACATTATGGGAACCAAGGTGAAAACATATTTAATCTTTACAATTTTGTTGTAATATTGAACACAAGCATCATTCTCTTCATTCACAAGTCACACGCCCAAACCAAACTAAAACCGAGCTTAAAAGTTTGAAAACAAACACATACATACATAGTAAATACAAGAGACATATATATAGGGATAGACGACGACGACGGAGTTCTTCAAGCGCGCGATCATGAGAGTTATTAATTATTAACTCATACTCTGTAATTAATTAACTAATTAATTTGATCCCCGTCGACAAGGGCGGCATCGGCCCAGTTGGAGGCGCTGCCGCGGCGGGGAATGCTATGGAGTCTGGTGTAGAAATCGACCTGGAAAATCACAGCGTCGATCACCCCTCCCTCCCCCTCCCGCACCGTCCCCTTCACTTTGTGCATCGGGTGGTCGAAGCTCGTCAGCCCGCTCCCGCTTATGAATATGCACCCTACAATATATTGTGGGAATGAAATCTAGCTACGTAAATAGCATTAAAACATAATGACTTTCTCTATGTAACATCACATGTGGTTTTTCTCAACGTAACACTTTTAGTCAGTATTCAAGTAAATGTTCATCATCACTGAACATTATAGACATTATTAAGTGCTATTTAGAGAATAAAACAGTTTAAGTGCTATTTAAGAAAATGAATAAAATTTAGTGGTATTTAGTGCAAATATTTCATATATTGTTATGGGGCTATGAAATCTAGCTATACATAAAAGAATTATGATATGTGTTGAGGAGATGAAATGAACAAAAGTACAAAACTAAGAGGGTTTTAATAAGTTCCATTGATTTTTTCCCCTCTTTAAAAAAACAATAAAAAGGGATTATATTTATGAGCTAGGGAGTAATTAATTAGATTCCATTGCTTCCTAAAGTGAACTAAGCTTGTCATAATTGAAAAGTGGTGAACTTACCTGGATTGGACATTGTAATTTGAAGAGCACATGTTCTTAAGAAGGTAATTATTGATGTATAATTAAATAAGATCGAGATCACATGTTCAAACCCTAGCGGGGACTGGAACGCTAATCCTCTACTAATTAAAATAAGATTGAGAATGCATAAACAGATACTGTGCATTGTAATAGAGTTATTAGTGTTCAAAAACAGAATTACCCGGAGGAAAAGGAGTGTAACATTGCCCACAAGCAGCATTGACAAACTCCGCTTCATCACTACACATCAAAGACTCATCCGCCGCGACTCCCCAATGAAGCGGCACGCTTCCTTCACGATCCTGTTCTCTTACAATAATTAAAATGAAACACGACAATCGATTCGACATATTATTATAGCTACACATAAGAGTGGAATTTATAGGCTAGGGACGAAAGAACGAAACGAACCCGGGCGAGAAAGAGGGTGGAGGCTTTAGAGTCGAAGAGGATGAAGGCGAATTTGCCGTTGAGGCCCTTGATGACTTGGTCTGGAGGGTAGGGTGCCCTATCCCGGAGGACCTTGTAAGCCTCCACCATAATGCTGGCCTCTGTGGCTTGCCTTGAGAGGCCATAGTATCTCCTCAAGTCACAAGTGTTGTCCAGTACCCCAGAGAAGATGCAGAATATGTCCTCCATCACCACTATGGATCTACCAATTAATCCATTTTGTATACATATCACAGTAAAAGTTTACAAAATAAATCGTGACATAACTATTTTATTTTATGAAACGATCCATAAAAACGTACTCTGCATAAAGAATAAAGATTAATCGGTATGATTTGTTGGGGATAATCACGATAACGCGGATTGATCGAGAGTCGTGAATAGCACTTTCAGACTGAATATTTTGGTTGTTCAATCCAAAATTCAATCGGATAAAACTCGAAAGTAACAAGAACGAATATGGAATTGTTGTGAAATTTCGAACGCTCCTTCGACCAAAGACTTTCAGGAATATATAGAGTTGCGGTGGAGAAGAAAAGACGCCCCTGCGGCTCTGCCCCTTGGACCCTGCAGGGGCTGCCGCCCCTTGAACCCCCGAGCCTTGGAGCCCCGATAAACGGGACTTTTTATCCTAACAAACGATGCGTGCACTCCGCACCACCAAACTTCTTTGATGATTATTAGGATAGCATTGATCATAGTTTTTCCAATTACACTAAAATATACCCCGTATAACATTATTTTGGGAATTAGGGAATACTCCGTATTTATTTTAGGATGTGACTTTAATTTAGAATATACCTTGGGTGCAGAGGATTTTCGCCACCGTGAGTGAGCCCGAGGAAGTTGCCGTTAGCAAGGTTGTACAGAGTGGTGTCCGGCCTCCGTGACCGGAAACTCGCCGCGATCTCCTGCCTGGACCTGCACGCCGGGCGCATCCCCGCCGCAAGCGGACGGCTGAGCTCCGGCGGAGGCTTCGCTATGGAGCGCTCAAAAACAGCCAGCATCGTCTCGATCGGCCGCGGCGGCGAAGTAAAATTTGTTAGTCGGTGTATGGGTCTGAGTGTGGCCGGGAATAGTCAGTACTTATCCAGAGTAGAGAGAGAAAGAGAGTGGGGGGCCGGGGAGAAAACGACAAGAAAGTGACGTGGCGGCAAGCGATGTATGTGTTGATATTTCTGGGTAGATGATGTTACGTGTTACAACTAGTCACACTCTCACTCCTATATCTAAATTAGATTGTCTAGTCCACTAAATTATTTGTACCCAAAAAATTATACTCTATTTTATACCTTGGTGATATGAACTATTCCCTCCGTCCGAAAATATTTTTCTCATTTGACTTTTTTTGGTCAAATTTGTAAACTTTAACTATGATATGTGGAAAAAATACATTGTATTAGGATATAACTTTAATATGAATATATTCATTTTGAAATATAGTTTTTAAATATCAAATTTTTATAAAATATATCCATGTATAAATAAAGATATTAGTGGTCAAAGTGTAATCTTGGAAACCGTAAAAAATCAAATGTGAAGAACATTTCCAGACGGAGGGAGTAACGTTTTGTGCTAGTCTGATGCTTTTGTGATGGTTTAAAGTGACAGAAAATGTCAATGTAAATTTTTTCGACGGCAAGGATCTTTTGAGGAGCTTGAAACCCTGAGTTATATTATTACCGGAGTACCTACGGTTTCTCTGTTCGTAAAATTGATCGTTCCTACCCCATTGAACTCTACCCCTTCCCCCTACCTGCCCACCCTACCACAGCACACTCTGCCCCTCCTCTCCATTTTGTCGATTGGCTACAGTGTTATTCTTATTTAAGGTGAATTTTTCTTCTTTTACGAACAAGGCACCGTAAATACTCCGATTGCTGCCGGTGTCATCTCTTGACCCGTTTCTTCTAATGCTAATTATAATCACACAATTTTATTTAAAATTTTAACACTTCATATTTTTTTACTGGGCGGGAAAGTTGACTTGGGCTACATAAACGACAAAGTCGTTACCCTTCCAATTTACACACATTTCCAACTCTCCCTATTAAAGTGAAAAACTTCTGCTCCAATATAGTGATATTACTGATATACCCTTTCCTACGCCTTCACGTTTTTCTTTTTTCTTTTTTTTTACGGCAATGGTGAGTCAGCAAGTATCCGTTACTTGCGGGCGTGTAACGGGTGTAAATCAAACCAGCTGATCCACGTGGAGTCCATAGGAAATGTTAAGAAACTGTGGGCATGTGTAGTAGTCTAGTAGACAAATCCCAAATTGCCCTCTTGAAATTATCATCTTATTTTAAATTATGAGGCTTGACTGAATTTAATTATCTTTATTTAAAAATTTATACCGGAGTATAAAATTAAGAACTACTCCATACATAAATTGTTCTCTAAAACTAGAGCTGACATGATTTATTGTTTTAAACAACAAGTAGTAAAAGAAAAACATTGTTTGACATTCAAGTGTTGCTTAAAAATTGTTTAACATCGTTTAAAAATAAAAGTCTTAAAAATTACGACCCTACCTGAGACATAATGCTAATTCTTCGTTTGTCTTAGAAAGGTTCTCCTCGTTACTATCTCACGTTAAATTTTAATCATTTTTTTTGTTTTTATTACTCATTTGATAAAACAATAAAGTGTTGCTACTTATAGAAATTTTAATATAGTTTTCGTATTTAAAACTCTTATTTTTAAATATATCTAAATTTTCATACTATATATCAAATGCAAAATATTATGCTCTGTATATATTATTATTAATATTCTATGTGTCGTGCACATGTGAAATAAAACTATTTTTTATTCTATAAAAAATATGATTGTTTTACCATGTATTAGTATGATTCTTCCAGCCCACCCCCTCTATTGGTTTAAAGATAATAATTAATTCTTTTCCGTATTATTAAAAATATAAAATATAATATAATTTTTATACTATATATTTTCCTCGTATTTATTCACTAGAATATTATTAAAGAGTAAATTATAATATAATTTTGATGCTATATATATATTCCCCCATCCTACAAAAAAAAGTTCTACATTTCTATTTTTACTCTCATGTGTGTCAATCGAAACTCGACTATTTTATTCACATTCATATCCCAGCATTAGATAAATTAAAATTGTTAATTATAAGGTAATAATAGTTTCATTTACATATACTGAAAACAGTACAAGAATTTCTCAGTTTTTGAGATATATTTCAAAATAGCCTTATGGACACATTATTAGAAGCTGGTTCACCATTCATGAAATTTTTGGCCCTTTTGAAACTTTGTATTAAAAACTTATTTTGATTTATCATAATTTTCAAATCCTCGATTAAACTTATTATAAATTTTTAGTGTTGTAAATTAGATTAATTATAATGTAGTATCTGTTTATCTTTTCTTAATATAATGATACACAGTGAGTCAAATATGCATCCACCACCTCCACTAGGACCTGAACTTAGGTGATCGATCTACTCCATAAATCTTGAAAAATGAGCTTCCTACCACCACTCTATTGTATCATACAAATAAAGTTAACATTTTAATTAAAAAGTATTATGGGGAAAATATTATAAATACTAAATTTGGAATGATGAGTTTTTAAAAAGATAATTACGAAGCATAATTTTTGGAAAATTCAATGAATGGAAAGGGAGAAAATAAGGATTAAAAGACAAAGTAAATATTCAATTTTTTAAAATTTTCTTAAAGAATGTTGGAATAACTTTTAAAAAAAATTATTCTTTCAATTTCGACATGAGTGCCACATAAGCAATGTCACGCATGCGTCAAGGTTCTTAGAGCTTGGAGTCTTCATTTTATACATAAAAGAACATGAATAATAGAGATAATAACCAATAAAACAACCAGTAAGGCAAATGCTTGCCACAGTTTCCACATACATTGCCACCTCATTAATTGTCATGATGGGCATGGAATGGCAAAGCATTCTACTCTACAATCTTGGTCATGGCGTGTAAGGACTCAAGGCATAAGTTTGTTTTTTATTTTTTTATTTTCTTTTTACCGCTTTTTTTCTATTTATATTTTTATTTTATTTATTTATAAGTAAAATAATTTTTAATAATTAAAATATATAAAAGATATAAAAAGTGGTAAAATCAATGACTTGCCACTGAAGAGTTTGTCACTCCTCTCACTTGTGATACGATGATTAGACTGTTTTTTACTCCGTATTAGTTAAAAGTATTTTACGTCCCCATGTAGCATTCATTTTTACCTCACCATTGTTGCCATGTTTCATTTTCAAAACCTTTTTTTAGTACTTGCTCTCTCCATCCCAAAAAGAATATTTACCTTGCCTTCATGGTCAACTCAACTTGTTTTTACATATTTTCATTCATAATTGAGTAAATTCCATAAAAGGTCCCCAGTTATAGGTCGTTTTACATATTTAGTCCCTACATATCAAATATTACTAATTTGGTCCCCAATTATTATATTTATTTCTACGAATGGTCCTTTGTTAACATTTTTATTAAAACGTGGATAAAATTATAAATTCACACTCCTTTCTCTCCTCAATTAAGCTTTCTCATCCCTTGTACTCCTTTCTCAAACCCGTCACTGAGTTTCTAGCTTTGAACCCTAAACCAAAATCATCACTCTTCTCTCAATTGTTTGTCTAACTGGAGGAACGATCATTTAAATTTTGGGTTTAAGAGCTTCAAACTCAGCGACGAGTTTGGAAAAGAGTATGAAAAGATGAAGAAAGCTTAATTAAGGAGAGAGAGAAGTATGAATATACAATTTTATCCACGTTCTTAACGAAAATGTTAACAAAGGACCATTCGTGGAAATAAATATAATAATTGGGGACTAAATTAGTAATATTTGATATGTATGGACTAAATATGTAAAACGACCTATAACTGAGGACCTTTTATATAATTTACTCTTCATAATTTGACAAATTAATAAAATCATGTCACTTATAGTCGTCATACGATTACTGGAGTACGTTTTATTTTATTTTTCCTACACCAATTTTAAATCAAATTGACTTAAAAATAAATTTAGTTTATTCAGTGTGAAGGGTTTTTGGCAACCAAAATAAAACTATAACCCAAAGATTTAATGTGTGTCAGCAGTCACCTTTATTATTAACTTCTTCGGTTAATAGTATAAATACCTTTAAATCTACTAAACAAACCGTGGTGATAAAAGTAATGAGTCAAAATTTAACAAGTTAACAAGAATGCAACATTCAAAACACCCATATGAATTGAATTTATTTATTCATTAGTATAAATAAATAAATTTAAATGAAAGGAGCATTTGTCATAACAAATTTATGTACACTTACAACTTACAACCACCAACACCCCCCCCCCTCCCCCCCCCAAAAAAATAACAATAAGTTTTTTACCATAAGAATTATCATTTGAATATGCAATAATTGGGTTTATGACATTATAGGACCACACTAGGGGTACCCCACCTTCCATCCCGTCTTTTAAGACACATCCACTGGATGTGTGTTAGAAAGCCGGGGTGAAAGGTGGGGTGAGAGTTGGGGTGACTCTAGCAGTGTTCAACTTTATGTTGCAAGAATGGGTACACCACAAGCATTGGGGGCATGTTTTCCCTCTCGAAAAACAATATTTCCTCTTACAAATGTCGCTAAAACCTTCCCGGAAAGCCTCGACCCCAAATATGCAGAGATACTCTGCACAGTTTGTTTCAAAACAATGTCACCTTGTTGGTCAGCTGAATTTTCTAAAAGGAAAAGCATTTACTACCTCTGTCTCACTGTCTTTGTCCACTTTTGACTTTTGGAACTGTTCATCTAAGCACTTTGACTCATCAAATTCTCTCAATGTGTAAGCCTAAAAATAGTCATGTATGATCTTGTTTGATTCGTCTTAACATATAGATTATTAATATATAATTTCTATAATTTTTTAATATACAAATTACAAGATAAAATGGATTAAAGAAGTGCATTGGATGGTGTGCCAAAAGGTAAGTGGACAAAGACAGTGGGACGGAAGGAGTAGTAACTTCTATTTCAAGCAAGTGAGTACGTCAAAGGGCTGTTTGGTAAAAGAACATTCTGTGAAAAAGTGACTTTTTAGACTAAAAGGAGATTTTTTAGAAGTGTCTGGTTGGAAGAGCTTTTTGGTGCCAAGAACTTTGTTTCCAAACTTCTTGGAGTAGCTTTTGACTTTTAGGCAGCTGTTTGTCGAGCTTAGTTTACAAAAAGTTTGGGTTTCAAACTTTTTGGGACAGCTATTCAAAACACAAGCAGCTAACACCTAGCTGCCAAACAGTGCCAAGAGCTACTTAATTTAATCTACTATGTTATGACTATAATTCTACTGCTAATAATAATTATTCTCTCCTTTCCACAATTGAATACAATATGCGCTACTCAAAAATCGCAATAACTTTTGTTTATTTGTACATTTTCATTGATTATTTGATAAGATAAAATATCTTTCCTACTCTTGTCTTGTAGAACTTTCAATGTAATTTTTAAATACGCAAGTTTAGTTTTTCTTTTATACTCCCTCCGTCTTTTTTAGTCAAACTGTGGCAACTTTTGACCGCGAATTATGGAAAAAGTGTATTTGGTTATAATGTAAATTTAGTAAAATTGGGTTAATTTTAAAATATAGTATTGAAATATCAAATTTTTATAATATTCAATTATTTTAAACTGTATTTAATTCGTGGTCAAATGGTGCCACAATTTTACCAAAAAAGTCAAACTGTGTCAATCTTTTAGGGACAGATGGGGTAGTAATCTTTAAATAAAATGAATTCAAAAAATTCGGACCGTTTTGTGCAAATTGTAATCTATTATGGGACGGAGTGAGTTGAATAAACTGAATTAAGCTATTAGACAAAACCCTAAAGTAACAAGATGGAGAAATACATACAGGATGCTTGAGGTGGATAGGATGATTATCATCCAAATCGAACTCTGTTTCTGGTTGCCAAATTACAATGTCTGCGTCTTTGCCGCTAACAATTGATCCCTGCACAGAAACACACTCAAGCATTGGTTTGTATCTAAATTTGACAAATTAAGGACCCATTTGGTTAAAATTCAGGTATCGGTTCGAAAGTACGAATGAGGTTGAGAAGATTTGAGCTTAGGCACGATAGATTGAAACTCAATGTTTGGTCTGTATTGGTAAATAAAAATTCGTGTTTGATTCTTCTCCAAGGTTGACAACACCACAGACAATCAGTTGTCTATGAGGGTCTCACCCTTAGTGTCATCCGTGGTATAACTATAGCATAACCTTAAATTTGTCTCACATCGGAAGATGAATGAAAGATCAACATGAATATAAGTTCCACTTTAACTATATCAGTATAAGACCTTATGGAAAGTGTATGAAAATGAAAATCTATGCTGACTTTGCTCAAAACGGAAAGTATCATATTGACTTGAAGTCAACATAACACAAAGGTCTAAGGGCTTGTTCTCTTCAACTTATTATTATTACTTATGTTTTATTCTTATTAGAATCGGATTATATCAGAAACAACTTTAAATACAACTACAATCATATCAGACCAGATCAAAACCAATCAGATCATGTGAAGAGAACAAGCCCTAACTCATGGTTGTTTAGATGTAACCTTTGAGTTAAGACCAGCAAGCTTAGCAGGCTTCTCACTCCACCATGAAACCATCTCTTCAAAAGTGACTCCATGTTTCTTCCCATATGTCCATGTTACAGGAAGAACAAACTGCACATTCACGGGGAATGAGTGATTAGTTTCATCATTTGGTTTTCATCTTTAAATTTGAGTTAAATCTGGACGGACTATATATAGATCATCAGAGAATGTGAAGACCTGCAAAGAAGATATGCCACCCCATGCTTTCAAGAAATTTCCCTCTCTTAAGAGCTTAAGTGCTGGCTCAGAAGGCGAATGGTCTGAGCTTAACATGTCTATGCTTCCATCCTGAAACACACGAGCCTCGGGTCAGAAAAAAAAAGAAAGACTCAAGAGAGAAATGAGATCAGTTTGTGATTCTTTATTCTTTGTGGTATGACAAGAGACGGGAATAACCAAGAGAGCAGCCCATAATTCATCTCTGTTGGCTGAGTCCCGGATAGGTGGAGCACACTTGAAACGTGTATCGCCATAGGGGATTTCTTCAGCTGCAAAAGCTAGATAATGTGGGCAGGTTTCGACACTCACACTATCACCATTCTTTTTCGCTTCCTGTAAGGTGCAAGATATAAAAATGGGATTTCTGAATGAAATTTAGCAATCAAGAAACTGTGCATGGAGAAACAAAGATGGCCCAAAGTAATTCAATGGTTGATTATGTTCATTGGTATGATTGGATTATGGGCATGTGTAGCGAGCAGCTTTTTTAGAGCTTATAGCTTATTTGTCTATCTGGAAAAGCTACTTCAAGTAGTTCCCTGTTAGAACACTACTTTTAGATTGGAATATAGACTACTACATACTCTAAAATAGTCCCAAAAGCTCTGTCGTTTTTAGGCTATACCTTAATCAATTGTAAAGAAGAACCTGCATCAGATAAATGAACAATATGGAGATGAGCACCCTCAGCAGACCCACCATCCCTAGTGTCTTTTGTTATAGTTAAAAGCTCTCTGACTGCGGCTTCTTCCCTATAGAGAAAGAGCACATAAATCACGGTAAACATATGGTAGCTAGCTTTGCTATTTTTTAAAAAGGGTATATTCCGACTCTAGAATCATGTGTTTCTGAAAATCACAAGACTAAAGTGCTAATAATGGGGTAAGGTAATTTCTAAAACCTCATTTAGATACCAGAATTACCTGTTTCATTTTGGGCAAAATACAAACCCAATAGACAGAAAGTGTGGTTATGAGTAAAATCAGCAAAATTGCCCCATTAATGCAAACCATATATGCTCAAATAGTGAACCCAGTAACAATTTACCATGATGCAGGCCTTGTCTTTAGGTATGTTGAGTAAGATCTAACATCCCTGGCATCATCTTTAAGGTCAAACTCAATCTCAAGCTCTTGTTCCAATTCTGCATGTACAAGTAGAGGCCTTTTGTACTTTGCCAACATAGCTAGTCCTTCCTGCATTACAAAAGGTCAATCTATAAAGGGAAGATACAAGTTAAACATACTCCTTCCGTCAAAAAATTATCTTCCCGTTCACTATTCACATGGTCAAAAGGCCTATTTTCGTTGCCAATTTGATAAAATAATATAGTTATGTCACCTCTAGTTGTATAGATCTTTTGATGTAGTCTTTAATTATGTAATTTTTATTTTTAAATTCCACACCATTTTTCATATAAAATAATTTGAAAATAACTTCAGTCAAACGTCGTAACGCGCAATGGGAAGATTATTTTTGGACAAAGGGAGAACTATGAAAACTTAAATGCACATGGAGACCATTCAACACTTCAATTACCATATGAAATACAGTTTGGGAATAGAAGATCAGATCCAGGTGCATACAAAGGACATAAAACTTGGAAAATGTTATAGTAAGAGGGGAGTATATTCTACAAAGTACAAACCTTAATATGGGATGAATTTGTCATCGGAAAGTCATTGATGCCTGAAGGGCACATGAAAGACTGCAAAAAACAAAAATGAATCGTGGGTCCAACTTGAAACATGATAGAGTGTTGTTTTTGAAAGAAAAAAAAGTGTAATGGTCTAAAATTCGTTTAATGCTATAAATTGATGAAAAAAACATAGTTTTACGACAGATGCCCTGGGTTAGAATGAAAGACTTTTACATAATGTAAGGTTCAAAAGTTCTAAATGTAGCTACCTTCAAGCCAAGGGCTCCAGCACTTAAGAGACTCTGCAAAGCACTTGCATTGAATGCATTTTCTGGGACCAAACCTCCCCAGAAACCTGTTTATATGTTGATACATATGTATAAATATATATAAGAATAGCATTACACTGTATGCTGAAGTAATATTTTGTGGTCATTCTAGTCATACCGACGTCAACATAGATTCTCCCTCTAGCAGCCTCAACCTGTTGTTGATGCACACTCTATCAGTAAAATTGATGTGTAAAAAGTGCTAGATGGTAGATAAGGGCCTAATGCCTAGTTAGAGATTATGTAGGCATTAGGGTTGGAGCCTAATGCCTTTGCAATGACTAAAACACAAAAGCAATTGGAAATTAACAGCCTTAATGTTGCTTTTTAAAAAAGTTGTTTATAATTTAAATTCAAACATGTCCAACAACGTATTAGCATCTAGTAAGAGTCTCTACCTTAAAACCTAGCAATAAGGTAAGAAGGTCCATCACGGGTTAAATTCCCCACTTGGGATGCTAGAGCAAGGACTATAAAAAAACAGGAAAACAAACCTTAAGCTTCAAAGTTTCTTCTGAAACTGTTGATGGGAAACTGTTAAGAGGCATGTCAATCAATGTTGTCAAGCCACCTGTCATCAGCGGGAAATGGGAAATAGAAAAGGAATGTGCAGTGTGCACGATGCAATGAAACATTTGCTCGAATACAGAATCGAAAGATCAACTATACAAATGCTTGTAAGGGAATGGGTGTTGAAAAATACTCCGTATAATCTATGGAAGCTTCATCAATAACTACAACTCGATAAGGCCCCACAGGCGGTGTCTGAGGAGTGGGGAGGGTGGGTGTATGAAGAAAATAATGCAGATACATTCATACCAGCAGCGGCTGCTCGTGTCCCAGAAGGAAAACCTTCCCATTCGGTCCTCCCAGGGTCATCAAGATGTGCATGCCTATCATAAATGTAACATGAAAAAAAAACGTATACCCCCTCCGTTCTTAAATAATTGTCCATTATGACTTTCTGCATACATTGAGATTTAAATGAACATGGGCATAATGTATGCTCACATTCATTCAATTTTTCATGTAGGTAGAAATGTATAAGAGACAAGTATTTGAGAACCAAGGGAGTATCTTATCTTATAACAAGGAAAAAAATTATTAAATATAAGAATGTGAGTAGAATAAAATAATCTTGCAATCTCACACGTCGATCAAACCAGGCATAACAACAGCCTCCCCGTAGTCAACTACATCTACACTCTTAACCATTCCACGCCAAGTTACTTCATCAACCACAGATATGATGCTTCCTCCATTCACCTCAACTATTAATTTTTGAATGCAGAGAAGCAATATGATACAATATATGAACTAAACCAAGATTCAAGAAATAGGAAGCTCATAGATATAATACGGAAGAACTTGATTTTGTTATTTGTAAATGAATGTGTTATATATATCATACACAATGATGATGATGATGATACTCTGTAATAATAATGATGATGATGATGATGATGACCATAATAATAATAATAATAATAATAATACTCACGTAATAATAATGATAATGATTATGAAGATGATCATAATAGTAACAATAATAACAACAACAACAACAACAATAGTAATAATAAAGAGATTGAACAAACCTGCACCAGAAATAGTTCCTTCGGGTGTCACAATACGCCTGCTAGCTATCCAAAAATGGCTATTAGAATGAAGACTGCACTTGCTTGTGGATGGCTACAAGTTAAGGTGTAGTTTGGTAAGATGTAATGTACTCAATGAATGGGTAATGTAGATTTTCACATAAAGAAAATATAAGGTGAATATGATGACATTACATTACGCCTTACAAGACTATGCCCATAGCACTATCTTCAATTGAATAAGAACAATATTTAAGAACAATAATAGTGACACATGATTCACAATATTTGTGCTCTGACTTGACAAAGACAAGATCACAAACATGCCTAAACAACATAAACATAAGGAATATCGATTCCAAAGCACCCCATAAAAGAATCTTAACAGGAAATGACACACGAAGTATATTGTTGTCATTTAAGAGGTTGTTATGCATTAACGCTTTCAAAAAACATCACTAAATGATACAAATATAATGCCCGGTATGATTCTATTTAATATCAGTATCAAGTATGGATTAGAGGGATTTAGGCATGTACATATTATTTGACAAATGAAAAGTAATTTTTAATACTCAATTTAGTGGATTTTGTCACTGATAAACTTGATATTTCCAGTCCATTTTATCAAAAAAATCATAAAAAACATTTTTGAACAGCAATCTTCACTACCTTAAATATGATACAGTTGAGCTTTTTTATTAAAAAATACTCCTTCCGACTTCTGTCACAAAAAAATATTTACATTTGACTTTTTACTATCGCCAAAAGTACACTTTGACCATTAATAAGTATAATTATACATATAGAAAATTTTATAAAGATTTTTGTGCCCATCACAAACGAATGCCACTTTTCAAGCCATATATTTTCACTGCACAAATTGTAACCATGCATGGTGCAATGGCCTTAGATGTGCTCAACTATGGCATCAAAAGATGCCCCAAGTGTGCATTCATTTCGGAACCTCTCTAGTATAAAATCCCTCTTTTGCCTTCAACTTATTATCCATCTACTAGTCTACGACTAAATTGAAAAACAAAAAAATGGTGTCTATGGCATTGGCTTTCATCCTTTTAATAAAAGTCTCTGCTTAGCTAACTAACCTTAGTGTACGCACTATTATCAATTTTCCTACACGTCCATATGTATCAACATAATGATGGATGTGATTAAATTATTGCTGATCATATGTAATTGCAACACTGAGACCGTAAAAAGTTGAATAATATCATTTGTTTAAAGAAAGGCTGGTATTTATGCAATAATATATAAGTTGGGATATTCGTTCGTGTCAATCCTTTGTGAGTTGTTTGTGTTAGTTTATGGTTTTTAATGTGAAAAGTTGTGAGTTGAAGAAACTGTCCAGACCACTTGGAAACATACTTTTTGTAATGTAGCTTTTGGACTAAAAACATTCCAAAAAAATTTGAGAAACAAACTTTTTGGACTAATAAAACTTGGAAACAAACTTTTTGTAACCCATCTTTTTGGACTAAAAACTGTCCAAAAAAACTGTTCCCTAAACACTTCTTTTTAAAAATTTTAGTACTATTGACTACTCCCTCCCTTGGAAACAATGTCCCTACTTTCGAGTAGGGGTAAGGTTTGCGTACACATACCCTCCCCAAACACTGTTTTTGTGGGAATTCTAGTTGCTATTGACTACAAAGAACTCCATATATTACATATAGTATTTGTAAATACATACTTTAGCAACCTACTGAAGCACAGAGAGTAGCCGGATTCGAACATGCGACCTACCATTTGGGAGAACAAGAGTTAAGCCATTCCAACATTTCTAACAGATGTTTGGTCAATCATTAACAATTAAAAAAAAAACTCTTTTTTATTACAAAAAGCTCCTCAAACATTATCATAATAAACTCGTAATCTCTCGTATCAAAAACCTTACACAAATCTGAAAACTGAATCTTAACCAAGCACCTCGAGTAGAAACCAAACAGATACGAGTATAGAAACGCAAGGAGATAAATGTAATTGGAGAAGAGCGATTGTTTGAAAATCGAACCTTTGGGGAGATGTCGAAGTAGAAGAGAACAAGGGAGGCAAGAAAGGGTAGAAGAGCCAATACACTCCAACTCCTGGACTCCATGGCTCTTCTGTAAGGGAATGAATGATTAATGGGAGATTATGATGGGAATTCGGAAAAGGGAAACACACCACCATAAAAAAATGAGCAATACCCAAATATATATCACCCCTTCTCCAGTACCCATTTTTATTTTATTTTTATTTATTTAATTTTTTGAATTTTTTGTCCTTTTTTATGGACAATAAGGGGGTGGGGGACAAATGGGGTACACCTTTGGACTTTGGTGTACTCCTAGCATTTTTCTAAAAAAATGGGTGCTGGATACCTTCCTTTTTCGTTTTAAAAACTTACAAGTCCTTATTTTTTAAAATATACTATGGGTACATTAAAATATATGAAAACTAATTCCGAGAGGAATTTCCGTTCATCCCTCCATCATATTCCTTTGCAGTTTTGCACCGTTATCTTTTCATCAGCTTCTTCCCAAAAATTGCGGTACCCTAATTTTATAGAAAGAACTTTTAGATCTCATCTTTTTTAAAAAACATATAGTCCACCCTAAAATATACAAAAACTTACTCTAGAGGAACTTTTTCATCCTTCTTTTATTATTATTATTATTATTATTATTATTATTATTATTATTATTATTATTATTATTATTATTATTATTATTATTATTGTAACGCCCTACAAACCCCCCATTCAATACCCCATTTATTCCCTCATCATGTCTCATTATTTTTTTTTAATATAAGGCCCTTCACCCTCCATTTCTCCACCACACTTGTAACCCCCAAAGCATTCACACTTCCTCTCTCTCCCTTCTCTTGTTCGGCCAAGCAGTAGCAGCCTAGGGAGACGATTCCGGCGAGTAGACGAGGAGGAAGAAGAGAAGGAGGTGACCACGAGGAACCATTCGTCGTTCAACGTTGTCAACTATTTGCTCATCACGTGTCATCGTTTCGTCAATCCCTTCATTTAGAAGTGAGTAGTTGTCCCCTCTAATTTTAGAACATCAAGTTATAATCTATGTTGTTATATTCATAGGAGTATCGTACGCAACCTACGTAGAATCTATGCATGATCGTATGTTAGCCATTCAAAAGTCACTACGTGAAAATCGTATATATTGGCCTAGGAATCACTAGGAATATATTCATAAATGTTTACATTATTGTTCTAAAAAGAATCAAGGTGTTAAGTTTGCAAAACGGATCAAAACAGAGCCAAAGACAGAAAACTGTCATCGGGACGGTCGACCGCCCCCATAGACGGTGGACCGTTTCCCTCAGCCATCCCGACGGTCACCACCGTGACGGTCGACCGCCGGCCTCGACGGAAGACCACGGTGGACCGTTTGTGACCCAGACCCCAGACCGTAGCCCACGGTCGACCGCCGGTAGGGAACGGTTGACCGTTTCGCGGGCAGAATTTCGGACAGTTTGTAGAACGAGCCCCGTTGACTATTTCGACTCAGAATCTGATTGTGTGTTCGCATTAAATGTTAATCTTCATTATGTACGTTATTTATATGATATATTATTGGCATCAAGCATTCATCATGTCCAATTTGAACACATGTATTCATCACGTTCATCCTAGACGCATGTCCTAGGTTTTCATCATGTGCATACCGTTGTAGGGAGGACTTTGTGTGCCTACTACAGCGGGCCCGTCCAGGAACCCTCGGGATCCAACGGGTTTTCATCAAGTGGGCTTTGTGTACGTACATGGTAGTCAGGCTACGGCTACCACCCGGTTTTTGCTAGTTCACTTGCGACGTTTGTCGAGCCCGGGTCATTACCGGAGTGCAGGGGTGATCCTGTCAAGTGAGACTAAGTCAGGGGTGTCCCTAATAGTTTAAGTCATGCATCAAGTCATGTAGTCATCATGTATGTTCCATGTCACGTCAACATTCAGTGTGTTTGTCATCATCATGTATGTTCCCCATCATGTTCGTATTCAATGTGGTAGTACATCATTTTGTTATACGTAATAGTATCTCAACAGGTGTAAATTAATCAGTTAGTAAACATGTGGTTTTTCGTACGTTAAGTACAGGTATTAATATGTGTATAGCCATATGGGTTGTCACTTTATGTTCTTTTGTTAGATTCACTCCTCAGCTTATGCTGAGCGTGTAGTTGTTTTGCTACACGCAGGTAGACATGACGGTACAGGTGCTAACCCTGGAGGACAGTGATGGTGGGAAGATGGGCGGCGCATAGACAAGTTCAATAAATAAATACATTAAATTAATTAATCATTTGGGCATGAACCCACCATTTGTCGTTTTACTCATTTATTTACTTCCGCTTTTACTCTGCATTTATATCAGTCACGTTTTTGGGAATAACTCCTAACGTTTATTTCACCAAGTAAAACAAACGTTTTCATAATAAATAGTCATTAATATTTCATCAATCAAACGTAACCGTTTTCTTATTAAATAATCATTAATGTTTTTGTAACAGACGGTTCTCGGACCGTCCATGTAACCCTACCGGTCCGTTGGGTCGCGGGTGAACCGGGTCCACGGAGGGCGGGTGTTACAATTATTATTATTATTATTATTATTATTATTATTATTATTATTATTATTACTATTATTATTATTATTACTACTATTACTATTACTATTATTATTACTATTGATGAGTGTAATCCACTCAGACCATGACCCGGGTCAGGACCAACCAAGACCACCTGGGCAATGTCCTAGTACTATGTAGCAGGGTTGTTTAGGTGGATCTATACCCTGCTCGGGTGGGGTTCAGTCAAGACCAACTGGGCAAGTTCCAGAAACTGTGCAGCAGAATTGTTTGTGTGGATGTGTACCCTGCTCGTGTGAGTTTCAGCAAAGACCACCCGGACAAGGTCCAGATACTATGCAGCAGGGTTGTTTGGGTAGATCTGTACCCTGCCCGAGTGGGGTTCAACCAGACCACCCGGGTGACTATTCGACACTCAGTCAACTAGCATGACACTGCATGAGGATGAGTGATCAGACGTTCCTTCACGAAACCACCCGGTGAGGTTTTCGGGACTTGTACCGGGTGGTCAGTTTGGACGTACATGTGTCGGCATTCGATAAGAATAATCCAAGCGTGGTTGGACGGTAGCAATTGAAGATGGCGGAGAATATTCAAATATCCTTATCCAAGCACTATGCGCCAAGAGAGGTGCCATCAGCACAAGCCGACAAATGAGTAGGACAAGCGCTATGTGACAAGGGAAGTCACCTCGTACCGTCCAGGGACGTTGGCCGACGTGGGCATTCTTTGTCTTGTCCTCTAGGCTCCACTATAAGTAGCCTTGTAACCCCCAATTAAAAGGATCTAAATTTCATCTATCTAAACGCACATTGTGTAATACATACTTATACTCTTCTTTCTCACACTTAATAACAAATGGACTACAAGGGTTCCCACCTACAGTCTTCCCGATGAATCTCCATTTACTGCATCTTTTTAGTTCTTAACTTCAGTAAATCACTCTAGACCCAGTCTAGAGTAATTTGCCTTGGTTGTAATTTTCATCATCAACTATTATTGTTAGTATTATTATTATTATTATTATTATTATATGGATTACTATTCCTATTATTCTTATTTATTTTATTATTGTTATTCACTTTCTCATTGTTGCAATTATTATTTGTTTTATTATTGTTATTATTGCTCACTTTGTGTTGGATTGTCGTTGCACGCACTATAATAACAACAATAATAACAACAATAATATTTATAGTAATAATATTAATAATAATATTAGTAAAAAATGTAAAAAGGAATTCCCCTCCGGAGTATGTAAGAACACTCTAATTTCGGATAAAAAAATCATCATTATTCATGTTTGCGGTGATATATTCTAAATTTGGATATATAATGTTACTGAGTATTTTATACCCTGTATTAAACATATATAAACATTTTTTAGTCGTTTTTGGAAAAATGGGAATGAGTTGGAAAGAAATGAAAAAGTTGAAAGATGTTAGAGAAGTTAGAAGCTAATTTTTTTACCCAAAAGAACATAGTCTTGACACGATCAACTAAGTATCATTTCTCAATGCACCTTGACACACTATACTGTAGTCTGCAAGTTGAGATACAAATTTGGGTATATTTTTACTAACTTTTTACTCTTCCTTTCTTGAAAAATGTCATAGTTACTATTTAGTCTCTCAATAACTTTTATTTGTTTACTAATTTTGGTTGTCCGTTTGATAAAATAAAATATCTTTATCACATCTTATTTTGTAAAAATTTTTTATATACTTTTAAACATTATAATTTCTACTTCAAATTTTTTATCAATTTATAAATAAAATAATTTTAAAAAAAATGATATCTTAATGTTCTTTGAAAGATTACAATAATTTAGGACGAAGAGAGTAAAAATGCAACATGGCTCATGAACTCATGGGACATGATGTTTATAGTTTCCTAGGCAATCATGTTCAATACCTACCACGTAAACCAACCCCAACCATACAACTACCTTACCCTGAATTGAAACGATATGGGCTCACTCCCACAGGCCTCTCGGTCCAACCAAATGAACCAAACTTTAAGGGGCTGTAAAATGAACCGGGAAGAACATTATAGGACGGAGGGAGTAGTATATTGCTTAACTATTCAGAGGCAAACGTCTGATCAATTTAGATAAGGAGTTTTAACCATTCAGACTTTGTATAATACTTAACCATTCAGAGGCAAATGTCTGAACCATTAAGAAGCTGAAACAAATAGTATAAACCATTAAATGTTAAACCATTCAGACATGTGAACATTAAGAGGCTGAAACAAACGGCCCCTAAATCTTTGTTTTCAACCCGGCCCGTTTTCTACCCACCTCCACCCAATCGCCTTTAAAATCCGGCTGCCCAATCGCCTTTAAAATCCGGCTGCCCAATCGCCTTCAACATCTGATCTCCGGCAAACCCGGAAGCGAAGAGCTCTCAATCCCGGCGAGAAATGGCCGAATCCATGTCGAAGGAGGAGATACTGGACGCGCCGCTCCACACAATAGGCTTCGAGATCGGCGACCTGTCGCCGGAGAAAGTCACGGGGCGGCTGCGGGTTACGCAGAGGTGCTGCCAGCCGTTCAAGGTGCTGCACGGCGGCGTATCGGCGCTGATAGCGGAGGCGCTGGCGAGCATCGGCGCGCACATGGCGTCCGGGTTCCGGCGTGTGGCCGGAGTCCACCTTAGCATCCACCATCTCAGGCCGGCCCGCCTCGGCGACCTGGTCGTCGCCGAGGCCACGCCGGTGAACGTCGGGAGGACAATTCAGGTCTGGGAAGTGAAGATTTGGAAGATTACGGAGGAAGAGGAGAGAGTTCTGGTCTCGTCTTCCAGGGTGACTGTACTGGCGAACTTGCCGGTGCCGGAAAACGCCATGGATGCTTCGAAGAACCTCAAGAAGTATGCCAGATTATAAAAAGCTGTTGGGTAATAGAGACAGGTCCGGTTTGGGTGACTCAAATAGAGTGAAACTTATCCAAGAAAAGAAAATAGTGGCACATGTTTTGGTATGGTTAAACAAATTGGATTATATTGTGTTCACAAAGTCATGGTTTAGTAACACTTTTCTGTTCCATTTTAGTGTTTTAAAAAAGTTATTAATTGTAATGTTTAATTTTATTGTCTTTTTAAGGTTAATATGCATGTTTAATGAATAATCTAAAATGATAATGCTAGTTTAAAAACAATTTTTAAAAATTATTAAAAAAATAATTACAATGCTAATATTAAATAAAAAGTAAAAAATATTTTATTCGTCTCTAAATATAAATTATACTTTATGCAAAACGAAATAAAAATTTTCTAAAACAAGAGCTAATATAATTATTTTATACAGAGTATTAGAAAGTACTCTGTGCAAATACTCTATAAACTACTGGGTATGTTACTTGTATATAACTAGTAGGGTGGGGTTCTCATGACATTGGGTTCCAATGTCATAGGATGACTCGGGGGTGCTCCGGTGCCCCGTTTGTAAAATTGACGGTTCCTACCCCCCTAACCCCCCGGTAAATCCCTTACCCCAGCCCCGACTTGAACACGCCCCCCTACCCCCGTCAATTGCACCCCACAAGTTGATTTTGACTTTGGAGTCAAAATTTGACTCCATATAGTGCAAGTAGAGATTCGTCTAAACTCATACTCCGTATATCACATGTGAGTTATGTAATACTCCTTCCGTCCCAAAAAGATTGATACATATTGACTTTTTGGGAAATTAAAGGAAGGATATTTTGCTTTTGACTTTCCAAAAATACCCTTGATGTGATGGGTAAAAGTAAGATGTGATGGGTTGATTATTAGAAAAAATGTATGATGTGATAGGTATGGTATAAAAAAAGTAAGGGGTAAAAGTTGTTTTTTAATAGAAATGTAACGGACTTTACGGGATGCAGTTTTTTCGAAACGTGTCGGACTTTTTGGGAAGGAAGGAGTATATTTTTCCCAAACATTAACTTTAATATTTTAAATCTCTTGAAAGCCCACACAATGATTCTCAATTTAATCACCGACAATCGAATTCGAAGCTCTACCATCAGTCACTCAAATTTCTTCATCAATCGATCAATCTTTTTATCAATCTATGGCATCTTATCAAAGCCAAACATGTACTCCGTATATTGATGAACATGTGATTAATGCGGTCCCAAATATAGTGAAGATGGAATATTGATGCAATATTTTAAAAGTTTCATGGACCCCATTACAATTTTTAGAATTGAGAATACGGAGAATTGATGTTTATACGTGTCTCTCACAATCTTACACAAAACGAGGCACCTTAGCAAAACCCCAAAAAAAAAAAAAGGAAAAAAAGATTAGCCCTACAGAGAACACAACCCGATTCTCACGGTTGGACATTTCCTTTCGATTGGGGTTCCTCCCCGTGTTTTCCGCTCATGTCCCCATTCTGCATTCGTACAGGAGTCCCCAAGAGCGGCCCGAATTGACAAACGGGTAAAAGGGTTTTCTGTATTTTCCGAAGAAACTGGAAAAGAGAAATGATTCCGCAGCAATGGACGCCGCCGTGTAACAATCAATGCACTCACAAATACGCCAATCTCATGCAAATCCCTTGTAATTCCCCTCCTCTTTTCCCTGTCATTTTCCATGCATTTTTAGATGCTAATTTGTGATTATTTTACATTTATGGATTATGTTAAACGCTCAACATGTTTTTAGTTTTTTTTAAAAAATATAAATTTTTAATTTTTTTTGGTTATTTCACCTCATTTCTTAAATTTGAGGTTATTTGAAAATGGACAACTAAATTCAGACAAAGGGAATGTCATCTTTAGCAATGCCGTTGAGATTTTCATGTTTTTTCCAACATTAAACTGGCCTAAAAATGTATGGTGCTCTCTCTGTCCAAATTTGTATTGCTCTATGGACTATGGAGTATGGACTATTGCTGTAGTCATGTTGGCCACAAATTTCCATTAGAATCTTTGGGTTGTTTAGTATAAATGATTATTGGCCACAAATTTCAATGAGACTATTGGAAGTAGTCTCTAGTACTTTGGGTTGAAAAGTTTTAACAAATGCAAGGGTTGATTGATGTTTATTTGTTCATTAGGCACCTAAGTCAAGTATATGCATTTCTTGTGTCAAATCTCTATTCATGATTTCATGCTACCGGCCGTTTTAGTTTTTTGGTGCACACAAATGATTGATTACACGCTAAAATTCATTTTATAGGGAGAGTATTCTGCAAAAAAGGGTGTGATTCTGATGGGGACACTTGGGAGGAATGTAAGTTCTGCCTGCCATTTTCATTGCATCCTCTTTTATTTGCTCCTTGATGTGCCTTTTATATTCTCCATGTAGCTCTTCATCCGATTTCATTTTCTTCTCCATCTTGATTAGTGAGTGTCTGCGATCCTAACTCTCAAGTGAGGCACAAAGATTATGAAAGTAAAAATTGTGTGATGCTCTTGACACTTGAATATTATTCAAAGTTTTGCAATTGTTTTAACTTTTCACGATTTTCAAATTCTATCACTATAATAAGCAACAAACTGTGCGCCTATGCCAAGTTTCACACGACACTTTCAAAGTAAGCAATGTTTGATTTGATGTAACAAATTCGTGTCATTTTGGCCAAAAAAAGAGGCACATGGATTGTAAAGGTAAAATTTGTGTGATGCACTTGACACTTGGAATAGTATTCAAAGTTATGAAATCGTTTTAACTTTTCATGAGCCTCAAATTCTACCACCATAATAAGAAACAAACTATGCACATTTGCCGAGTTTCACAAAACACTTTTGAAGTAAGTAATGTTTGATTTGATGTAACAAATTCATGTCATTTTTTCCAAAAAAAGAGTCGCATACACGTGTGATAATTTTAGCTAAACTAACTAATGCTCCGTATTTTTAAAGAATATGTATAGGATCAATGATTTACAGCAGTTGTACCTTACCAAAGCCAAAATGTTTTACCTTGATCAAACAAATTTTGAATTTAATGTAGTACTACCTCCGTCCCACTCTTTTTGTCCAGTTTTGACTTTTGGAACTGTTCATCTAAGCACTTTGACTCATCAAATTCTCTCAATGTGTAAGTCTAAAAATAGTCATGTGTGATCTTGTTTGATTTGCCTTAACATATAGATTATTAATATATAATTTTTATAATTTTTTAATATACAAATTACAAGATAAAATGGATTAAAGAAGTGCATTGGATGGTGTGCAAAAATGAAAGTGGACAAAAAGAGTGGGACGGAGGGAGTAGTACTTATGTATGTGATAGATCACTTGATTGTTGCATTTATAGCGGTAAATAAGGGGTAAAGTCTGGATACATACACCCTTGCCGAACCCTATTTTGTGGGATTCTATTGTGTTTGTTTGTTATTACTATATTAGATGATCTTGAACATAAGGTTGGATGCCATTCTTTGCAGGCCAAGGAGAATGTGATGAAATTTGCTATAAAGATCCAGTTTTGAAGGATCAAAAGTGGAGTTCTTACATTGATCGATCTCCCGGTGCTGTTGGCTATTCAGAGGTGTTTTTTTCTACTTTTACTATGCTTACTTTTAATGAAATATTATCTTTTTACAAGGATAACTTTGAATTCAGTGTTATGATGTGATTCTATATATTTGAGATTCGATACAAATTTAAAAGTAATAACATGATGGGGTAGATTTCTGAGATTTTAGTGCATTTTTCTTCATTGCCAACATATATCTTTCTTTTTTTTGTAAACAGGAATGCTTTCGTGCTTGCGTAGCTGGCTGTGGTTACAAGGCAAGTTAGCTTTTACTTATGTATTCGTAGAATTGAACTAGTCATTTCCCTCGGTCATGTAAACAACTTCATAGTTTGACTTCATGGAGTCAAAGAAAAGTCTTTAAAAGTGAAAGTTTGTGCTCAAGATATCTCTAAGAGAAATAGAAATGTCGTGAGTCACATATTCGTTTCCTTAACACTATGTTTGGTTCAAGGAGTTTGAAAGGAAAACGAAAAGAAAATGAGAGGCAAAACCATTTTTCATGTTTGGTTAGAGAGAAAGAGAAAAATAAAGTGGAAGGAAAAGAAATGAGAAGGCAAAGTGCACTAAGAGGAGGAAAAACCAAATTTCTCCCATTTTGGCGAGGAAATTGAGAGAAAACTATTTTATTTTCTTTTCCATCCAAATTCCTTGAACAAAACATAGTGTAAAAGTAAATAGAGAATTGTGAAGTTTATATCAAAAGTAAAGTTTTTTTTCAAGATGTATGACTGTTTAAGTCGAGTCAGTTGTCATATTTACGGTTGTTGCAGTTTGATATACCTGAAATGGAAGTTGAAAAGATCCGTCCGAAAAGGCCATCATCACTGCCAGAGAAGCCGCCACCTTGCCCTGCTCTTGAAACAAGACAACCTCAGAAACCTTGTCCAACAACTGAAGACATTCCCGGAACTTCTGCATAGGGTAGTTATGCCTACCTTAAACTCACTAACTGTATTATAATTATTATAATTATAATTATTGTTATTATGACCAATTTTATTTTTTTTATTTTTTGAAAAATTTCTTGCAGGATGTCTGTCTGTGTTATGTTAAGGTTAGTTTATAGATAGGACTTTAAGGTTAGTTTATTGTCATTTAATATTATCTGAGATTGGATTGTCATCTACCAGCATTTGAATGAATGAAACATTCTTGTAATGTGGTTTGAGGTTGTGGGAGCATCGGTTAATATTGTGTTACCAATACTTGTGATCAAATTGCACTCCAGTGTCCCACTATATTTATGTCCCACTACATTTACGAGAAGTACCTAAAATGTCCCTTTGTCAGGAACTTTAGTCAAATATCATAATTTGAACTTTAATCAAAACTGAGTTTTTAAATGGTTATGCTAAACTCCAATGTCAAACACTTTTCTTTGACTCCACTACATAGTACACATGTGCACGCACACACAGACACACACACAGACACACACTATTAATACATTAGGTGTGTATGAACATATATAGGGGTGTATCTAGTACTAATATACTCCCTCATGTTGAAGTGTTTGTCCATTTTAATTTTGGCACACAAACCAATGTGAAGCTTAAAATGTCCCAAATACTCTTATTTTGGATCTCATTTAACATAACTTTCCCTTGCCGTGCTAAATCTCACCTACCGGTTGCCGCACCATCCATGCCCGACGTGACACCCAATCCTTGCTTATGCAAACTTAACATCTTCCCCCGCCTATTCGTTGCCCATCCTCCTCTCCTCCCAAAGCCCTAGCCCGTTGTTGCCCCACCCACCTGGCTACAACAATGTCCTCCATCATCGTAGCTCAGATTTAGACTTTTAGCGTGGGTTGAGGACTAATCAGATTACGAATATCCAAGAATGATAACGATGAATGAGCTAAAATCTTAGTTTTCACAAAACGATTTTTGCTTTCGCTTTCATTTTCACTCCCTTTTTCTTACAAAACAATTCCATTTTTCACCATCCCCATGACACATTTTTCACTTTCAATTGAGAATTCATATTTATTTTGACTAATTATTACTCGATCTACCATATTATATATATTTATTATTAATCAACCTCTTACATCTATTCCATCATAATATCCAAGGACAGAATTAGAAATTCACACAAATTTATGAATTATTTTGTGAAATTGGTAATATATACCCCATATTTTGGAAGTGCATTGTCATAAGATTTAGGGGTACGAAAGAATATCGACTTGATATTGTTTCGAACTGAACTAATATTGTACATCAATGAAAAACGAGTTTTCAAATGTTTCTACTAAACTTTATCTTGAACTAAACGGTTCCGTTCTCAAAATGGTAGACGATAAATTTTCAAAAAATAAGAATCGAAATTTTCTTTCACTAAATCTTAGGTTTTTAAAATTACTTTGTTATAACTATATATATATATATATATATATATATATATATATATATAATATAAACATTAATTATATTTTGTCAAAAAAATACAACTAAATAGTGCATCTGCTCAGTAAGAATGCATAAAAATGGTGTATCAATTTTTTTAAATTTTTTTATTGTTTATTACTAAGGAGAAAAATATTTAGACCCTTAAAGAACTAGATATGGTTTGAAATTGGTCTAGTATGATATCTCGTTTTTAATTGACATGATACCATATAATTTCAATTAGAAAACCTAATTATACCAAACGGTTTGAATTGCCAAAAAAACCCGACCGTCACCCGGCAAAATATTGGCGGGCACTGCTTTCGATCCATCAAAATATTGGCGCGAATGCGCGCCATTGTTTTTTTACGAGCGAGTAATTTAAAAAGATCCTAAAATAAACCCTAATCTGTTCCTACGTTTCCACTCCCTCGAGAGCTGAGAGCCACGCGCAACCGCCGTGTCGCCGACGGCCTACCTCCTCCGGCCGCCACCCTCTCCCGTTCAGCCTCTCCGTCCCTGTCGCCGCTCAGTCTCGGCTCCGCTACTTCTGTTCCGCGCCATATCGCCACTCCGCCAGGTTTTTTTTGCTGTAAAATTATACTCCGCAAATATGATCCATCTCTTATTCTTCCATACTCTGAGAATTTATAATTGCTATTCGTTAATTAGTTTTCAGATTTACTAATTGTTATTTATTCGTGTGAATTTGTCATTTGCCACATGTGAGAATGTGATTATGTTAAGTAGGGGATGTTATTTTCTTATGTGCTTTTTTTTAATCTTTTCTGTTTTGTATGTAATTTTGATGTTTATTTGCCAAAATTTGTTCTATACCATTTTTTCCCAAGTTGTTTTCATAGTTCAAAACTTGTCAAAAAATGTTGTGAAATTGCTATCCTTCTCATCTCGTAGAAAGATAACAAGTCTACAATGGCTGCCAAAAACCTGGTTTCTGCCTCTCTTGAAATTTCTGAACCAATGCCAAAGATCCCTAAGCTTGACCATCACCAAAATGGCACTGTTTCTGAAGCTCCTTATTTCCGGGTCAAGAAGCTCTCGGAGAAGGCTGTCTTGCCCTCCCGGGGCTCACCCCTCTCTGCAGGCTACGATCTCTCCAGGTTCGTTATTCCGGGTTCTCCAGCCCGACGTAACTCTGCTCCCCATTTGTATCTAAATTGTTCAAAGAGTAGTGCTATTTCCACACTCATTTTGGCTAAATCCACTCCGTTTGTGTTTTATTGACAATTTTGCATATTAGTTCCCTTGTATTTATAAGGGATAAAGACCAAAGTAGGATTAGAACATTGAAAATATACCAAAATAGGACTTTCATGTTTTTATTCTTGAAATAGGTCAAACTTACATTACCATACAAGGTCATATACATTACCAAAAAACTATAGTAATTTGCACGGGTACACTGCCACATTACAATAGGGCAAATTCACATTATCACCATGCAAAGTCCTATTTCAGAGAAAAAACACATGAAAGTCCTATTTTGGTACTTTTTTCTATGTTTTAGTCCTATTTAGGGTGATTTCTATATTTTTGATGGTAAAGTTGTCAATTTATTATAAATGGTGTGGTTTTAGCCAAAATGGAAGCGGATATAGCAACATCCTTGCTCAAATTGGTTGTTTCTTAATTCGTTGTTACAGCGCTGCGGATGCAAAGGTTCCTGCAAGAGGAAAGGCCTTGATTCCCACTGATCTCAGCATTGCTGTTTCTCCCGGAACATATGCTCGCATTGGTAAACCTCTTCTGCTTAAATTTCTCCAAGAAAATATAATTGAATTTCTGAAATCATTAATCTGGAAATTCAACTTCTGTGTATCAATAGCTCCGCGGTCTGGGTTGGCATGGAAGCACTCAATAGACGTGGGAGCGGGCGTGATTGATGCGGATTACAGAGGACCTGTTGGGGTGATTTTGTTTAACCATTCTGAAGTCGACTTCGAGGTCAAGGTAGGGGACAGGATTGCGCAGCTGATCATTGAGAAAATTGCAGTGCCGGAGGTGGAGGAGGTGGATGATCTTGATTCCACTGTTAGAGGTTCCGGCGGCTTTGGCTCCACCGGAGTTTGATTGATTAGAGTAGTAATTAGACTCTTGGTTTGTTGATGCAATGGGACATGATGGTTTCATTCTAGGATGGGACAATTTTCTTTTGGTTTCTGTAATTTGAGATTGTCTCTGCCTTAAACGCAGTAATGTTGGATTAGTTTGATGCTTGAATCGTTTAAGATGAATTTTCATTTTTTGTAATCTTACATTACCTCAAAAAGATTAATATTTAGAGGTGAAGTTACTTCCTACCATAATTACTTCTAGAGGAGTGCTAGGGGTACACCATTTGAGGTACCCCATTGTACACCACCCACTCCTCCACCACTCATTTTTATTTTATTTTTATTTTTATTTTTTTTAATTTCTTGCCTTTTTTGTGTAGACAAGGAGGGGGTGGGGGACAAATGAAGTACACATTTGGTGTACCCCTAACATTTTTCTTACTTCTATCATTCACGTCCTAAAACTATCTTCACTATTTACTTATAAAATACTCCATTTTATCCCTCATTGGTGATTCCTTTCTTTGCACTAAATCTTTACTTTGTTCAATTAGATTTGATCGTCTTTTAAATTAGCATGCACGTATGATTTGTGTTACTGCCTCTGCCCACAAAATTAGATGGTGTGATCTATTGCGTATGCCGTAAAACATACGCTTCATTTATGCAATTGATGAGCAAACATAATAATGTGATTTTTCTTGAAAAAGGCGAATCACCATGAGTCAGGGTTTAATATCATCATTTTAAATAGAGGATAAGATTATCTTTACAGAGAAGAGCTCAAGACACAAATATTTTGTATTGCCACATCATCAAAACAACTCCATAAACAACTCACTTATTTTTTCTCTAATGGTAAATGCAAGCAACTCACAACTTAATATTACTATTTCATTAAAACTAATTTTTATGCACTAAATTTTATTAGTTGTTACTCCCTCTGTCCCAATTTAAATCGCCTATTTTGACTTTTGGGCATATTTAAGGAAAATTAAAAATAGAGTTGATTTTTCGAAATTGCCATTACTTTTTAAAAAGGGTGATGATGAATGAGAAGATAAGGTGAAGAAGAGTGACTTATTTTAGGGGTAGTTTAGGTATTTTATTTTTAAAAGTTTACGAAAACAACTACTCCGTAACAAGCAACTTATTTTGAGACGGAGAAAAAAGGCAAACATATAATTTAAAATGGTACGGAGGGAGTATTAAAAAAGTACTTGTATTTTTTATATCTTAAGATACGGTTGCTTAAGTAGGTAACAATGCTTATATATAAGCAACTTTGCATGCCGACTATATTAGCTCTAGTGGGAGTTTTCCATAAGTTTCAATTGCTTAAGCAAAGTAACTCATTAAGCACTTACCATTTGAGATGCTCTAAGAAATCTTAGATCCACTAATTCGACATGCGAAACTATAAACAAATGTCTTGACCAATTTCGTTTGATAAATCAATTATTCTTTGTGAAATTTACACTAAATAGGACTAAAATATAATGACTTTCCTAATGTAAGACTTAAACTTTTTTATTTTCTAAATAAGACTTAATAATGACCTTGTAAGAAGAATAATGTCCAATAATGATGAACATTTAATGATAGACATTTACTTGAATAATGATTACTTTATAATGACCAAAGGTCCTACATTGGGAAATAAAAATATATGGTCCTATATTGGGAAAGTCATTATGTTTTAGTCCTATTTAGGTAAATTTCTCTTATTCTTTATCAATAATTAATTATACTTCATATCAATTATTAACTTATACAGAGTATAAGAACATTTTTTAATGCAAAGTGCTCAATGAAATTGTTTAAGTTAAAAAAAGTGATGTGGGAGTCATGTGGAGCTTACGTGGAGCACTGTTTCATTTTATCAAAGAAGTTAGCTTAAGGGAACAATTATTCTTTAGCTATGAACTCTCTTAAACAACCGCCACTAAAGATGTTCTCACAAATTTGGGGCATTACATTCGACCTTTTGGTTCTTAAATATATAGGCTAAAAAAATCTAAATAAATCCTGATAATAAAATACTCTGTCTGTCTCAATGTATTCATCCAATTTGATATTTTTTAATAAATTAGATTAACTTTGAACTTCAAATACCATTTGGTAAAAAATTATTGTATCAGATTTAACTTACGGAGAATTTTTAAAAAATATCTTATTGTGTTAATTTTTACTCTCTCCATCACAAAGTTATCATCATAACTCTTATTAAGGCCATTCAATAACGTTTGTTTGCATATTTTTGTTCACCATTTGGAATATGATAAAATTAGATATTTTATCATCTTTTATTTTATAAAACTTTTAATGTTGTTTTTAAAAATATAATTTATATGCTTTATTTCATTACCAATTTGTAACTAAAATAAGTGTAAAAAAACTTGTTTGCAGGTTCTTTGAAGTGTGGCGATACTTTTAGAACGAAAGGAGTAATTCAAAATAAGAATAACTGATAATAAAAATTTGTCCGGATGGATACGAAAAAGTCATACTGGGTAAATAAACTAAGACGAAAAAAATAAATTACAATCTATCCAATTCTATATAGGATTAAAATAATCATACATTTTTAAATAATTTATGGATTTTTTGGGGTAATAATTTATAGATTGTGAACAATCTAACATGCCCTAATTTTTTCAAATCATTAACGCACACAAGGCGCAGGAGGGACAAACAGCGCTGCCGGGTTTACCGTAGAGAAGACACGACCGCAAAATAGACACAGACACTCTCTCTCTATCAGTCTGGTAATCTCCTTCATTCCTTCTTTGTTGCGTTTAATAAAACATGTTTGATTGAAAGTTGAAAATTTGGATTTTGGTTTTTTTGCATCTGTTTTAAGAAATAACAGGATTTGTTAGTTTTTCTAGTTTAATGATTTGGAGTTTGTATTCGCTGATTAATATCTCACTATGATTTTTTCCAAAAATTACGTAGTGTCTATTCGTAATTTGTAAAACCATGAATTTGATTTAACTCAAATTTCCACCTTTACCATGTTGGAGACTTCTTTTGCAAATTACATGAAATTTTTGTTTTTGTCAAAATTGGTTTTCAGTTTTCACCTTTACATGTTGGACACTTCTTTTAAAAATAGCTGAGTCTGAGGTTCCAGACAAAGCTCTGATATCATATCAAAGAATTGATTTAACCAAAAGCTCTAGTTTGTGATTGTAAGGCTATGAAAGGTTTTTTTTAATACTCTAACAGTTCTGTTTGGTGAAATATGACTCAAGAAATTACACATTACATACATATTTGTATGTTTGTACATGTAAAAATGTCTTATAGTCTAAAACGGAAGCAGACAAGCAACAAATAAAGGTTAAACACTGAGTTTTTTTAAATCTTGAGGTGAATAATGGATATAACTAAACGGATAAGCAATTAGTCAAACGGATATACATACAGATCGGATGTGAAATTGACCACATACAAGATTTCTATTTTTGTATCCGTTTACTAATCAGATGTCTATAATTGAATATGGATAATAGATGTTCTAATCGGATGCCGATAAGTAAATGATTACGGATGCGGACAATAATTGAATTTTCAATTACCTATTTAAATCCCTGTATAAACATATCTCTTTACACTGTTTATGAATGGCTATCACAATATTTCAATAATATAACCATTAGTTATGTTGTGTTTTATTCTCTCCGTCCCATAATATCGATATCATTTCAATTTATTAAAATATTGGTACAAAAATCAAAAACAAAATTTATGTATTAAAAAAAAGTAAAAACTACATTTAAAACTCTAAAAAAAGAGACGACTTGACGTTATTGGAACAAACGATTAACGAAAAATATGTAAGAAAATAGGATATGGTTTCACCCAAGACTTTGCTCCCGCACTTACACCGATTATCTGTCCTTTAAAGTTAATTCACGCTTATTAAGAATGCATTGATTTTTTAGTGTAGAACCAAATATGCACCTATTATTTTTTAGCATGCCCATATTGAAGCTGAAGGGATTCTTTTTAGAGTAAAGAAGTTGAGGGAGAAGAAGAGTTAATTAGAGACGGTGGTGCAAAGGAGTAATCATTCCCAAGGTGTTTAATCTTTTTGATTGGTCCCAATGCATTTATATTTAGTATTTCATTCCTATTTTTCAAGGGATAATAGTCATTTCATTATACTTTATTATATTGGATTTTGTAATGGGCAGTTATTTGTGAACAAATGAAATTTCCATAATGGACAGATAAATAGGAATGAAGTACTTATTATGGGGTATTATTAATTAAAATTAGTTATGATTTAAACCATAGACTGCAGTCCCACATTTACAGACTTGGCCATGGTTTTCACTTCCTAGGTTCGCCTTTGCCTCCCACGCAAAGATCATGACGATGTCGAGGAGGAACATAAGGATGTTGGGAGAGTACCTTTACAGGAAGAATCTGGAAGGAAAAGAGCGTTTGCTTTATGAGAAGAAACGCAAAATCAAAGATGCTCTTGAAGGTCCGGTTTGATTGTTTTGTTACTATATTTCAAAATTTCCACAAGAATTAAATGTTGTAGCTATAGTAGATGATTTTTATTTTTATTGATTTATAATTATTATTATTCTTATTACAATTACTATTATTATTATTATTATCATGATTGTGATTATGGTTGTGGTTGTAATAATGATAGTAATAATTAAAAACATCCCAACTGGTACTTGGGAAAGGTAAAATCAATTGGTTTCTTTCGAAGGTCCACTTATTCAATGGTTTCTTTTGGTCGGCAGAGGGAAAGCCAATCCCAACTGAACTCAGGAACGAAGAAGCAGCTCTTCGTCAACAGATCGACCAAGATGATGAACACACTGCTGGTATGTTTAACAAATTTCATGTACTACGTATTTGGAATTGGTTTTGGGCACAAAGCAAAATTACGTCTCCTTATTTAACTGAAGGCCATAAAAGTTTTGTTTTTTTGACATGCTTGTAATGTTCAAAAAATGGGAAAAGGTTCATTTCTAGGACATGAGATGATGAGTGTTGAGTGTTGGAATTTCAATTGAAGAATTGGAATTCGAGAAAGTTTCACTTGAGGATTGGTTTTGGGTTGGATTGGAAGAGTTGATCCAATCATATGAATTTGAAGATGTGTTAATGCTTTTTATTTTTATTTACGATATGGCTTGCAGCGCCTATGCCTACTATTGACTGTGAATATGCTCATGCTGCCGAAAAGGATCCCAAAATTTTGATTACCACTTCGCTCAACCCAAGTGATCCTCTCACTCGGTTTGCAAAGGTTGTTCCTTATTGCTGTCTCTCCGTTGTTTTTCTTGAACAAATTATAATCCATGTTCGTTCTCTTCTTTTTGGGGCTTCATGCATTCATGCCATTACCCATTCAGAGCAATTATTTGCACCCTATGAATTCTCTACTCTCTTTGTTCATTGTGACAGGAATTGAAGATCGTATTCCCTAATGCAATACGAATGAATCGCGGCAGTCAGTTTGGTAGACCTTTCANCTCAACCCAAGTGATCCTCTCACTCGGTTTGCAAAGGTTGTTCCTTATTGCTGTCTCTCCGTTGTTTTTCTTGAACAAATTATAATCCATGTTCGTTCTCTTCTTTTTGGGGCTTCATGCATTCATGCCATTACCCATTCAGAGCAATTATTTGCACCCTATGAATTCTCTACTCTCTTTGTTCATTGTGACAGGAATTGAAGATCGTATTCCCTAATGCAATACGAATGAATCGCGGCAGTCAGGTTGGTAGACCTTTCAGATATATTCCTCTTGTTCACTTATATTCTTGTTTTAAGTTTCCTTCGCCATTTCCAAGTGTGCTGAATTTATTTCCTTCATGCAGGGAATACCGGAAATTATTGAAACTTGCCGTATTCATGATTTCACGGATGTTGTTGTAGTTCACGAGTTTAGAGGAGTGCCTGATGGAATTATCATCAGCCATTTACCTTTCGGTCCAACAGCCCACTTTAGATTACTCAACGTGGTGAGTTGTCTTAGTCTTGAAACCATTTTTGAACTCTTATTCTTATTGTTTTTTTTTCTTTCTGAAGTAGTGAAGATCAGTTAGGTGTTAAAGATGGTCTGATGTTTTTACTTGGATGCAGGTAACAAGACATGATATTAAGGACAAAAAGGCTATGGGAACAATGCCTCAGGCTTACCCTCATTTGATATTTAACAACTTCTCTACTAAGGTAATGAGTTGAAGAGTAAGCTTCAATCACCATAAGTCCTTCGATTATAGTGCATTTTTACTTTTGCTTCCTCGCTTTGAATTTTCTCAATTTTAACAAGTTAACATTCATGAACTCTTTTACTTTTTCACATTTTCTTTATATCGTGGACATTTTATTCGATTTTGTCCAATTGAATACTCTAATTTTAAAATATGACATCAAATTCCAATGTATCTAGTGAATTAGAATCTTTGTTTCTATTCAAAACCAAAAAAAGATGAATAAAATTGAAAGTCAATAGTAGTGATCATCATCAACAACAAAACCCAATGGAGGGGGTGGGTGGACACATACATTGCCCTTACTCGGAGAGTAAGGAGATTGTTTTGAGGAGACATTCCGCCAAAATGACGTGGCATGAATCCACGTCTATGGTGGCATGAATCTCTGCCACAACCTTTCAAAACTCCACTGGGATCTCGTCCGAGCCCGAAGCCCTTCTTCCTTTAATCTAGCTATTTGCTTCCACCATCTGCTTCCTTCGAATGCACCGACAATACATGAAAATTTTTAGACTCTCAGATTGCCCCAACTCACTTAGCAACAGATTTTCTACCCTTCTAACATTTTGAAGTCAATAATAGTGATCAATGCTTGTAAGTTTAAGGGAAACAACCTCTTTCATTTTCCTTTTTTTTTTGAGAAATGTTTGTGAAGGAATACATACTCCCTCCATCCCATTAAAAGAGTTTGTCTAGACATATTTTGTCCCATAAGAAGAGTCAAATGTTAACTTGCAAACAAACAACATTACCCTATTGCCTTAAAGGCTCCAGCCAATTGTGGGGTGGGGGGTGGGGGTGGATGTATGCAACGTGACCCCTATGTTTAAAATATAGAGCCATTGTTTCATGATGTCCCATAATGATTGTCGAAAATGCCATTGCCAACTGTTACTTTACTATTAAAAGAAGTGCAGAGAGTTTAATGAGCCATTCTGCTTTATTTTATCATACCCCAAAGTCAAAAAATAGTGAATCTCTCCATCATATCAAATGATTTAACTAAAAAAGATAAACCTAAAAAGTTTAATTATATTTGATGATTTCTTTTAGCTGTACCTAATAAAAATTAAAAAGCTGTACATTCAAGAAATATGACTCTTTTTATGAGATGGAGAGAGTATTATTCATTTATATAATTTTCTAATATTTCATATAGTAAAAAAGAATTCGGTTGGGTCCCACAAGTGGGAAACATTTTTGAAAGTCAAAGGCTAATAATAAAGAAATCAAAGTTAAGGACCATAATTTCTTTGAAGCTAGTTTAGCATCCATTCAGGCTAGCAATGCGAAGAAACAAAATTGTTTCTTTGACCATAACTTATTTTTTCTTTTTTAGCTGAACCTCTTGATACTTTTACATGATTCAAATTTGCTCCTTTTCTTTAGATTGATTTTTTCACTCTATGTGATTGCATCTATCTCTTGACTTTTGTAGCTTGGTGAAAGAACTGTAAGTATTCTAAAGCATCTGTTTCCAGTTCCAAAGCTTGGCACGGAACGTATTATCGCATTTGATAATAATTCGGATTTTATCTCATTCAGGTACGTTGTGTACTTTTTCAATTTCATCAGCTACTGGGTTTCTGTATATATTCTGAAATGTCTCAGACTGCATTTCAGATAGTGGCTTGTAGCTTGTTAAACTTAATATAGGCCTTAATGCTTGATGCTGTAATTAATAAAACTAGGGCGGCAAATAGCTCGGTCATGTCGGGTTCGGGGCATTTTGGATTTGGGTTGGAAAATGCATATCCATGATCCAATGTTATCGTGTTTGAGTTGACCCAATGGATTTGAGTGTTTATTTTTAGAACTTTTAAATTTATTGTAGCACTTTTATTTTGCATTAAAATGTAATAAAAATATTCAAATATGTCAACCAAAGCTATTATAATGTTTTCCTTGGAATTTATTTTAATTAATATGTAGATACATCCCAGAATGTTATAAATAAAATAGAAATTTAAATATGTACTATATAATTTTTTTTAAATTATGAAGGCAATATAATATCACCTTGGTTCCCATGACATTGGGAACCAATGTCATGGGATGACCCGGGGGCGCTCCGGTGCCCCGTTCGTAAAATTGACGGTTCCTACCCCCCTAACCTCCCCGGTAAACCCCCCCACCCCGGCCCGCCCCGAACAAACCCCCCCCACCCCCTTCAATTGCACCCCACAAGTCGATTTTGACTTTGGAGTCAACTTGTGGGGTGCAATTGAAGGGGGTGGGGGGGTTTGTTCGGGACGGGCCGGGGCGGGGGGGGGGGGGTTACCGGGGGGCTAGGAGGGGTAGGAACTGTCAATTTTACGAACGGGGCACCGGAGCGCCCCCGGGTCATCCCATGACATTGGTTCCCAATGTCATGGGAACCTTCCCCATATAATATCATTGAGAACTCATTAGAAAAGATAAGTTTTTACCCTAAAAAGGAGTAAAAAGAAAAATAATACTTCTTCCGTCCCAAAAAGATTTTTGTGTTTACTATTCACTGGGTCAAATTATATCCTTTTTTCTTTATCTATATTCACTCATCATTTGACAAAATAATATAATCATGTCACCTCTTGTTTTATATTAGTACAAAAAAGATCTTTTGATGTAGTTTTCTAAATATATAAATTTTATTTTTTATTTTACACCAACTTTTAATAAAAATTGAATTGAAAATAAAACCACTGAAGCATTGTAAATCGCAACATCAAGTTCTTTTTTGAGATAGTGGGAGTAATATTATAACATGATTTTTATCACATTATGTTCCATACTAAGTATATGGTTTTGGAAAAAAACCTTACCTCAATGGGTCGGTCATGTGGGATTCAGGTTTGGCCGGGTTTGACTTATTTTAATGAAACATATTGGGTTTGATGTTGCGTGATTCTACTCTGTTGTTGTTGTGTAATATTGGGTTTGATGGTCTTCGGGTTCAATTAACAAACCCTTGTTAAACTATTATGTATGGATGCTTCGTGTCGTTGTTGGGTACTGAACTATGCCAGAAAAATTACAGGCACTATACCTATAAGAAATGTGGAGGTCCCAAACCAGTTGATCTGAAAGAGATTGGCCCTCAATTTGAACTCCAGCTCCATAAGGTAACTAACTAACTACTCCGTATTACACTATTTAAATTATTACACTATTTAAATTAAAAAAAAAAATCTGATAAAAGCAGTGCTTCTAAAAGGTTGCAAGTCCATATTCAAATCAAACCTATGCACTCAACATTTCTTTTCGTGATGCGTGAATTTTCTATGTTTCATTCACTCATTGTCGCGGTGTTTGTTCCCCCCCCCCTGCCCCACCCCCCCACCCCCACAGATTGAGCTAGGAACTTTGGATCAAGATGGAGCTCAAACTGAATGGGTCATGAGACCATACATGAACACCTCCAAAAAAAGAAAGCTTCTTGGGCAGTGACAGTCTGTTCCATTCTTCTCATGTTTTGCTGGTAAAGAGAGCAGCAATGTGGTACCTGCAAGAGGTTTTGTCTTTTTGCTGTCTGTTATACTCCTCTGTCCCACAAAAAAATTCTATATTTCCTTTTTCGGTTGTCCAAAAAAAGGGGTCCCACTTTCAATTTTCGTTAATTTTTTTTGTGGTTCGTACTATTTCTCTCCTCTCTGTCACATATAACCATGCAATTTTACTTTTCTCAATCTCCGTGACAGGTAAAATATGGAATGCTTTTGTGGGTGAGGAGGGAGTACTAAGGATGCTTCTATATATGGGTTACTCTTAAGAGGGTATCAGTTTGCTCTTAGTTTCAGTTTGAGAGTAATTTTTTTTAAGAATTATAATTGGATCACTTTACACTATGGTCGGAATCTCGAAAATATGAACACAGCTGATTGAGCAAAGATGATTAATCTAATCTTGAGTTGGAGTTTGCATAATAGTGATAACATATTGCTATAAAATCTTTAGACAAAAGGTTACACATTCATGCTCTCTATAACCCAATGAGTAGCACATTGTTCAATAAGGCAAATTGTTATTACGACTAGATCAACGTTAGTGCGTAGCACAATTGGTATAACAAAGATCAACGTTAACAAATATGAATCGAGTTAATTGTTATATCTACGACTGGACACAGATTGAACGATGTAAATACGAATTGCTAATATTATCCGATGTTGCGAAGAGATGATTTTAAGGCATCTCGAGTTGAGGACTTTTAAATGAATTGGGTGTCCCGTGTCCCTGACAAGAGTTTTGTTTTTCGGGACTTGAAAACTAAAGTGCTGGATGTACTCGATGTGATTGGGCTCAATTTTTTTTATTTTTTTGAACAATAACAACTTTATTAAAAATAGTACTCCGTATTTGCTCATATATTTTTCAACATATTGAAGTCCAAAAAATTATTGCCACACTAGGGTTTGAACACATGACCTCCCATTTATGAGAGCCATAACAGTTTTGAACTTTTACTTTACTTAGGCTGTGTTTTGTTCAACATATTTTTTTGCTTATTAGTTATTTTTATTAAAATCAGATTAGAACAGAGATCAGATCTAATCAACTAGATCAGATTAGATCATATTTAAACAAAATTAATAATAATATTACTATTATTATTATTGTTGGAGGTAAAAAATTATTTTAAAAATTTAAGTGAAAAATTCAAAAAACAAATGAAAAAATGAAAATTTATTTAAAAATAATTTCAACTTTCATTTTTTGACACAAAACAGGTATTTCCGTTAACTCATCATTAGAAACTTAACGGCGACTCGGAATTCGCAAATTTCAGTAAAATTGAGATTATTATGCATTACACTGATAGATGAAATTATTTTTTAAAGACTGGTAAAATTAGGATTATTTTAGATAATTTTTCCCATCTTTTATCATTTTTTTTAAAAAAAATATTTTTCTATCACTTATTTTTCCTTAATTTTTTTTTTAGAATTTCTACCCAACCAAACACATCCCTTTTCTCATCCGTAACGATCCCTGCTGCTCCAGCATCATCTAATTCGTCTTCCTCAGCCGCAGCTCCCACGCCTGCCCCCTCGCCCCTTCACCGGATTGCAACTATGGTTTTTTTTTCTTCTTCTTTTTTCCCCTTCAGATTTCTTGATCCTCTTATGTGTTTTAGTTTTTTCCTGGCTATTCATGATTTCATCATAATTTTGACGGGAAATTAATCTCAGTGAAATAAGTAAGTTCAGTTGATCTGAATCAAATTATAAGTAGGTAGGACTGTAGGAGTGGCTTCCTTAAGGGCCGATCCAAAATTTTGGGAGGCCGTGCCTCTACAGAAGGCACTCTTTTTGGGATGAAGCAAATAGTCATAATGAAGTGAGAGAGTTTAGAATCCTAGCAGGTTTGGTTTGGTATGGATGGAAAATGATTCTTACTTAAGATGTTCCTGAACAATATATACCCATTGGTTTTTTGCAAAGTAGCGCTTAAATGTTTTTTTTGTAAATCTTGGGCTTTTCAGCTGTAGAAGGTTTTGAGCTACCAGATGGATTACTAGATGTAGATAAAGAAATGATAGTGCATTGGGAATTTACTGGGTCTGTTGTTGCTGATCATTCTATACAGATTTGCATGATCATCTTATACTGCGGGTATATTTTTGTTTATCCCCGTGACTTTGTGATTTCATTTTTTTATGTGTATCTAGTATTAGGAAATCTGGATATGACCTTGTCATTTTAACTCTGCCCGTGCATCTTTTTTCAATTTTCCTTTTTCTTCTTTAATTTTCTTTTTTGTGGTTGCTTATTTAATTCACTAGATTGAAAAATACCTTATTATCATTTGCATATAATATTTGTTCTTATTTTGTTTTGTCCTTTGTTTCAGGTTGGTGTAAAAAAGTAGAACACAATCACGCCCACCAGTCATGTGGAACAAAGGAATATCCATGACACACTACTACCCAAATGAAATAGATATAATTTTCATAAACACACAATGAAAGCCATTACAAACTTGAAGAAACCTTATTTCCCATCTAGAACCACTGCTGCGTTTACCACTCAACAAACTCTAAATCCCATTTCTTTTCACCATGATTCCCAAAATATAAGTGAAACCCATTTCATTTCTCTTATCCACTCGTCTGAATCCACCCGCAAGCTCAAATCCATCCACGGCCAAGTCATCCGCCGTTTCCGCAACAGTGCCGATACCAGAATCACCACCCAGCTTATCTCCGCCTCTTGTCAGCGCGGCTCCGTCAGTTATGCCCTCTCAGTTTTCCAATCTTGTGGTTGGAACTTGTTCGTTTTCAATGCATTGATCAGGGGACTTTGTGAAAATTCATGTTTTGAGACCTCCATCAGGCATTTTAAGCTCATGTTAAGTCTTGGTGTGCGGCCTGATCGGCTTACACTTCCGTTTGTGTTGAAGTCTGTTATCGGTTTTGGTGCTAAACAGTTGGGGGTTGTCGTTCACTGTGGGGTTCTTAAAATGGGCCTTGATTGTGACTCATTTGTGAGGGTTTCTTTGGTTGACATGTATGTGAAAATTGGATCGTTTGATTCTGCCATGCAGCTGTTCGATGAAAGTCTTGAGAGGAATAAGGTTGAGAGTGTGCTGCTATGGAATGTGGCAATCAATGGATGTTGCAAGGGTGGGAAGGTGAGAAAGGCTGTGGAGTTGTTTGAAGCAATGCCACAGAGGAATATTGGTTCATGGAATTGCTTGATAGATGGCTTGATGAGAAGTGGGGAACTGGACAAGGCACTTGAGCTTTTTGATGGGATGGAGGAGAAGAATGTGGTTTCATGGACAACTGCGATTCATGGGTTGATGCAGAATGGTCTTCATGAGAAGGCTCTGCAGTTGTTCTTTAAGATGGTAGACGAAGGAGTCAAGCCGAATGACTTGACTGTCGTTTCTGCTCTCTCTGCCTGTGCCAAAATGGGGGCACTTGAATCCGGGATAAAAATCCACAATAACATGTTGCGCAACAGGTTCAAGATGAATGCTGCCGTTGGAAATGCTTTGTTGGATATGTATGCCAAATCTGGGGATATTGAGTCTGCTTGCCGGGCGTTCAAGGGCATAAAAGTGAAGGACGTGCGCACTTGGGGTGCCATGTTGTGGGGCTGGGCAATACATGGATGTGTTGACAAGGCCATTCAGTGCTTTGAAGCAATGAACCTGTCAGGAGCCGTACCAGATGAAGTTGCTCTCCTAGCAGTTCTAACTGCTTGTTCGCATGCTGGAAGGGTGGATCAGGGTCTTGAGATTTTCAATAGCATGAAAGCAAATTACTCGGTGGTCCCCACCATGAAACATTATGCTGCCATAGTTGATCTCTACGGCAGGGCAGGCCGGCTGGATGAGGCTTTGAGATTTATTGAGAGCATGCCATTGGATCCCGACTACATCATATGGGGGGCACTCTTTTGTGCATGCAGAGCTCATAAGAACATCGAACTGGCAAAATTTTCCGCAGATAAAATCCTGGAGCTCGATTCAAAGCATTCTGGGAGCTATGTCTTTCTTTCAAATGCTTATGCTGCTATTGGGAGGTGGGATGATGTCGAAAGAGTAAGAACTGCGATGAGGAGTAAAGATGTAGGGAAAGATCCTGGATGGAGCTCTATTGAGGTGGATGGTAAAGTGCACACCTTTAAAGTTGGGGATCGCGCTCACAGCCTAGCACATGAGATATATTCAAAATTGGAGGACCTAACGGCCGATGCTAGACTACAAGGGTACGCGCCTGAAACTGAGTGGGGCCCTTCATAACATTGAGGTTGAAGGAAAAAAAAAGGAAGCAAATCATGATGAAAGTCGGCACTTCTATTCGGGCTTCTTGGCAGTGGCAGAGGCAGACGGAAACGGTATGGGTATGGCACCCCCACCCCCCCACCCCCGGGGTGGAGGGGGGGGATTCCAACAAAGGTACTCCAANCCCCCCCCCCCCCCCTCTCAAGAACACAATCCTGCCACTGCTTCTTAGCTCGGATTTTAGTACAATCCTCAGTATAGTCAAGAAGATGAGGGTCTGCAGGGATTGCCATTCTCTGATAAAAGTATGTCATTAGTATCAGCCCAAGAGAGATTTGAAGAGATTCCATCTTTTAAAAGATGGTGTTTGCTCATGCCAGGATTACTGGTAACATTGTTAACATTCAGGGTGCTCAGAAAGGCGCATGCTTCTTATAGGGTCATTTGTGAGAAAATATTCATAGCTGAAAGGGATACATAATTATACTGTGAATAAAAGCATTGGTGATTATTACTCCATCCATCCCATAGTTATCTTTCAGCTTTCTTCTTTGGGATGTTTCCAATTTTTCTTCCACTTTCTCCTTAAGAAAAAGTTTGCATGGTCCATATTGTTTCTATTTCTTCTACACAAACCACCACCACATAAGTTCTAGGAGTACTTTATTAAGAATAGTGTCAATCACAAACATGAAGATAATCATGGGACGGAGGGAGCATCAATTTTTCATTAGACACCTAATTCAAGTCAATGATTTTCTAATGTCAAATCTTTGCTTCATCTATATTCATGCACCCAGAAAATTCAATTTTGTATGCACACGACTGGGTAATCAGATAAAATACTCCGTAACAATTTTTTGTTGCAGGGAGTGTTTTGCAGGAAAGGGTGTGCCTTCGATTGGGACACTTGGGAGCAAGGTAAGTTACGTTTTCCATTTTCATCACTTTTCCTTTTGTTAAGTTTAAAACAACATATGATGAAGACTTCAAATGGAAGTCATTTCTACTACACCCAACTCGTGTATGTTATTCAAAGTACAACTCCCTCCGTCCCAAAACGATGTGTCTAGTTTGACCGGGCCCAATATTTATTTGAGTTTTACTCCCTGTTTCTTACAAATGCTCAATGTTTCCATTAGCTTTGATTGATACCGATAATTAAAGAGAAGATGGTGAGTCATTTTGCTAGTCACTGGAATATTACAAAAAAAAACACAATAAAATCAAACAAGACATGAGGGTCATACACACACACCCTCCCCACCCACTTATCACGTCATCACATTTGTTCAGTCACCGTTGTGAGTTACAAGTATTTATTCTTATTTTAGTCTCTACCGATTCTTATTACGACTTCTACCATTGTAAAACACAATTGACATTGTATTTGATCTCGTGACACTTACAAGAAGCATTGTTTCTGGTAGCTGGCATTTGATTTCGCAAACACATTGGCATTTTATTTGGTATCATAACATGCATTATGGTATTCTTTTGGCATTTGGATTTGATTTGATCACTTGACACTTAGTATTGTTTTGGTTTCTGATAGTTAAAGTGACATTGTATGACATTTGAATGACATTGTGACTCAATGATGACAGTGGTTGAATAGTAGCAATGGTACGTGATGAGAGACGAGACTGTGGTAGTGGTGGAACTAGCGGTTGGCGATAGAGACTGATGGCGGCGGGGGCGGATTTGTAATTTATTTTGTTTCTAAATTGTAAACAGAAATTAATTGTATTAAAATTTTGAATGAAGGCATAAATGGTCACGTTAGCTAATTAATTTTATTAAATGAGTAGTGAAAATATGAAAAGAAAGTGAATACAATTTGATCCCTTAAATAGTAAATAAACCACTTAACTTGAGGCGAATGGAGTATTTTTATTCTATACTCTTCACATTTATCACTCCATTTTCTTTATACCTTTGTCTTTTAAAAAAATTGGATTTCCAATCTTCTGATTCCTTTGACAACGATGATTTATTTTTAATGTGGCTCAAACCTCAGTTCAAATTATTAAGACTCTTATTCAAAACGGAATGGTGGTTTCAAGACGAATACATATCGATCATGATCTTGCGGCCACAAACAATTGGCTCATGAAAGATTACTTTTGTACCGAGCTAATGTACCATGAGACGTTTATTCACACTTGCTTAGATTTATTTCACACCATTTTCTAATCTTTAAATCACTATTTCTGTATAACTTATTTTTTTATTTCTATACCAATTTATAAATAAAATTATTTATAAATTGAAAGAATTTTGCATCTTGTTCCAAACGAGAAAATATGGAATGAGGGGAGTAAAGTCTCTTTCTCTTTAACTTATTTATGCTACCTATTGCTCAAATCTTATCAGAATTAGATCAGATCATACTAATTTAGATCAAATCGGATTCGTTCAGATCAAATCAATTTAATTTAGATCAGACCAGTCTTAAAAAATTCAGTTCCACCTTCTAACATAGGGAGTAATAATACACCATGACTCCATGCCTTCTACTCACTCCGTCCACAAATAAACTTCCCGTTGCGCGTTACGATGTTTGACTGAAGTTATTTTCAAATCATTTTATATAAAAAATGGTGTAAAATTTAAAAATAAAAATTACATATTAAAAAATTATATCAAATTATCTACAAAACTAGAGATGATATTACTATATTCTTTTATCAAATGAGTAACGAAAATAAGCCAACAAAGTAAATAAATTTTGAGTTAAGTTTAAAAAATTATTTGCTTTAAACGATAGTGCAGAACTTTTATTTCCGATCTCCGCTTCTTCAACCTCAGCTCTGTCTGCGCTACTCCCTTCAAATTTCTTCCGTCTTCATATTGCTTTCCTCTGCTAAGGTATTTCTACTCCCATTTATGAATCAATCCCCACGCGTCTTCATGTGCTCCTCTGCTAGGGTTTCATAACTACTCCCATCTTTTCATTCCTGAACCATTTTTTTGGCTTGTTGATTCATAATCGAGAGCCGATTCATGATTCTGCGGGTCATCTCCTTTGTTCTGTGTCAAACACAATTGGGGGCTGCCCTTTGCAATAAACAATTTGTTGCAAAATATTAATTTTAAGTAGTAAAATATTAAAGAAGTGCAAAAAATAGATGATATGGTTGGAGATGTGGTGAAAAAGTAGAATATTTAATCACTATTGAGAAGCTAAAATGGCATTTAGCTTCCCAAAACTTAGCATATTCCTTGGAACTGGATTTTAGCATTTAAGTAATCACAACTTTCTTTTCAGAGTTGTGTTATAGTGGTATTTAAGGTTCGTATGTGAAATACAGACTTTCTCGCATAATTCTAATAAACTCACAATCGGATCTCTCTCTTCTCACAAGGATCAATACATATACTTTTTTTTTAATATTAAGGTATATAAAACGAGTATAGACCTTTTTGCTTTTTTTAAAGTTTTGTTTTAATCTAGAAACAAATAATGAATTGAAATTCTAGCCAAAATCAATCGCTAAGGCTATGTTTGAATTGATGGAGGTGGATGTAGGATAAGGTATCATGTTTGGGGAAATATTGAGATGGGTAAAAGGAGATGAAGAGACCGCTAATTTGGCTATAGGTTTTTTTTTCGTTTTTCCATCCGATATTCCCTGTTCATTGTTGCCCTTCTCCACTCCGATCTTCTTCGTGCCGCAGGTCTCCCATCCGCGATCTTCGCCGACGACCCAGCCGCAGAGCCGCAACTCCAACACAGGCGACTCCATTCTCTCCGGCGTGAATCTTCTCTCCCCCGGCGGATTTCAGGTACAGTTTCTTTGCTGTTTTCTTCTCAATTATTGAAATCTGCTGTTTTTTTCATGTTTTTTTTGCCGTTTAATATTTTTCTGATTTTGCGGTTTTTTTGCCTTTTTCTGTTTTTTTCTGTTATTTTTTGCTATTACTTTTTTCTGTTTTTTTTGCTTTTTTTCTGCTGTTTTTAGATGTTATTTTTTCCTTTTTTTTCCTTTTTTTTTCTGCTGTTTTTTATGTTTTTTTGCTGCTTTTTTTGTCAATTGTTTTATTCTCTTTTTTTTTACTATTTTTATTTCTGTTTTTTTTGCTGTTTTTTTATGTGCGGAAAAACAAGGGTATGTAGGTAATTTTAATGTTTTACCTACGCCACATTACCTAATAAATATCCAAACACAATTTTTTAACTTATTATCTTACTTTAGCTGCCTTCAATTACCTATTATTACCTACCTAATACAACTTTACCCCCCTCAATCCAAACATACCCTAAGAGAGCTCCGTGCACATTTTGTACAGAGATTTTGGAACTGATTCCCAGAAGAATTTTGATTTTTGGAAACCCTAAGTCCTAACATAGTTGGAGCATAGAGATATACGACTAGGAGCAATGCCGCAGGTGAGGATCGTCGCGAAGAATTTCATGGACATGGTGGCTTCACTGCCCGCAGTGAAGCTCGATAACCTCTATAATAACCCATTCATCTGTGAAGCCATTATCAGGTTCTCATCTTTCATTTCTATCTCGGGCCTGCTATTGATTTTGCATCTCATGTATAATCATCTGGTTCTTTGTTCCCTGTCCAAAGTTGAATTTCCTTGTTCGTGTCCAATATGCGGAATGTTGATTGTTTGTAGTATTTGTTTTGTGCGACAGATCATTACCTCCCTTGGCAAAGAAGTATGTGATACAGCTGCTATACATAGATTCACCCATTTCAGCCAAGTTTTTTGAGGAATGGGTACTTTCGGATGGATCCACTAAGCATAAAGTAGCCATTGATAGATTAGTACAGTTGAGGTTATTGAGTGAAATTTTTGACAGGTTAGTGGCACAATTATTTATTCGTATGTCTTTGCTTGCACCTGATCATTTTTCCTTTTTCTTAAAATAAACTTTGACTCATGACAAAGGAAGGTTGTGTTTGCTAGCCTTGAGGGTTAGGACAAGTTGTAAATACAGTGAAGCTCTATATTTTATTCAGGATAAGTAAATTTAAATGAGAAAAAAAGGTTCTAAAGTGACCAATTCAAGCTTCTGTCTCTAGGACGGGACAGTATCTTGTGCCGAAATTTGAAAGTTGCAGCTGTCCTTAGTAGAACCTGAGGGAACTTCGGATACTGAAGAATCGTAACTTAACCAAAACTCCTTTAGGGCTTTAGGTTTGTTGAATCAGAGTTACCTCTTTAAATTTATTAATCATCCCGTGTTTCTGAAGCTGTATTTTAATGATACGCTATCAAGTGACAACATCTTTAGGTCATCTTTCATTTTAGTTAAATCAATCAACAACCCAGTGAAACAACTACTAATGTATCAAGTCCCTGTTATTATGCTTACCTTTAACGACTGAAAGTGGATGACATGAGAGAGATTATCAGCAGCAGAGCAAGTCATAAAACTTCAATTTTATTCTTTTTGGTAAAGCTGAATAAGACTGCATTGTCTGCATGACTACCTGAAGAGAATTTAGAAATTTGGGGAAATCTGGAAGATGAATACACATGGTTAAGGGTCAGGCATTGTTCTAAGTTAGAACTTCAATTGGGAGAAAACACAAAACTCATTACGGTTCTCAGACTCTGTTAAAAATAGCTTCTTGAAGGGACTTTGTCACCTCCTCATCTCTTTTGCATTCTATAAAAATTAACTTTTGGAACTGGTTAGGATATCACCCCCTTGATAAGAACACCTGCTTTTGTTTTTCCCCTGCTGCTCTCTTTTTACTTATCATAATAATTATGATAATGATGTCTGAGACTCATAGTTTTGGATATTGCATTAGGTGACTTGTTTGTCTGTGTTGATGCTCTAGTTGACCTTGGCAGGAAAAAGGATAAGTCCTATCAATTACATCCAAAGTTCCAATTCAATCTTCGAAAGCACATAGTCCATGGGTATGCACACTTCATTAGTACGGAGTATTACGTTGCTTTGTGCATAAATCGTGATAGACATGATCTGAATTTCATCTTTTCTATTTGTACTAAACTATGATGACTTACTATGAGAAACTGTATTCTTAAGTGCATGCACTATAGAGAACCAACGATGTGTGGTCTAATCATGTATTCATGTTCAGGGATCATTTTGCAATTCTTCCAACCATGTTCCAGTTTTTTTTTTTTTTTGCATTATTCATATTTCTTATGATTCTTGTAATTTGCCCCATAAATTTTGTCACTGACAAATGCTAACTGGACTTTTCTTGCCCCCATTTGAATGCTGGAACTTATGTCGTACTCTGTTTAATCTTATTAAAGTACTCTGTACAATATATAACAATTACATTAGTTTATTTTACAAGTGCTGTATACTTCTGGGAAATAAGCAGCCGGTCTTTTACAATGTTTAAAGCTGCACAGAATGCACCATAACCTGTGAAACTGAAACTCTGCAGTGGAGTTTTACCAAGAGAATCAATGCCTTCAAATATCACTGTGAGGCTCCCTACATTAGAGGAATTAGATGCCTATGCCTCAGAACAGTGGGAGGTATGTTTACAAGTATTGTTTGCCTCATTTTTTTTAAGTTTTGAAGAAACCGTGATAATTGTGATGCCATGTTATATTTCAATAAGCTATGTAGATCAGACACTACAGAATGCGCAACTGGTGCGAGTATACACTGACACACTTCCATGCCATGTGGTGTGTCTTTGACCGGACACATGTTCAATGACCTGTGACACATTTAGGGCACAAGTGGGACATGATTAAAACACATTTTTTGTATGTTTACATACAGGGACGGTCCAAATATATGAAGGCCCAGTTTGTAGTATATACTATATAAGTTACATCTAAGTCTTCCAAAAGATTTATAGCGCATATACTCTGGGTATTAATATTTTTCAAAAAAGAATGATAGCTTCCCTTGGGATCCAGAAAATCAGGACAACCACTGTTTACATATTAATGAATGAATACAGAAAATTTACCTCAATTTCTTATAACATTTACTTTTTCTACAACACGAACAAACCCACTATAATCCCAGGTCCATTGGGGTCTTGGGGGTTGAGATGTACACAACTTTATCCTTGTTAATAACAGAGAGATTATTTCTGTTAGATACTTTGATGCATTGCTGCATTCACTGCCCAAAGTTCCATGATTTAGATCTTTGGCAATGAACATGATTTAAATACGCATTAGTTATGAGTCATGTAAATGTTTAGCTTACATGTTTAATTTCAACATTTTTGAAAAACATATTAATTTTTATTAAATTTCAGTTAGTTACGTATAGTTTTATTATATGTTGTGTCCTTGGCTTGCCATTTTTTTAAATTTGAATTTTCCATATCCCCGTGTTCAGCCATGTCCATGCATTCGTGCTTCTTGGGCTATAGAAATTTAAATTTCATTCCCCTTTTTAAAAACCAAACTGAACTTTGACACTGATTCTGCCTACTGCTTAATGACCTGTAACTGTGGCAAATCAGTGCTTCCTTCTGCACCTTATGAGCTCCACAGAGGCCGGCAAGACAATAAACATAAGAACTTCTATGATGAAAGTTTTCCAGCGTGGTCTTATGATTCAGAGGTATATCCTTTCTGTTTGTTGTATTTCATGCATGCAATAGATACTCATGTATTTCACTTGCCTCTTGACAGAGATGACCGAGAGCCGCCAAAATTGACTGAAAGTGGATTTCAGTTTTTGGTATGAGCTGATAAATTATTTAGATCGTTATTCGTTCATAAATCATAACTGAAATCTATACCAACAAACTTCTGTGACAGTTGATGGATACTAATGCGCAACTTTGGTATATCATCAGGGAGTACATAACCAATGCAGAGGTATAAATTTTGTTGGCTTCTGCTCTTTGTGTTATTTTTCTTTCATTCATCCTCAAATGCAGTTTCATGTAGGAGAGTGGCGTGGATTCTGCAGATCTCATATCATTTCTTTTGGAGCTGAGTTTCCATGTTGCTGGAGAGGTACTCTAATTTTATCCGAGCTTTCTTCCTGTTTAAATGCCTAGGGGGTGTTTGGTTCACGTAATGTAAGATTCTTTTTGACAATAGGGTTACATCATGAAAGGTAATGTGAGATTACAAGAATATGAGTACCTTAAGTTGCTTTGTTCAGAATGTGATACGTACTATTACTTGTTATATGTTAGAGACTACTTAGATGTTTATATACAGGGATATTTTCCGACAGCTGATAGTGGAGTTTACTTCAACAATACTTTGTGTTTTGGTAAATGTGCACCGTTACCCCCATGATTTCAAAACTTACACCGTTGGCTCTCATGGTTCTGATATTGCAACACAAGTGCCCCTCTAGACTAAAATATCCTTCAAATATTAGGTAATTAGCTCCGCTGCCCCCCTATGGTTTTGGAAATGGACACCAACGTCCCCTCTCTTTTTTCTTTATTGTTTTTCTTTTATCTTCTATGTTTTCCATAAATACTTTTTAATTATTTTCAAAAATTATATTTATAATGTTATAATAATAAAATTTTTCTGTGTTTCCAATAAAAAATCAATTAAATACTCCCTCCGTCCATTTTTAATGTTCGGACTTTGACTTGGCATAGAGATTAAGAAAGGTTAAATTTTACATTGACTTTCCAATTATGCCCTCCCCACTTTCCTGCTCCACTCTACAGCCACCCACTCCCTCAATGTCAGATCCGACATCTTCCATCGCCGGCATAGCCCCGCCGCCCAACCCTATCATCCAAAATCACAGGTTCCGGCGATCCATCGCAGAAAAGGATGGAAAAAAAGATGAAGAAGACTTGAAGAAGAAGATCCTTCACATATCTGAATAATATTTCATAGATCTGGGCGAAATCCGAATAATCCGAAGAAGAAAATGAAGAATCCGAAGAAGAAGACGAAGAATCCGAAGAATCCGAAGGAGAAGATGAAGAATCCAAAGGAGAAGATGAAGAATCCGAAGGAGAAGACAGAGAATCCGAAGAAGAAGAAGAATATGAAGAATAAGAAGAGGAATCCGAAGAAGAACAAGAATCCGAAGAAGAACAAGAAGAGGAAGAAGAAGGGAAGAGAGAGAAGAAGAAATCTGATACAGAGCAAAAAAAAGGACCGAAATGGAGAAGAAAAGAAGAAAGAAGGAAAGAAGAAAAGAGAAGAAAAAAGAAGAAAAAAAGAGGTTGGGTGGGGCTGGGGTGGAGGGTGGAGGAAAAGAAAAAAAGGAGGATAGAAATAAAGTAAGGGTAATTAGGTCTTTTGATATAAAAAAGATTACCAAAAAAGGAAACACGAACATTATTTATGGACAGACTAAAAAAGAAAGTACGAACATTAAAAATGGACGGAGGGAGTAAAAAGAATTAACGTACACTTCGCTTGTCTTAAATTAATTTTTTTTTTTTTGTACAAATGAGGTCTTTATTGATTTATTTTCATGATACAAAATTCAATAAAACATTCTCATTTTACATTAAAGCCCATTTCTCATTTTCTGTTCATTTTATGATTTCTTTATTTATTATTTTTCCCTTTTTCGTTTTTTCAAAATATTTAATTTTGCACAATTTCTTTTTTTATTAAAAATAAAATAAAAGAAAAAAGAATAGAAAAGAAAATAAAGAAAAAGAAACAATATGAAAAAATTCATTTATAAAATAGGGAAAATTAAGTCATGAAGAAAATCTTTTGCGCAACGGTCCAAAAAATGTTACTAATATATAACTAACTATATATTAAAAAGACTTTACTCAGTATTGATTTGGTCTTGACATATTCATAAAAATAAAAACTTTTTAGAAAAAAATTAAAATATTTAAACTGACAAATGAAGTATATGCTAAATTTTTTATTTCAAATTAAAAACAACTATTTTTATTTTTTAAAACTTTTTTTAAGATATAGTTTTGACCTTTGAAAAACAACTTTTCATTATTTGAAACACAAACATTTTTCTTCTCTTTATGAAAAAAGAAAACAAAAAAGAAAAACAATAAAGAAAAAGGAGAGGGGCATTGGTGCCCATTTCCAAAACCATAGGGGGTAGCGGAGCTATTCACTTAATATTTGAAGGGTATTTTTATCCCGAGGGGAATTGACGTAACAATTTCAGAACCGTGATGGGCAACGGCGTAAGTTTTGAAACCATGGGAGGTAACGATGCACATTTACCAAACCACAATGGGTATTGGTGCAATAAACTCGCTGATAGTGCTACAATGTTTGAATCTAAGTCTATGACATCACTCCATCAGTTGTAACTGGATTTACTTGTCTCTTCTAGGCATACAACTCAAACACATTAACAGATGTCCAGCGAAGTATAATTAGGGACCTTTCTGATCTTGGACTGGTCAAGCTACAGCAGGTAAATGCTAGCTAGCATTTTAGACTAAGTTCCAATAGTCGTTGACTATTACATTTTTCTAACCCAAACAATACTTATCCTCCCTTATCAGGGACGAAAAGAAAGCTGGTTCATACCTACCAAATTTGCTACCAACCTCTCAACTAGCTTGTCAGATACATCATCGAGGAAACAGGTATGACATAAACATATGGGTATTCTTTTCAACCACTAGTTTAATTAACTCTGAAACAACACATCTGAAGTTATCATGAATTAACTATGGATTTATTTATATCTTGATGATAATGTATTACACACTCTCTTTTATGCATTTCTAATGCCTTCTCTTTCTCTTTCCAAAAAGGGATTTGTTGTTGTGGAAACAAACTTCAGGCTGTATGCTTATTCCTCATCAAAATTACACTGCGAGATCCTACGCCTTTTTGCTAGGTATGCTATTTTATTTAGTCTGTATATGATATGGTTTGCCTTGAAGTAGTCACTAATTTGATTTAAACTGGGTATAAAGTACTGACTATAATCTTATAAAATAAGTGAAGTGCATGGAGCCATGGACCTCTCTTTCCATGTGATGTTTTTTTGTTAGCCAAAAATTTCATTGCACCTCATAACTGGAGTCACATTTGGAAACTTTAGTACTCTCTATATGAGGCTAGTGTACAAATTTGTACTCTAAGGTTTCACTTTCAGTCCTTGTGCCCCTGCTACATCTTGCTGGAATTTAAAGGTTTTCTGACATTGTTTTGGAGAATATTTTACAATTTGATTATCATATAGTCTATTCAAGTCTTTAATATTTTCAGCTGAAATGAAACTCCTTGTTTAAATGACAATTTGTGGTGGGGACAGAGTGGAGTACCAGCTTCCAAATCTCATTGTATGTGCGATTACAAAGGAAAGCTTATACAAAGCTTTTCAAAACGGCATAAGTGCTGAACAGGCAAGTTATACCTTTCTTATCTTTGCATCATGTTTTTTTTCACTTCACTATGTTTGGTTTAAAGAATTTGATAGGAAAAGAAAAGGAAATGGTTTTCCCTCATTTTCCTCACCAAAATGAGAGAAATTTGGTTTTCCTTCCTCTTAGTATATTTTGCATTCTCTTTTTCTTTTCCTTCTACTTTTCTTTTCCTCTCTAACCAAACAAGAAAAATGTTTTCCTTCTCATTTTCTTTTTCCTTTCCTTCTCAAATTTCTTGAACCAAACATAGTGTTAAGAAAAAGCATATATTGTTCCCACTAAAAAGTAGTGGTCTAGTTGGTAAGTTATAAGGGACCAGTGTTCTCCATTTCCATGTACTACTAAAATTATATGCTGTCATATATATATATATATATGGGATTGACTCCAGTGAGATGACACATTATGGTGAGATGACATGTTTCGGTGAGATGACGCAAAGCTCACCACACTACACTACAAAGCTCACCAATGGACAGTGCAAAGCTCACCTGGAAATAAAGCAAAGCTCACCAGTTTGAACCCCAAAACTCACCTTTTTTTAATTTTGAAAATTTAAAAATTAATAAAAAATAAAATAACAACACCGGTCAACCACCGGTCAGCGGCGGCGACCGGCAACCGGCGAACGGCAGCGGCGGCGGCGGAGGAGTCCGGCGACCGGCGACGGCGGCGGCGGCGGCGGAGTCCGGCGACCGGCGATGGCGGCGACCGGCGGTCAAATCTAGTCAGCACTCCTTCTTTTGATTTTATTTTTTTTAAAAAAAAATTCAAAGTGTTGAAAAAATATGGTGAGCTTTGCCCTACAGTCTGGTGAGCTTTGTACTTGTGGTTGGTGAGCTTTGCAGTGGGCAGTGGTGAGCTTTGCGTCATCTGACCAAAGCATGTCATCTCACCGTAAAGTTTCATCTCACTGGAGTCTATCCCTATATATATATATATATATATATATATATATATATATATAGTGTGTGTGTGTGTGTGCGTGCATTCTACCTAACGGATATGAACCCAATCTTGAATAAGTGATCCTCTCACTCGGTTTGCAAAGGTTGTTCCTTATTGCTGTCTCTCCGTTGTTTTTCTTGAACAAATTATAATCCATGTTCGTTCTCTTCTTTTTGGGGCTTCATGCATTCATGCCATTACCCATTCAGAGCAATTATTTGCACCCTATGAATTCTCTACTCTCTTTGTTCATTGTGACAGGAATTGAAGATCGTATTCCCTAATGCAATACGAATGAATCGCGGCAGTCAGGTTGGTAGACCTTTCAGATATATTCCTCTTGTTCACTTATATTCTTGTTTTAAGTTTCCTTCGCCATTTCCAAGTGTGCTGAATTTATTTCCTTCATGCAGGGAATACCGGAAATTATTGAAACTTGCCGTATTCATGATTTCACGGATGTTGTTGTAGTTCACGAGTTTAGAGGAGTGCCTGATGGAAT